CATATACCTTAAAGCAATTCCTATACATATTTTTTTAAGGAAAATGTTATGCTTCTTATTATAATTACGGCCTATTATCAGGTAGACAGTGTATATCAAATAATAAGTAAAGAATGGAAATTTCTCAATATTTAATACCTACATATTTATAATTCTAATTTTAAAATTGTAAAATATGTATTTCCATGTTCTCAGCGCGGTACGGTAGAGTGGATAATATAATTAATGAAATATTAGTATTAGATATATTAACTGAATGTTTATGTATAATTTTTTGGTAACATTTTGAGACAACATACCTTCTGACAAAAAAGTACCCCGAAATTCTGATTTAATTTACCTGCACTTAATATTTTCATCTATTTCAAGAATCTGTATGTAGGTAATTGTTCTTTATTAGCATGCAAAAAATTAGAGAGATTTCTTAATCAGTTTAGTTGTAGCAGCTGATTGAATCAGTTTATCTCAGTAGTGCACTGCGAATTTTGCCATTGATTAAAATAATGAACAAAGAGTTTGTCTCATATTTTGGGTTTTATGACGCATATTTACGAATGGTACAAAACTTTTAAAGACAGTCGATAGATTGCTAGACTTGCCGTTCCGGTCAGTTATTTTATTATTTTTTTAATTTTTAATTTTAGGATGAACTCCTTCGGCAACTATCATCATCAACCTGAAGTTAAGACCATTCCAAAAAAGCACTTCGTGGAAAGTGATCTGAGGAACAGGATACCTGATGATGCTTATTTGAGTTTGCAAGGAGGTGGAATAGGTTAATGCAATGTAAAGTACCTTTATTGACTTTATTTAATTAATCGGGCAAAAAAATAAATTTTTGAAAATTTTATGGTTTGCAAAAATGACTATTATTTACACCCTCTTGATACTGGTTAAAATGATTCTTCTGAATAATAGTTTTAATGAATTGTGGATGCAATGAAGATTTTTTTATATCCATTTGTATTTATTCAGGGTGTCCCATGACGAGTGTGTGTTATGCAATGAGACGAACCTCTTAAAAATATTTTGACAGTCGTACCACTTCCGGATATACCGGAAGTAGGTATCACCTTTGTTATTTCAAATGGAACACCCCGTATGTTAATATATTTTCGAAATGTACGTAAAATTTTAAGGTACAGCCGGAAGTGGTACGACTGTCAAAATATTTTTAAAAAATTCATATTATTATTTAACATATGTATACCAAATATTATTTAAATCGGATAAGTAGTTTAATATATACAGATAGTTTTAACTCGTCGTGGGACATCCTGTATAGTATACCTACCACAGCATCCTGCGCCAGCATCGCATAATTCAATAGAGATTTATTTTATACTATTCATTTTTTTGAGTAAGAAGTGAGAATTTTAAACAATTTTAGATAGACATTTCAACAAAATATAATACTACTACTACTATTTCTACTACTTAATTATGGCTACTACTGCTTCTATAGGGTCTGTAGCCATTTTCATTAGCAAAGAACTCCACGTTGAATGAAAAACCTTCGGTGAAATTGAAACCGAAGTCACTATTAACTCGAAGATTGCTCTTGTCTTCTTCAGCGCTTCTACCTTGGGCTTGAAGGGGACCAGGAACGACCGATTGGGTACTACATGTTCATTAGATTTAATAGGGTCGTTAGTTTTAAAGCTGCAGAAAAACGATTTATTGTTAAGAGCATGGAAGTATCTTTTGAAAATGTTTGTAAAATTGAAAAATTGAATCAATTACAATAAATTTTGTTTCAAACACTGCGGTTTTTAATTAATAAATTTGAACTTAACTTGTAAAGATTTGTTGAAATTAACTGGATTAAGTGTAATTGTGTGAGAGAAGTAATTGTGTATATTTGACAACGTTTAAACGTTACAGTCTAATATTATGTAAATGCGAAACAATTGGAAAGAAATTTATGAACATCAAATTTTGGTATCTTCTTAAAGGTGTTACCCAAGAAGAATCGCATATGACATTCCAAATCCTTGAAAATTGAATACATCATTGGCCTATTTGAATATTAATCAGCCAAAAACTAAAGTATATATATTTCAAAAATTTAGCTAAGTCCAGTATTCTCGTACATCAGCCAACATTAATAAGTCATCAAAATGTACTTTCAATCGGTAGCGCTTACGTTGCTTGTGTTATGCGGGTTAGTTTATTCCCAAAACCAAGGAGCAAGAATTGTGAAATACGAAAGCGATGTTAGAGGAAGTGGCGCATATGATTTTAGGTAAGATATCGATTATTTATTTCTCTCAAATTTTCATTTATGAAAAAATGCAATTTTCTATTAGGTACTTCCAAAATATTCAATAATCCACGATACCAAAATATCCAAATTGAATTACTAATTGAATAAATCATTCTACTAAATAGGGATAAATTAGGTGATTATTTTCTCCAGAACATCTGATAAAAATTGTAATTTTAGATTCGAAACAGATGATCCCATCGCACGTCAAGAAGCCGGAACCTGGGAAGGAACAGGTACTTATGGACCTGATGGAGAAGAATTGGGCTACAACAGAGTGAATGGTAACGGTTTCCATTACTTCCCTGATGGAACACCATTTACGATTACGTACAGTGCCAATGAAAATGGTTACCAACCAAAATTCACCATTGGTAATGTGGCTTCAAGAAGAAACGAAAATTAATTTGAAGGGCAGGCGTAACTAACAGGGGGTTTAATTTCAAATTGAAAATATAATCCTTTGATTAGAATTAGCCAAACCGTAATTTATTTACCTATTTAAGCAGTAATAAATTCATTAAAACATAAGAGGCTTTTTTATTCCCGTTGTTTACACTTAATTGCTAATATTCAACAGCATCTTGGACAATATAAGAGATGCAGCAACAGTTTAATGGTGAAAATGTTATACAATTGGAAGGACTTTAAACTGATAATAATAATTTTTAATTATAGAACATTGTGGTAGGAGTACCTAATTTGTATGAGATCCTATTATTCTTGTACCAAATATTCTCACTCTTATGTAAAAACCCAAACAAATTTAATGTTATGCTGTTTTTACTTTACCAACTAATTCCCTTATACCCCAATTCTTTAGTCAGACTTTGACCTTTTATTGAATAGTCTGAGACGATGTTAATTTATCTAGAAATTTAAAAATTTTTATCGCTTGCAAATATTACTAGATATTTGTCCCCATTTTTGATACTGGTTGAAATGATTCTGCTATATATTTGTAGTGGTGAATTTTGGATGCAATTAAGATTTTTTTTTCTATTTGTTGTTCAAGTAAGAAGTAGAATCTTGAAGGCTTTTATATCGATTCAACGTTTCAATAAAAAAAAACGATTTTATTTAGCAAATATTATACAGTTCAGTTGAGCTTATTTATAGACATGCTTGCGTTCCGAACGAAACTTTGGGTCTGTAGCTATTTTCGTAAGCAACGAACTCCACGTGGAATGGAAGACCTTCGGAGAAATTGAAACCGAAGTCACCCTTAACTTGAAGATTGCTGTTGTCTTCTCCTTTTTCAGCGCTTTTACCTTGGTCATGAGGTGAACCAGGAACGACTATATTCACTACGTTTAACGGCGGCAATCGAAGCTGCAACAACCAAGATTTTATTTTTTAGCGAATACTACAGTTTTTTTAATAAAGAAAAAATGAGTTTTAAGTTTATTACAAATATATTAATAAAAATATATCTGATATTTTTTTAAATGCTTGTATTAAAAACGAATAAATAAAATATAAAATTTGAAAATATTCGTAAATTTAATCTTTATTCGAGACAAAATTGCCAATCCTATCCTATTGCTTCAGTTTACTGATTATTTCAGTTTTTTAATTAACTTGAATTGTTTCTGTTTAAATAAATAATTACCAATTTTGAGACTCCAAATTTCGGTAGTGGGGATAACAGCTTAGCCCGTTCGATGCATGATGCTCAGATATTCCGAAAATTTATCATAATTTACGCCCACTTGTTACATATAAACTATATTATTAGGAATAGGGTTGGAAATAATGTTAGTTATGAAAATAATCCTATCCGAGAATAATCCGTTTGTAATACTGTTGTGACATTTTTCTTCGACGAGACGCATTTAAGCAGCTACTAATATTCGATGATCTTTAGCTTTTTGGTTCCAATTGTTAAAAAATTACATAATTCGAATTTTAAAACAGAAAAAAGCAAGAATTGACGTGAATCTCCATTTTTTATTTGTTGGCCTCATGAATATTTTACGTAGGAGTCTGAGGTGTGTTTATGAAATTGCAAAATTTTGTAATTTATCGAAATTTGGAGTCAATACGTTTTATTAATGGTGGAATTTTATAAAAGATTGCCTTTAGCTTCAATGATGCACCCTATCAGCATTTACAAACCCATCATGAAATAGCAATTGTTTCTCTCCATGTACCATTCCTGTACATCAAAAAAAAATTACAAACTAGTTTCCTATATCCTCTTAATATTATAATAGCAGCTGTTCTCAGACATGTTGAGGGTTTATGAAAATGACCAAAGAAGATTCGTACTTTAGCCAGAACATGTTCTATAGGTACTTGTTATCCCTTCTCACCACGAAAGGGGCTTTTCGCTTATAAATTGGTGAACATTAGAAAAAAGTATTTTCCAATTAAAATGCAAAAATATTTGATATTTATGTAAATGTTAGAGTCCAATATTATGTAACTTCGAAACAATTCAAAATTAAAATTTTAGTGTCTTTTTAAAGAGTGTCGTTTTAAAGGTGTTAGAGATAGAGGTAGATAAGTACCTAATTGTGTATATTTGACATTTAAACATTAGACTCCAATATTATGTAAATGCGAAACAATAAATTGGAAAGAAATTTATGAACAATTATGAACAATTATAAACAATTTATGAACCTTGAAAATTAAATTCATCATTGGCCTATTAGAATATTAATCAGCCAAAAACTAGTAGTATATATATTTCGAAAAATTTAGCTATGCCCAGTATTCTCGTACATCAGCCAACATTCATAAGTCAAAATGTACTTTCATTCGGTAGTGCTTACGTTGCTTGTTTTATGCGGGTTAGTTTATTCCCAAAATCAAGGAGCAAGAATTGTAAAATACGAAAACGATGTTAGAGGAAATGGCGGATATAATTTTAGGTAAGATATCAATTATTTATTTACCTCAAATTTTCATTCATGAAAAAATGAAAATTTTTATTTAGTACTACCAAGGTATTCAATTATCCAAGATATCAAAATATTCAAATTGAATTAATTGAATAAATCATTCTATTAAATAGGGATAAATTAGGTGATTATTTTCTCCAGAACATCTGATAAAAATTGTAATTTTAGATTCGAAACAGATGACCCCGTCGCACGTCAAGAAGCCGGAACCTGGGAAGGAACAGGTACTTATGGACCTGATGGAGAAGAATTGGGCTACAACAGAGTGAATGGTAACGGTTTCCATTACTTCCCTGATGGAACACCATTTAGGATTACGTACACTGCCAATGAATATGGTTACCAACCAAAATTCGTCATCGGTAATGTGGATTCAAAAAGGTAAATTAATTTGAAGGGCAGGCGTAATTAACAAGTGGTTTAGGGGACCGGGGGAATTGCGCGCACCTAAGGGAAAATGCTATATGGATAGTTTCTTTTATAAGACCGTTTGGCCCCAATACCCATCACATTTTATCGTAATAGATGGCACTCCTTTAATTACGTCTCCATTATCAGGAGCAATCTTTTCTCTTCTTCAAGTGCGTCAAACATTTTTTCTTGTGACTTTTCATCCAATTTATCACAAAGACACATATGGAATTTCCAATGCAGAAGCCACTTTCTCAAGATGGGTAAATCCCAATCCGACTGACATGATACCCAAAGCTGACATGCTGCGAATTAAGGCTAGGCTCGTTCCGATAGAGCTGCCAAGCTATAGATCGCGATAGATCGCCCAAGCTCAAATTGCCACTTCGGAAATCCCGTTTTTACTCCACAAATACCCTCATAGAAAATCTGCAAAATGAGCTAAAAGCCGTACCAAAAAGCGCCTTTAAGAATGTTTCGATGATTGGAAAAGGCGTTTGACTTATGAGTATCGCTTCAAATGAAGCATATTTTGAAGAACACTTAAGAAATATAAATAAAAATCAGGAATTTTGCGTTTTATTCCAAATTTCCGGGTACTTTTTCTTCGCAGTCTATGTATTGATTCAATTATTAGATAATATAAATTTTCCACCCAATAATAATTATAATTTATCCAATAAAATAGTCGTTGTTTTATAAAAAATTATCTTATTATTTTTTATTTTTTATTTTAGTAAGATCCCTGATCTGAGGAAGATACCTGACGATGCTTACTTTAGTCTTCAAGGAGGTGGATTAGGTTAAAGCGATATGAAGTACCTTTATTGACTTTTATAGCCTGAGACGATGTTAAATTATCGAGAAATAAAATAATAATTTTTTAAAAATTTTATCGTTTGTAAAAATTAGATACTGTTATTTACACCTATTATTGATACTGGTTAAAATGATTCTTCTAAATGTTTGTTTTAATGAATTTTGGATCAATGAAGATTTTTTCATATTTATTTGTATTTATACATACAGGTTGCTCCATTTTTGATCGCAACATAGGTTGTATAGGCCATGGGTGCGATAAAGACAACTTCCATTAGACACTTACAAAGGAAAAGGAAAGAATGACATTCATGTCATTGCAACTTTTCACTCCGACAACTGTTATTTTAATAATCATTCTTTGTTCCACTCATAGAAATGACCATGTTGCATTCGGAAATGGAGCAAACGATATCCCACAGAATTCACTCTATCATCTTAAGGTGGTGATTTCTGGACCCATTTTAAGAAGAAAACTTCATATGAACCTATGTCCTAAACGTCTTAACTTTTGGCATACAGGGTGTTAAAGTTTTAAGTTTTAAGAAAAAAATCAATGTTTTGTAATAACTGTGATACTATTATAGCTATCTTTATAAAATTTTTCACATGTCTTCTATGAATAAATATTTATTTTCTGATGTACAAATAATTTTATTATTTTCAGCAGTGTCGTCCATGCGGGTTTTGCATTGAATATTTTTGGAGAAAAAAATGGTACGCCACTGCCTAATATTAAAATAAAAAATATTTTCGGAGTCTTCATTGACTTTTTTCCGTACGACTCATCGTTTCGCATAAAAAAATAAATGCATTCATTTGTACACTGCCGCCAAATTAACCGCTATGCTAAAATTAAATAATAATAAATTTTAGGTTTAGGACATATGTTCATTTGAAGTTTTTTCTTAAAATGGGTCCAAGAATCACCCCCTTAAATATTAGCATGCCATTATGGAACACCCTATAGATTCATTTTATACTATTCATTTCTTCAAGAAAGAAGTGAGAATCTTGAAAAATTTTAGATAGACTCAACATTTCAACAAAATAAAATGTTTTATTCAGCAACTATTATACAGTTCACTTGAGCATATATTTATAGACTTATGCTTGCCCGAATGAAACTTTGGGTCTGTAGCCATTTTCGTCTGCAACGAAATCCACGTGGAATGGAAGACCATCGGGGAAATTGAAACCGAAGTCACCCTTAACTTGAAGATGGCTGTTGTATTCTCCTTCTTCAGGGCTTCTACCTTGGGCATGAGGTGGACCAGGAACGACTACTCCTTGTTCGCTACGTTTAATGGGGTCGTTAGTTTCGAAGCTGCAACAAACAATATTTTATTGTTTAGCGAACGCTACACTTTTTGTAATAAAGAAAAAAATAATTTTAAATTTATTACAAATATTAATAAAAATAATTCCGATATTTTTTTAGGTACAGGTATTGAAAACTAATAAATTTAAAATATAAAATTTGAAAATATTCGTAAACTTGGTTTCAACCAAGACAAAATTTTCAATCCTACCCTCAAGCTTCAGTTTACTGATTAATTTAGTTTTTTTATAAACTTCTATTAATTATATAGCTTTATTTTAACATAAAATAATTTTCTCCTGTTTTTCTCTCGATATTTAGAATAATTGAGCTGAATAAGAGCAAAAGATTTTTACCATGATAAAGTGTTATACGGAGCTAGTACAAAAATCCAATATATGGGTAAGAGCAAATGTATTTGCAATATGGTCAATTCTATGAACAAATAAAGATTATTAAAGTAAAAGATGGAAAAAGGTGCAAATTCACAATATCACTATTTTACTTGTATAACTTGTATATACTATATTAAGTTTTATATGCCTAAATTGGCCATAAAAAAACTTACGAAAAAGCGTAACCGTCATCCCTCACATCATTATCGTATCTCAAAATTTCAGATTCCTTGCCAGCAGGCTTGGACTCGACGCAAACAAAAACGAATGCAACAACGAGAATTGCAATTTGAGACTTCATCTTGACAATTTTTACATTCGACTAATGTCATCTAATGAATTGTTTCTGTTTAAATAAATAATTACCCAGTTTCCGAGACTCCAAATTTCGGGTAGTGGGGCTAACGACGTAGCCCGCTCGATGCATGATGCTCAGATATTCCGAAAATTTGAAAACGGAACAGGTCGATGAACCATCTGTTTTATTACTGATGAATGAAAAATATTCAAAATTACTTTTTTTGATTGATTATTAATTTCATTGATTACTTACTTTTCCAAATAAGTGGAATTCAATTACTTGTTATTGAAAGTTTAGCATCGCGACTCTTTTTGAAATTCGACTTTCTTTAACTTTTTTTATTCACAATGTAAAGTTCGAGGTTCTTTAAATTAAAGTATCGCTAAAAAGAGGCAATATGGAGACAATTTCGTATTTATTGTATAGTATAGGTGTATATTTTGTTGTACTTAAATTAAAATTTATTCTACACAAAACTATTTGTGATAATTTATTTTAATCATTATTATTTTAATTTCTCGATAAATTAACATCATCTCAGACTGCAACCTCAAACGCGCTACTCCACATCGCTTTAACCCAATCCTCCTCCAGCTAAACTCGCTATAGCCGCTGTGGGAATCCTCTGGGCCAGCTTCACGACCCCGAAGTGGAATTTTGAATAAGTCTTCGATTCGGGTTGAGTGTCGAACTCGGTAAATAAAAACTCTCCAGTGGGATATTTGAAAAAATAATCGCCTTGCACTCGAAGAACACCCTCGTTTGTCTTGGATGCAGTCTCGTTTCGTTCAAAACCATTGTCTGTTATCTTCAATCTAAAAAAATGGAAAACATTACTTTATAGATGAATGTTTAAAGATTATTTATTATTAATTTCTTATCATTAGTAAGAATTATCTAATTTTACGTTGCCACATTGAAATGGGTATTTCTGTGGACATGTACATAGGTAATTTATAAAAAGAAAAATTGTTTGCAATAAATTACATATTAAGATTTTTTCTTGTTCTTGTTAAAAAGATATAGTATTTCTCTATAAACTATAAGTTATTAAAGAATATTTAATTGAAACAATTTTTTTAACTATTAAAGTTATGTGGCCAAAATAAAATAAAAACCTTTCAGGTATTAGCACTTAATAGCTTAATAGATAATCTTATTAAATTTATAGTAAATATAAAAGGAAAGCTCTAAAAAATTTAATACAATAATAGATAATTGTGCATTATCTATCAAATTTTAATATTTATGCATGGTCTTATCGAACAGTATAAAAGTTAAAAATTGCCCAATTGGAAGGATAGTAATAGTTTTATGCGAATAGCTTGGGAATATTCATTTTCTCTTTGACTTATTTTTATAATCATTTTTCATTTGTATTCTATTCGTATTTTATACATCAGCAACAGTTTAACCTGAACCAAAGATGTTTACAACATTGCACGTCAAGCACGTGAGTTTAACTTGCAGTAAGAGTTGCAGTAAGAATTAATGTTATTTTATCGAAAAATTAAAATACAGGTTTATTGAAATTTCGTGTGCAAAAATTACTATCTATTGCGTTCCATGCTCGATGTTTAAAATGTTTAAAGTTCTCCTTAGCAGGAGAAAAAATCAATAATTTTTCAAACATTGAAGGGCTGGCTATTTATCCAGAACTCCTGAAAAAATAAATCCGATCAGTGCACTCATTCTTTGAGAAAGAGCCTCATTACTGAAATCATGAATTTTTACTTAATTTGTTTTACTCCACTAATAACTGAATCTTTTGCCTCTACACTTAAAAATTTAAAATTTCTGCTTGTATTCTGCATTCTGAAAAACTGAAAGCCTTTATTATTCTCTTAACAGTTTATTTACAGTTTTTTAACAATAAAAACATAGATTCAATGATCAATCCATAGATTTCATTAAATTTCTTTAAATATTGTGGAAATCAAAAGAGTTTCATATACATTTTCGATTCAAAAAATCGATTTTCTTAAAAATATACAAAATATTTGAGCACAATTAATAAACTTATGCATGCGTCCCAAATGAAACTTTGGGCCTGTAGCCATTTTCGTCAGCTACAAATTCTACGTGGAAGGGGATTCCATCAGGGAAATTGAAACCGAAGTCGCCCTTAACTTGAAGATTGCTGTTGTCTTCTCCTTCTTCAGCGCTTCTACCTTGCGCTTGAGATGAACCAGGCACAATTACTCCTTCTTCGTTACGTGTAATGGGATCATTGGTTTCGAAGCTGCAAAATAATGTTTTTTTATTATTAAGAGTATGGAAGTAGCTTTTGAAAATGCTTGAGGAATTGAAAAATTGAAATGTTTAATATTAATTTTGGTTCTAACACTGCTAATGTAAATTAATAAATTTGAACTTAACTTTTAATGATTTGATGGAATTAACTGGATTAACTGTAATTATAACTAGATTAAAAGAATTTCAATTTGCTTAAAATAGCATAACTGGCGCAGTAGAATATGGTTAATTTTATCAAAAATTGTGAGAAAGGGATTTCCCTTTTTTACAATATGAAATTTTTCCCATATATGTAAAAATTATGGAAAAAATAATTTAAAAACAACTTCTTGAATAAATGATTTATGGTTTAGAAAACAACGACTATTTTTTAGATTTTTTTTTAGATCATTATACTTAAAGTACCTTGAAAACAATATACTTTAGTGATTATGATTGCTTCTTGATAATTATTGTCTTCTTAATATCGCTTTTTAAGGTTTCCACTATTTTTTATATCAAAAAATATTTAATTCATTAATTTAACAATAAAAATTATTTGCTGGAAACTTGTGATTCTTGTGACACCATGAATAATGTCATTTTAAAACAAGTTTGGTAACTTTTATTGTGGTTAAATAACCTCAACTCGGCATAACTTAAAACCGCAATAAGGTTAAACAATTTTCTCCACATAGTATTCACAAAAATGTTACATCTAATAAGATTGCATATTTTCCAAAGAGTCGAAATTAATACCATTTAAACTAAATACAAATATTAACATGTTATTAATTTGTTAATTTAATTTTAAGGGAAAATCATGGTCTATAAGAACACATGATCCACATTGAGACAATGCACAAAAATCCAATTATACAGGCTAGTCAATATTGGGTTATTATTTAATATAATTAATAAATGTACAAATTGAAAAACAAAACTTACGCAAAGGAATAACCGTCTTCTCTCACATCACTGTCATATTTCAAAATTTTCGATTCCTCGCCACCAGCGGGCTTGGACTCGACGCAAACGAAAACCAATGCAACAACAAGAATTACAAATTGGTACTTCATCTTGGCAATTTTTACAATCGACTAATGACATAAAATGAAATTTTTCTGTTTAAATAAACAATTACCCAATTTTTCGAGGCTCCCAAATTTCGGGTAGTGGGGCTAACGACGTAGTCCGCTCGATGATGCACCGATATTTATCTTATGAAGTAATTGGGAATTTTAAGTAATGAAAGCAGAGTTGTAAGAGAATTTGCCAAAATTTACACCCGCGTGTTACATGTGGGTCATTTGTATGATGAAATGAAAACAGGACGAGTCGATGTATACTTATTCCAAATTTACATCTTATATTTATTGTTTCCATGCAGGCTCTATTTGTCTAAAGACACAATTGAATAACAAAAAATGTATTCCTGATTCATAAAAAATATTCTTGATTTTATTCATAACGTACCTATGGTTTAATTTTTTTTGATATTTATTCCACACCCTGTATATTTAAGCAGGTCCTGGGATAATAATAAAATTATTGAATTCAGTTCCAAATAATGCAAATCGATTTTACATAATCCGCATATAGGAGCCATAAAGAGAAAATAGAAAGTAAAATTTAATATTCATATATTTTGGAATTTTTAAGTATCCTTGCGCCTCGAATCTTTGTATCCTTGTCGTTTGGTGTTGAAGATGATAGCGTGTATATTACAATCTTTTGGTGTAATGCTCGAACTTCAGGTTATCTAACACTACCTGGCATTTACATTTTTGATTAATATTTATGTATATGAGGAATTTAGGCGCAGCGATTGTTTATCACAATTCTATTAGTACCTAATTGATCCATGCAATTGTAGGTGCTATAACTGATATCTACATAAAAAATAAATTTTCAACGACATGATTTGTTAATCTTTTATTCAAAGCGTCGACAATAAAGTTATGTACAACAATTTCCTGAAAAAATAATTAATTAAAGAGCGTATTGGTAAATGGAAGAATGCACCATAAAATACTTCATGGTTTCGAACAATTTCCAATCAAATCTTCCTCGAATTTAAACAGTCCGTGTGCTTATCGCCGTCCGGATCGCGGTTGACCAATGACCACTTGTGGTCTGTAACCGTTTTCACTCGCCACAAACTTGACGCTCATCGGTGTTCCATCTTGCAGTGTGAACGAAAAATCTCCGTCAACGTTGAGCAATTGATCGTTTTCTTTGTCCGGACCAGGTTTCAAAACTCCTGCTTCAGTTCTTCGGATGCCGTTGCTCGTTTCAAAACTGAAATTGATTAAAAATATCATCTATTTACTATGTGAATTGATAGTTTTTACGAGAGATTTATACAGAATTAACAGGACTTTTAAACACGAAGTAGAAGAAAAATCTTTTTGGTCGTCCCTTTCGGACACCCAATATGCGACTACATAATCGTAACAAAGCTTAAAAAAATCAATATAGCTTGAAATGAATAAGCGAATTCGTATAAAAATTGATTATTGATGTGGAAATTCCAGCAGCACGTTTATCAATTATCTAATATTTACGATTGTTGTAAACAAATAAATTATAAAAAAATGTGGATATCTAAAAAGATACAGGTATTAACTTTTTTCTAATTCCTTCTGTTAATTATACTATCATTATCCACACAGGAGTATGCATCACAAAAACCGTCTGTAATTATACTAAATTGCTGAATCTCATTTCGTGAATAAGTAATTTAATGTTGTTAATCCTTTTGTATTACAGGCATTAAAAATAAGCATTGCCATTTGCACACGATGTTTAATTTTTATTATATACCCTTCAAGGTTAATCAATTAATTTCTGTAAACATACATCACCAATTTCCTTACTTGGAAATTACAAAGAAGAAAAAATGCTAATAGGCAATTCATTTTTTTGTAATTCCTGAAGAGTCCCATCTTTCAACTTTGATATTTTTAAAGGTCGCTAGTCTCTCGTAAATAACGATGAAAAATTGTTTGCTACTTTCGATAATTACCTAATAAGAAGAAGAAAAAATTTGAATATTTTGGCTATCAGGATTTTTTAATCAACGACCTATCTCATCTTGGAATGCTGATGCAGTAAATATTTTCTATTTTATTTTATTTTTGATCCTTAAAGAATTAATTATTTTCTAGGAACTTTCCTACAAGGTTAAAAATTCAAAAATATGAATAACATAAGGAAAAATTTAAGAAATTATCTCAAAACAGATTTCAGTATTATAATACTAAAATCTGTATATAATATTAATAAAACTTTTAATAAGCTCACCGATTCTACCTGTCTTATATAAATGATTACAATTGCAGATATTACGACATGTATGAAGGTGGGAAGAAAACAAATGTCAACGCAATAATACAAAATAAGGTTAAGCGCTGTGTGAATATTTAGCTTGGAGAAAAATTGCTAATAAATTAACCCACTAATACAGGGTGTTGCGTTATGTAGTGAAATCCAAAAGTTACTTAACACAAAGAGTCTCTGGTAATTAATCTTTTCTCGAAATTCGTTTTTATACATATATCACCGAAGGCTATAATAGAACCTTTATACAATCCTGTCATATTGATCCTGATAATTAATTCAGTAGGTAATTAATAAAATGAATAATTTCAATACGAAAATTCGTATAATAAATTGACAAACAATAAACAATATGTATGTAGGTACAGTAGGTAAATATTAGTTAAAAATAAAATGATATAATAGTTGCGTCATGTATTTTAATTCGTTGGTTAATTCCACTCATTGATGAAAATTTGAAGATACATTCAAGGTTATAAATACCACCTTTCTGAAATAATCAGTTTCAAAATGCGCAGTAAAATGTAAAGATTATGACTTTTAACACATCGAAAACTGACCTTAAATTTATTTTTAAAATAACAACTGCTAAGCAGACATCATTTATCTAATAGCATTAAATAAGCAAGAGAAGAATATTTACAAACTCACAATCTTCAGATACCTAATACTGTAATCCATTTTTAGTAAAATTTATTCACTATTGTTGTTAAAGGTATCAATCACTTTTTATATTTTACTTTTTTCAATTAATTTCAATTTCAATTTTAATTCGTATTTCAATTAATCCTATCATCTAAAAAATACTTGAAACTTACTCAAAATTGTAACCGTCCAGCCTCAAATCATTATTGAATTTGACTATTTGAGCTTGAGCATCGCCGTCGGCTGGCCTGCCGCTGACGCAGGACACGAATATGGCACAAACGATGACAATACTCCTGACGGGCAACATTTTCTTTGCATGCACTAGCGCAAAGTAAGCTTGCATACAGGTGCATTTCTATAAAATAGCTGAAATATGACTAACTGTAAAGGTTGCGTAATGCGTTTGATGGGCCTGATGCATCTTCACTCTTCAGTAAGTACGCTTTGTTAGTACGGGAGGAATGTCAAACTGAATACAAAGAAACCATAAAAAATTATGGAAGTTAATGATATTGAATCTTACCTAATTTGTAATTAAAACTTTAGTTAAAGTGCTTTCTAGAATCAATTGGGACAACTAGTACAACAACTGGGACAACAAGTATCCCATGGACCTGAAATACATCTGCATCGTCATTTAATTTTAACCATTTGAAGGAATATCTCGTTTGTTCATTACATAAATAGAATTTGTCTACATTTAAAAGCGTAAGACATTGATTACAGAAGAACTAAATTACAGGAAAATTTTTCTTATAAACATCTATAGACATTTTTTTGTGAATCCTTCGGTTTCTGGAGTTTGCACTTGTTTGCAATTTTTATCTCCTCCACATGGTTGGATATTTTTACAAGAAACTTTTTTTTTGAAAATCCACCTACCGTACTATTAGAAGAAGAAGACGCCTCAGAGTTATTAGTTGCAACAGCTAACAAGGATTTTTAGTGGCCATTGGCATTTTTTTGCTGAATAACTTTGTGAAATGTAATTATGAAAATGTTACGTGCCTTTCCGAAAAGGTCACAAATAATGCGACTGAATATACCAGGAACTTATGTTTAATAATGAATGGTGTTTACGAAGAAAAAATTGTGATGCAGGCAACCTTTTAAATAGTTAATAGTGAACTAAACAACTATATAATTATCAAATTAGAAACGGGTGTATTGGGCAATTTTTGTTTGAAAATTCCGTACAAGGTAAACTGTTTAGATATAGTAGTTTCCCTTAATTTTTCTTAGGGTTAATTCGTTAATTAAATTAGTTTTACATACACATTTTTTAATTCAAATATTAAAAACCATTTTAGTTGTATGGGCATCCTCAAAATTTATTAAAAAATACTTAATTTGTTAGTGTAAATAAAAAAGAATAGTAAATGCCATAAAAGTACAGATCGACAGAAATAGCTAAACCTTGCAAGGTCATATTCATAATGGTAAAAGCATACGGTGTCGAAGTTTATGCAATTTAATGGTGCATAAAGAGCATAAAATTCGGACAAAAAAGTACTTTGAAATTGCTGAAAATAACATGCATTTATTTATAAGTACATACATAATTATTATAAAACATACACAACTATAAAAAGTATTAACAAATTCAACAGCATTATAAACAATTGTGCTGAATATTTTAAACTTATTAACATACAAATTGTTAGGTAGACTAAAAATCTGAGTGCAAATTAATCTTTCTAGAGCATGTGATCTCGATAAAAACAATACAATATTTGGATAAGCGTGCAATTTTATCTAATTCTGCATAATTCAGTATCTATCTTCTGGTCTGGGTTGATATCTAGGATCAGGATGCGTCCGAATCCACTCCAAAGCTCTCAGAATCGCTGGAGGTATTGGCGGTGGGGTCGGTAAATGTGGTCCTGAAGCTCTGAACCCGTTTTCATCAGCAGTGTATGTTAAAGAAATCGGCGTATTATCAGGAGCAACGTAACTGAAACCCCCTCTAACATCCATCGCCTCATTTACCGAACCGACGTTTTTCAATCGTCCTTCTTCTTCTGCGTTGATGCCATTTTCGGTTAGATAACTGAAATAAGTGTAAATCGTATATTGGATTGAAATAGCTAATTTGAATTTGAATGATTGGTTTATTAGGAGAATACTATTGAAGCCATCTATTAAGAAAGTTATAAAATATAAGAGAAGGTCGAATAATTATCTCCTCAATGTTGAATTTTATTTATTGAAGAATACGTAGATGGCATTCTAATTAAAATAACAGAATTGTCAATATAAATAAATTGCTGATCAAATATTCATTATCGAGTCTTTATAATTATTAATTATTAAATCATAATTAAAAGCAAAAATGTTTGCAATTTGTGAAATCAGAAACTATTGATCTTTTAAATATTGATCATTAATTTCTAGGATTCAAAGAAATTTTATTTTAGTATAATTATTGTTATTAAAAATGAACTTTTAGCAGTATCAAATGTCTCGAATAATATTTTTTGGTTTAGATTCTTTATTTTATTTTAAAAAGCAGTATAAAAATCGATACTATTCCCGAGAAAGAAGAAATGGAAACCTTCATCTCATCTGCTTATAATAAAAAAATAAAAATGTTATATACTAACCTCCATCTATACGAACCATCTGTGTTTGGACCTTCCTGCGTTTGACTGAGTATTTTAATATTAGCTCCGTCATAATAAGGTCGATATTGGGCAGAACAAACACCTACCACTAGAGATACCAGAAAAATCTGAAAGAGTTTTCATTATAATAATTTAGAGGTATTTCGACTATCTCAAATCTGTGGATAGGTGCCATAATTAGGATATGTCGAGTTAAGTAAGTACCTATAGGTAGCTATAGTTGTTTGATAGGTTTTTAACGTTAAACTTTTGCAGTTGTAAAACACTCAACGACCTCAACGAGAGGAACCTACATAACTCAATTTTCACAAAATGCTGACATACCAAGTTGGCGTCTATCAACAGAAATTATTTAATTAGTCCATCTCCATCATATAAACAATTTGTAAACATTTAATTAGGTGCTTTCATTAAATACAAAGGTTTTCCTTCAGTTTCAATATTAACTTCCATCACTATTACTTATTAGTACTATGTATCTGTTTAATAAATGTTTAATTTTCCATAAACAAATCCTACAACCGCCCCTTACAAATCACGAAAATTAACACATAATTATCAATTAACTAAACGTCACTCTCGATTCATTAACTTAATTAACTCACCACTGCGTTCATTTTGACTAATTATTTTGCTATACTGACCACAACTCGACTGGATCAATATCTTCGTCTAGATCTAGTTTATATAGGAAGGTGATATTCAGATAAAAATTATAATTGCCAGCCCCCTCAACATGCAACTTTGTTTTTAGAAGAATTTTTTTCAACTCCTTCGCAAAAGGTCAGGGCACGTTGCAAGAGAGGCGCGTCTTCATATTAGTTATAATTTAACAGGGACGGACCCACCATTGACCTATATATCGGTAAAAAAGTAGAGTCCTTTCGTCATAATTATAAAGCTTCAACTGGTTGGAATTAATTAATTATCAAATCGTGGTTACCAAGATGATTTCCTGAATGAATTACCTCCTTTTACCAACAAGCGCTAACGTTGGTGTAGTTAGCAAAATTGATGTTGGAAAATATGAGCTGAGCCATTCCTGCGTGATTATTTTGCTATAAATTCAAATGTTTTATGTAGTCAATTTGAATATTTGAAGAAATAATACGTTGTCTGCTGCCTTTAGCAATTATCTTTTCGAATTAGATGGCATACAAATGGGTTGATGCTGAAGATATTGCACATTTCAAATTTGCATCTATTATGAGAGATTAGAAACGTTTTATTTATATACCTGTGGTTTACTTGTTATTTCATTCTTTCTTGATGTGATTATGCAAATGGTTTAAAATTTATTGAATTTATGATCATTTTTATCTAAATGCTCTACTTATTAAAATTATACCTGCACTTTCACATGAAATTTATACAAATCAGATCTTTTTAGTGTAGGTACACATATCAATCTTTCCTGAAATTATTAGCAAAGTTCATCCCTGTAAAAAAACCTAATCTAATATAAATTCATTCCATTTATATGAAAATTTGAATTTGTGAGAATTGATCGCTCGACACGTTTAATAAGGTCATTCGGAATCGACTTCTTGCATCACTTGCATAAAGATTAGCGACTTAGTTGATCCTGGATATGACTTGTTGATATTTAAATTAACTTTTTCAATATGCAAATATTATACCATCAGCATAAGAGGATTTTATTTTAGTGCTTACTGGTTTACGCAATGAGTACCTAGATAATACTAGAGGCGCTCGGAAAGAAATGTAATAAAAAAAGTAAATTGTATTGCACAATTATCTACGATTCTTGAGGTACATTTTTACATAGGTCGCGAAATTTTCCGGACATTTTCAGTACGTTGCACCAATTCTTGTCTGCCCTCCTCATTGAAGGTTGTTGACTGTGTTTTACCCGTACAAGTTTTCGAAATGCAATTTTTCAGTAAAAATTTCATTAAATTTTTATGGAGAGATTTGTGGAAATTTCATAAAAAAATCATGAATTGTGAACTTTTTCGATTAATCGACGATTTCCGTTATTCTTTAGGTAGGTACCTCTACTTCAGAAAGTCATGCGTTGCCGCGGATAGTTGAATACACAGGCGGTGTCACAGGGCATACAAAAACGTGTGATTATCGTGTGATTAGTAGGTGATTAGTAGATTATTGTGCAATAATTTTTTTGTATATACAGTTCAGTTTCAAATCGATATAAAGTGACTCATCCGTCAATGTTATGAAAAATAGTGCAGGAGTCATGTCAAATATCAGCGGCGCGGTATGAATATTTAATATACTCATAAATAGCATTAAATTTAAATAAAGGTGGAGGAAAAGATGTGGAATCTCGATGGTACAATTGAGACAATTTTGGAACCTGTTGTAATTAATCTCAATGAATCTAAAAGTGAAGATTCAGATTTTGATGATTCGCTAGATGAGGATGCCGACTACTCGAAATTCACATGTTAATCAACCTTACTTTTTTAAATGGCCCTTTCCAGGGCCACCGATTTGCTCATAGAATAGAAACACTGAAATTGCTATTTGAACAACAAAATAAGCTCTTTTTAAAAGGCAATTCAATATTATTTGAAAAAATTAAATAAATTTGTTTTATTTGAATTTGATACTATTTATGAGTATATTTAATATTCATACCACGCCGCTGATATTTGAATTTGACATGACTCCTGCACCATTTTTCATAACGTTGACGGATGAGTCACTTTATATCGATTTGAAACTGAACTGTAGTAATATATCGAAAAATTCTATTGACTCCTTTAATTAGTTCATTTCTACTAATATAAAATGTGTGGACCGACAAAAGATGGAGAAAAGCGCATGTAAACCCAAAAATAAATAATTTTTGATAGTTTTTACGAATTGTCCACTAATCAAATATTGAAGAAAATTCATAAATGTTAGCATGTTTTCATTATTTTAAAATTTCACTTTTCTGCGAAACAATTATTCCATTAATAAGCAAATAGGTATCTACTATCGCGAAAAACCACATTGATTTAATAGAACGAATTAAAAGATGCGTTCATTCGCTGGCTGAAATGCAATTACGAATCAAATTCCGGCATCTGAAAATGAATGTTATTGCGAGAGGATATACCTATGTAATTACAATAATTGATAATTACGAATCCTTAACATGTTTCTGAATAATAAACTTTTTAATAATCGTATCTTGATACGATAATTGAATAACACGTGTGGAAATATGAAAATTAGGTACTCCTACATCTAATAAGTATATCCGTACTTGAGAAATATTATTATTATTAATAATCTCTATCAATAAGTATCAACATATTCATTTAAGAAATATTATCTATTATTTTACTTGGAATTGTAACGAAACGATTGCAATATTAGCAATTATTATTAAATATAAACTTCTCAAAGGGCAAGTCCTAATTTCATCTCAAAATTATGTAGGAATAAGTCGCAATAATATCGTCGAATATTTTTATTGCACATACATATATTCAAAATCTTTTTTTATATTACAACAGGTAGAAAAATCACAACATCATAAATTAAAACCACAGTGTCCTATTTGATGAATCGAATGCTTAAGGTCGTCTGAAACCACCGGGAGAGGGTCGTTCCTGGTCTTCCTCTGGATGAGCCGCGTTGTATTCCAGAGATCGCAAAATCGCCTCGGGAATCGGCGGAGCCGTCGGCAAATGGGCTCCTTGTGGTTGAAAACCGTTTTCATCGGCAATGTACGTCAATTGGATGGGCGTCCCATCGGGCGCGGTGTACTGCATACTACCTTGGGCTTCTATGAGGTCTTGGGCTTTCTGTCTACCCTGCTCCCTGGCCGAAATCCCGTTTTCCGCTTCAAAACTGTTTATGTAAACATAGAGAATGAGCTCGATGTAATTATTTAGTCATTAAAATGTTTTATAATTTGATAAAATACCAAATTATGTTCTGTAAGAGAGAATTTCTTGACAATTCTACTCAAATTTTAATATTTTTTTGTGGAAATGTAGTTTTTGGTAAATCAAATTGTGTATTAAACAAATATTATAATTATGATTGGTATGGTTTTTAGTAAAGATTATTGCAGTTTTCTTGGATACATGCATTCAGTTAATAAATTTACCTCCAAGAATAGGATCCATCAGGATTTGGTCCATCTTGAGTTTGACTAAGAATCCTAATAACTTGCCCTGGACTAATGGCACCTGTCGGCCTGTACTGTCCTACGGCGCTTCCAAGAATGGCTAAAATAACCACCTAAAAATAATCCTCGATCTAATTAATCCAGTTAAAAAAACAATGTTGAAATTTCAGAATCTTTTTGGTGTGCATTCCCTTCATTTAACAATTTACAACACACAACGACTGGAACTCACCAGCGATAACATGATTTAGCCGCAATGGTCACTACTAAACTAAACACGAGTGCATCCTATTCCGAAAATTGGCTTATATATACACATAATCCTAGTCGATCATCTCTAAGCATTCCGCCATTGGCCTGTCTCTCCTCCCCTTTAAGCGGATCCGCGCATTTTTTTCCTCCGATGCATTTCTTTTCGATCCGTTGCATCTGTTCCTCCTCAATCTTCGTCTTATGCTGCGGCCGCTGCAAAGGTCACAAGGATAATCGCGAAGGATGATTTACCGTATTCGAATGCAATGGAAGAGGTGCGGTGAATGGTGAACACTGGGTTCTTCAATTTTTTGCTATGCTATAGTCTGTGAACCATTTGTTTGTTAAATATTTAGTTCGTTAACTAGTCAAATCCTCATGCTGCATTTTAAGTTAATTAGTAATTGTTTTTCAGGATATTTCAGGAATTGCTCAATCTTAGAATTACTATACTTTCATATGTTAATTGATTTAGCTAAATGATTGAAAAACTATCAAGCACTTTATACCCAGATACTAATAGAGATATTAAAAAAATTAGTACGAGTTTCTTAAGAAATAATTCAAAGAATTATGTTATTAGTTAATGTGAAAAATCAAATTCTTCACATCACGAACTTTTATTACGGTTTAAAAAGAATACTTGACCTTATTGCCGGTTTTTTTTTCGAGTAATTTTTGTTGCGAAAGTGCGAACAAGGGAACAACAAGTGGGCGTTTCGATGCGAATTTGCACCATCGCATTCTTCAATCGGATCGAAAAGATTCGTGATCGTCGCGATCTACGTGATAACTCATGCTGCGCTTTAAATTTATTCTCGACTAAGTGCCGCATGAATCATTGTAATGCAGCCACCTTATTTTCACCACAGTCTTTTCCGTTTGGAATTTAACATAAGAGCGCGGAAATTTATGTAGATATGTATGTGTCATTATTTTAAACGATCTTTTACTGAAAAGGTTTGTCATCTAAATTGATTTGATTTCCTATTTATAGGGTTTTTTAATAATTATTTACGAGAATTTTTTATTATTTTTTTAGAAATAGGAATTAGATGGATAGATGGTATGGATTGGATAGAATGGATAATTTTTTAAATAATTTAGCCAATGATTTCATGATACAGTCCTTGCAATCATTTTATCTTTAGTATTTAGTGCTTGTTTAAATATTTCTAAAAGTTTTTATGATGATCATGATTTATGATTGATCAAATTAACTAAATATACTGGGTTTATACTAGTATTTTTTTTATTTAATTTTATACTCATTTAATGGAGTAGTATATGATTTTTAAAGAAGTTTTTATAGTTAATTCAAAATGTTTATGGGTTTTTAAGAAATTGCTCAGAGTTCATAACTTATTATACAAATAAAAAACCTTTATAGAACCATGAATACAAAATTAAAAAAACATAATCAAATATTCAGAAAGTAAGTAAAGTGTAAATAGCACTTTCGCAACAGTTAATTTTAGATTAAGTTCGATAAAGTGCAATTAAATTATTCATATGTTGCTTGACAGTGAAAAAAAAATCAATGAGCTAGCTACCTAGAATTCGTAGTCCCATCTACAGTAATTATTTTGTCAAAAATCGTCATGTTAGAATATTCCCAAGTATTAAAGCTTACTTATTACATAAACCTATGAATGCAAAATAATCATCACAATCGCGAATCAGGAGGTATTTTGATTGATTGTCCATTATTGTAGCAGATATTCCTTCGATAAGAATTTTATACTAATTTGACGTGGATAACTACTTCTGAACATGACATTTAAATTTTTTTAAATTCTTTTACACATTTCTCGTTACATAATATTAAAAGAATGGAGGATTCGTGCCAATTCTCGTTTCTTTCACACCATTTATACTAGTTGCACTTTTGATTCCAAATAAGTAAATGTTTATAGAGATTATTACTAGAAAAAGGGCTGAACTTTTAGGTAGGCAGTTTATTTCGAGCATCAATTCGACCTTTCCTGCATAACACCTGCATAAATGAAAATTTAAAGCTTCTGAATGCTGTAAAATATTATAATTATTGATTTAACTCCGCATTTTTTACGTCGTCTGCAACGCCTACATTGCCTAATCGACCTTATCGAATGAAGATACCTAAACACCCACGTTTGATATTAGATCGTCAATTTATTAATTATTCAAACGTACAATTAGCGTTGCGTAAATCGATTAAATTTATGTAAAAAATTGCGTTCTTCATGCCATACTTGGGATATTCCGAAAAAGAATACTATTACCTAGGTATTATTAAAATGTAGGTAATTATTCGCCAAATAATTCATACATCATATTTTAGCACCCCGTTACTATTATTCTATCTGCCTATTCCATATTATATGTACTATTCTGTATAATCTGTCTATCTGTTAATCAAGCTATATCTAAAGGCTAGTTTGTGTAAGTTAATATATTATAAAGTTTCCTTTCCTAATTTTGTACCAGGAAGTTTTTACGATCTTTATTACCATCTAATCAGATTACAAAGTAAGCTAAATAAAGAATGCCATTTGCATTTCTACCAATAAGATTTAGCCTTACTTACCAAGGTTAATGTAATTTTTAATAGGATTCTTCGGTCGCTTCTCATCTAAATCTATAGAATAACATTTATAGAAATTGAAAAAAAGCAATCGCCACATTCTTGCATAATTCTTATCATTAGGAATCGGCCTGTAGAATTCGCGAGTTAATGATTTTTCCCTATTCGCATAATGAAGAATCACGATTTTAAGACCAGAACGTGCTCTTTAGGCACTGCTTGAACTATAAGCGATATAACGAAGGCTGAATGTTTACCTTTTTAAAGATAATGGTTCGTTAATGCGAGTTGGTCAGAGGCGGGGTAACGATTGTTCTCCTGTTAACCCGTTACCTTACAGACCTACAGAAATAGCTTATGAAATCAAGGTCATATGGACAGAGGGGAAAGTATACATATGTCACTTGATGTTATGTATTAGATGAAGAATGATTAATGGTTCCTCATTTTTCTTTCGCACAACTATGTACATATCCATCTACATATAACGGAATTATTATTTGATTTATGATTATTATTATTAATTATAGTTTCATTAGACTGTTACATAATGTAATTTTTTTAAATATCTAACAAATAGGGTCTGGTAATTTTTCAGTATTATTAATAAAACACAAAGGTGCTTCAAAATTGTTTATAAAAGGAAAAAAGTGCAACAATTGTATTTCTAATCCTATTTACATGCATAGCATAAAAACAATAAGACATTACTTCATAAATATTTGTGCAAATAAAGATTAACTGATTTTCTTATTATATCTACTGTATCTTCATCATATAGGTACCTATAATATTTTAGTAAATTCCATTTCGAAATATAATATAAATAAATTGTAGCAATATAACTATTAGCGTTAATTGTGAGCTAATGATTTTTTTTCCTTTTGCTTAATTATATCAATGTTCCAACCGATTATAGCAATTCTGTTTCCACTCTGATGTAAATAAGTTCCTCCACTTACACATCCCTACTGTTTATAGTACCTACAATAAAACGTCATATAAATACAATAACAAATATACACGTTCTAAACATTTTTCAATAATACTGAATCAGGTGTGCTCCGATCGTTCTCAATTATAATCAATTAATCTTCATTCGAAAATAAACAAGAAATAAACTCTAAAACCGTCTGGGCGATCCTTTTCCGTCGTCGTCTTCCTCCGGATGAGCGGCGTTCCATTCCAAAGACCTTTGGATTTCTATGGGGATGGGCGGCGCGACCGGCAGGTGGGCGCCCTGCGGCTGAAAACCGTTTTCGTTGGCGATATACCGGAGTTGTATGGGCGAACCGTCCGGTGCCGTGTACTCGAAGCCGCCTTGCGCTTCTTCGATGGGTTCCTGCGAGTTGGCATTCTTGATTTGACCTATTTCCTGGGCGGAGATGCCGTTGTCGGATTGAAAACTGATGAAGAAAAAACATTGAATTATTGCAGTTCAAAGGCTAATCGGTTAAATTCAAAAATACTGTGAAATGATTCATATTAGAACAAGAAAATTATCTATCGTAGCACTCTGTGTATAATAATAACATAAATCAGGTCAATCATCCAGCTAGTTTTAGCAATAATAAGAAAAATTAGCCGGAAAAATTGCTTACCTCCACTGGTAGGTGCCGTCGAAATTGAATTCATTGTTCCCGCTTAATATCCTAGCTTTCCCGTCTTGACTATTTCCTGAAGATGGGGATGGTATGGCTCTAGGTCGTCCTTGAGCAGAAATGCAGTGGACGAAAATAGCCAAACATATAAGTACCTTGAAATTCAATGTATTTTCTATTGATTCGTGCTTAAAAGATTTTTTGGAGTTTTTTTGGAGTTTTTTCAATAATAAATTATTATATTTACACCGCAATGATTTTAATTATTCTATTAATTAATTTTAATGTAATTAAAAGTGTAGACCAAACCAATATGTTATTTAATCTATGATTAAAAGCATCTTCATACATGCTAGCCAAAGTACATATCTGTATTCAAATCAACAAATATTAAATATGCATTTAATCTAAGTATCTAATTAAACTTTACTTTTTTTAATGCTCTTACGGTTCTTATAAAATGTACAATAAGTATTTTCTTGTAATATGTAAATATAAATCTTTTATTAATTATTACCTACATAGATTAAATAGAAGACTTTTTTGTCGCAAATATATTTTTTTAATTATTTAGGATAAATCATTTATATGAAATTAAACATATCCAACCACAAATTGATGTAATAATTATTATTTCACAAATGATTTGGAACGTTACGAAAAGCTGATATAAAAAATTTACTTACGAATAACTTCATATTACAGGCAACCTGATCACAGCGACACTGTGCCCTGAAGAGTAGTACAATGGCATTTATACAAGTTGCAAAACAAAGAGGAATTACTTTAAAGACCCTCGCAGATGCAAATCTTCTTACATGCATTATAATTACCTAAGAATCGTTCTGCTCATTATTTCCGAACGAGAAGATCGACGAAAAACATCGATTTACGAATCGTTATCGATGGGCTAGAATCATTTATCTCGAATAAAAATACTTAAAAGTTTCAAAAACTCGCAGAATTATTTTATTTACCAATATAGTTATTTTTTAATATAAAAATTTCTTAAAATTATTATTACTTAAGTACCTATTTACTTACGTTAACAATTTGAGCAATGCAGTAAGTTAATTTAACATAAAGTCAAATATCGTTTCATAATTTTCTTGTGTTTTAAATATTTTCTGTGAAATCATAAAAAATATTTGATCCTTAATTGCAAGGAGTGGTAAAAACAATCTTCACCTCAATACATGTAAATTAATGTGGAACACCTTAAAACTCGATGAACATTTGCGAAAAGTTGCAATTGAAAAAAATAAATGTCGAGGTATCATCTCATTGCAAAAAGTGAGCATTAAAGCATTGTGCGAATACCACAATTTTAATTTAAATCTACACAAGTCTTATATCATATCGCAAGCAACAAGTATCCTCTTTCAAAATAATATAATTGCATAATGCACTTCCCTATATTAATAAAGGCATTTCAGATTGTATCTGCAAGCTAGTCATCAATTGTTCTGATGGCATTTCGATAAACGACTAGTTCACGGTTAATCATAAAATATTAATTCAATAAAGTTCAGTGACAATAAAATTTATAGTCAATTGTAATTGCTATAATATCTGCCCAAGGAAAACCGAAGATATGGGAATTATTTGAGACGAAGGAAATGCATTTATTTTTGGAAAAACTTGTTCAAAACAAGGGAAATAATGGAAGAACAATATAATTATAAATCATTCAATCAACACTTCATTAAATACATAATTTCAAAAGATTTCCTCATATTATTGAGCATATAAAATTTTATTGCTTTTTCTAACATGCGTTTTGGTGTTAACTGTATAATAATTTTTAGTCGACAAGCCACCGTTTATGTACATCTTATTATCCATAATGGCAAGTATTGGTGCAGTGAATCCTCGTAATAAAAGAATAGTGCACACAAACGTGGGCGTATACACGAAATGTCAAAGTCAGTAAGAGTCTCAAGCGTTGTGTGACCGAATAACATGAGAATTGCCCTAAAGTTATTTGCAATTATTATTATCTTCGCCCGAAATGGGTTCGAACGCCATGAGGACGCAAGAGTTTTCGATTGGGATCGGTTTCACGATCCGTTAAAAAGGTTATGGAACTGGTAAATTTTTGCACTTTCCGTAATTTCGTACTAGAAGTCGTGGAAAATGACCAGAAAAAAATAATATATTCTAAATATTTAATGCATTTTAAATTAGCGCGCCTCTGAGTGGATTCATCGCAAATGCAATGCATCAGTAAAGACGGGCGTCTAATGGTTTCTCTGGAAAGAATGGCGAATGCGTTGTTAAATTATTATACAATTTATTAGCATTATGATCAAACGAAATAACCTGAATCGAATGAAAGTAACAGTAATTCACCAGCGAAGAGTTCAAGGACATGCCGTACATCGTCTTGCAGATGCCTGGGCGATATTTGATATTAAAATTGGAGGTGATTCTTGGGCCCATTTTAAGAAATAAACTTCATGGGGGTATGTCCCATGAAGCCCATCCTCAACTTCAGGGCTATGTCCTAAACGTCTTAACTTTTGAGATATAGGGTGTTAAAGTTTAAAAAAAAAATCAATTGTTTACTGTCATTTCCATACCACTTTAAATATTTTTATGAAATTTGGTGTACGGCGTTTATGCAGTAAAGAGCATTTTTTGACCTAAAAAACATTTTTTATTTCCAACAGGGGTGCCCGTACTGATGGTCTCAGGCCAAATATAAGAGGGTAAAAGTGGTACGCCACTGTTTTCTCTTGAAACAAAAAATATTTTTGGAGGCCCCGTTCAATTTAGAACAAATTTAATTTCTTGACTTTTTTTAGTAGGTACGCTGCATTAGCCGCTGTGCAGAAATTAGGTAATAAAACATCCCGTATAGTTCCTACGTCGCAAGGTAATGGAAATTATTTGAAATGGTCAATAGATGTCATCAAAATAATATGCGTAGGTCTACATACTAAAAGAGGATTAGTTATGCAAATTATAGGCATATAACCATCGCGAATAGATTTATAATAATATTAATCCAATAACACATATTAAGATGACTGTAAAATGAGAGAATGTTAAAAGAAGGGAATATCATTGACATTTACATTTTTATTGAAATTCGCTTGAATGCTTAAATAACAAATTGAAGTTGTCGTTTTAATTTTTATTTTTTACACAATTACTCTAAATTTATTCACCCGATATATTAATATGTAATAGATTAAAAAAGGATTAACGTATAAATTAATTCCATTTCCTATATAAGCTTCGGGAAACAGTTAAATCGGCCACAATCCACTTAGGTAAAGTTTAAAAAGTTTTGATAATTTCATACTTCATTTTTATCTAATTCCACTATTTAAAGATGAATTGCATTTTTCGCGATAGAATCTCGTTCTTCTGCGCTCAATTATGTATCGAAATCGAATCGTCACAACTATTACCTATACAGAGTTATCTAACATATAGGGTGTTCATTTCTCAACGACCTTGTGTTTCAGCCTAGCCTAAAAAAAGCATTAAATGCTAATATAATTTATGTCATCAGCATCTCTATATAAATATGCTGCCGCAAAAAAATTTCAGCAGATGCTTGGTTGAGTGCAACATCATGATGAAGACCATCGTAAGTAGCACCAATTTCAATTTGAATTTCGTACATTAATTCGAACTTGTTGCAGGTTGTTTTTTCCGCTTTTGTAGCTGTAACAATCGCAGCTGTTCTTCCTGAAAAGAACATTCCTATCATCAGTCAAGAGAGCGAAGTCGGTATCGATGGAAATTACAGGTCCTCGTACGAAACCGGTAACGGTATTAAAGCACAGGAGCAAGGAAGCTTGAAGAATCCTGGAACTAAGGACGAGGCCGAAGAAGTCGTGGGTAGAGTGCAGTACCAGAGTCCTGAGGGAATTAATATTTTACTGGAGTACATTGCGAACGAGTTCGGTTTTCAAGCTAAGGGAGACCACCTTCCCGTACCACCGGTAGATACCAACACTCCACCACCAATACCGGAGGCCATTCAAAGGTCGTTGATTTACAACGCAGCTCATCCTGAAGAGGACGATTCCCAGCAGCCCCACGTTCAGCAAACCCAAGGAAACTTCCGTTTTTAGTATGTAGAATATATAAATGTTAATTGATATACTCGTATTTTTGATTAATTTTTCTTGTGAAAAAGGATAGCAAAATTTTCACCTACCTTTCTGTATATAATAAAATTGTTTCTTTATACAAACTCAGCAAATAAATGTATAAAGGTTATATTCTTGGAGTGAAAACGTAGACAAACCTTCCCTCTAACAGTGAAAGTATCAACAAATATGCAATATTTGAAAGTTGCTAATTCTTTGGTTGTTTATAATGTTGTTTATTGATAACAGGTGTCGCTTGCATACATACATGTAGTATACTGCATGCAATTCAGATTTGCTTCTCTAGTCGGGCCTTATAAGACTCTATTGTATTCTTTTCGATCTTTTTTTTTTGTTTTTTTTTTGTTTAATTTTTTGTCTCTTCTGTTTCCACTTTTCTTTTCAAAACTTCAAAAATAGTTGCTCACCTATTATTTACTAAATATCAACATTACAAATGGTTGAATTATGGCAAAAAAATATAAAATTCTACTCCCATATTAAAAACACTTAAATATAAATTGTTCTAATAACTGCTTTCGTCAATTTTTAAAAGATCCAATGGTTTTAATCAAGGCAAAATAAAAAATCCAAGTTTATAAAATAAAGAGTATATTTTCATTTGTTTAATTTATTACTTAACGACGAAAATGAAAATGAAGCAGGCGGTAATGGTGGAGCAGTCGGTAGATGGGAGCCTTGCGGATGGAACCCGTCTTCGTCTGCTGTGTACACAGTCCTTATAATTTCTCCGTCTGGAGAGGTGTACTGGTACTGACCTTCCTTGATAAAATTGTCATTGTTCTTGTAACCTTGCTCTTCTACAAATATTTGATTTTCAGTTTCGTAACCGTAAATGTACTTGCTGGCGTCTGATAGAATGTCGAATATTTGCCGAACGATCTTCGCTTGCGAGGAATTTTCTGTTAGTGGTTCCACACCAATTAAATAGAATAGGCTTACAGTTATTATTACCTAAAAAATATAAATATACTTTAAACCAATACTTTAGGAATCGTACCATTTTAGGTTTCATTTTGAAAGCTTACTTTTATAATTAACTTAGGAATTAAACATTATACAGTGCTTTCATTTCAAAACTAGCCACCCAAGATAACTTTTAAAATATCTTTAAAACAAAAGAACAAAAAAACACGTCAATTTTTATTTACGGGGGGACAAATTTTACAGGTATCTGTCACCCTGCAGTTTCAACCCCTAAGCGGGGGTGAATATCACTTCTAAAAGTTTAAATAGGAAGGGGTATCATGTGATAGCTCTTTTTAAAGGTCTCTTTTTTTCCAATCTTTTGACACATAATTTTTTTAAATCAGATTATTTTTTACAGAGTTATGCCATTTTAAAGTTTCAAATTAAAATAATTATTATTAATTAATAATAATAATGGTTAATAATTATTATAATGGTTATTGACAAATCCATTTAAAAAGAATGCTGCCTCGTCAGAAAAACAAATATTTTTAATTAAATTAGGGTCTTCATTTGCTCTTTGACTCATTAATTCGCAGAATTCTAATCTTCTGTCATAATCATCCTCAGCAAGCTGTTGTAAAAGCTGTATTTTGTAGGGAAAAAAATTATTTAGCCGTAACGTGTTATGCACTGAGCCGACGGAAATATTTGTTAACCTGGAGACTTTTTGTATTGATGTTTGAGGATCTATGGCAAAATGACCTAAAATCTCAACTTGTGCAGCTTCAGTTAAAACTCTACGATTCTTGACACTTTTTTGCACACGCACACTTCCAGTTTCTTGAAATTTATGAACTAAATCCAACACATACTGATGCCCAACATTTTTATCGGGATGTCTTTGATTAAAAACCTGAGTAGTTCTGCGTGCACAGTGTTGTTCTTCTCCATAAATAAATATTATTTCAATTCTTTCTTGTAAAGAATAAACCATTGTCGAAAATTGTTGGTTAGTACACAACGAAACCAAAATACTAATAGTAAATTGTTTAAATTTATAGTCAAAAATATCTTTTGTAAAAACATTTAAGGTTTTTTTCTCACTTGCTTTTCTCGGTATTTATACTCATGTATTTTTTTAATTCCAATTCAAAATTTCAAATTTTTAACGGTTTCTAGCTCATAACTCGTTAAAAAATAATCCGATTAAAAAAAAATAATGTGTCAAAAGATTGGAAAAAAAGAGACCTTTAAAAAGAGCTATCACATGATACCCCTTCCTGTTTAAACTTTTAGAAGTGATATTCACCCCCGCTTAGGGGTTGAAACTGCAGGGTGACAGATACCTGTAAAATTTGTCCCCCCGTAAATAAAAATTGACGTGTTTTTTTGTTCTTTTATTTTAAAGATATTTTAAAAGTTATCTTGGGTGGCTAGTTTTGAAATGAAAGCACTGTATAAACAAGATATTTCTAAGAACAAGAGTTTATTAATCTGATGTGATCTAGAGTTTGTGAATTTGTCATATGATTAAAAATGATGCAAGCAAAACTACCTACTTAAGAACTACTAGTAGAACTGACTGAACTTCTTACTTCAAAGTTATTTGATGTAAACAAAGAAAATGTTTTTATAAATTAACTTAAAATACCTACTGACATTTTACGAGTATTTATTAAAAAAAACTTACCAAAAGCTTCATATTTTACAGAACAAATTATTTTTGCAGCTGACTGTATGCACCGTCAATTTGGATATAATATGTTCGTATACGCTCTGTCGCCGTGTTTAAAATATTAAAAATTCTTGTTGCATAATTTCCATTTCACTATTTAGTTGCTGGTACTTCGTTGTTGAAAGAACCGGGCTAAGGAAATAATTTTTGGAAATAGATATTTATAATTGGCATCCTACAGGATTAAAATAACTGGCAAGTTTTAAAATTATTTTATTTTGATATATCCTTTCATACGAGCAACATAATTACAATATTCCTGATGATAATAGACGACAAATAATCATCAATTCTTACTGAGGACGGTACTGATAATTATTAGTAATAAATCATCAAGATCAATTCTCAATGAAAGAGTTATCGTGAATGTTTGAATATGTATTTAGGTACTTTTCTTATGTATACGTAGCTTAAAGTGTGAATACTTTAACAATAATTAAGAGAAATTTGTGGTAATATTTCATATTCAATAAATATTATCATTGAAAAATACATTAAAAATCCTATTACTAAAATGTATTTATTATTATCATTTAAAATGTGCATTTTTATAGCTAGACTTTAGTAAAGGGAATCGCCCGGAATATTTTATTTTATAAAGAAAACTATTCGTTATACAAAAATTTGCGGCGAATCTGCGAACCATCTTGTATACGGGTGACCCATTTAAAACAGTTTACCTGAAATATTTTCAGGTAAGGAGAATTTTTTTGGAAAATTACCGAGACCGGTCGATGTTGATTTCAATGGGTAATTTATTATTTGATATTAAATTCATGGATGTAGGTTCATCCTCACGAGCGAGGTAGCAACCCCTTCAAAATAACTAAACGGAACTCGGAGTCAAGTGGCACATTATTTTAAAGGTATTTCAATTCAATTTTCGAAAAATACATTTTTGGTCTGTGTTTATTTTTATTAATGTTTATTTTAATTAATTTAAAACACCAGTGCTAGTGTGGATGAAATAAATCGAAGAAAATAGTTTCCAATCAAGTTAACCAATCAATTAAATGTTCAAATTAACAAAGTATTTGTTCAATATGTTACCGAACATTTCGGATCATTTCGGGGCTTTCAAATATTTCACGTGGACTGTTTTAAATGGGTCACCCTGTATGTATTTTATTCAAAGGAGAGAACATTTTGTAACATTTCTAATAGTTTAAAAACTTTTGATTTAAAATTTCTTTGTGCTTCTTTCTTTTATAATTTTTCTCTATTTTCAGCTCCCCTACACATCTCTGCTCTGTATCGGTTCTTATCTTAAATAGAACTAATGAATCAATTTCAAATCAAAACACCACTTGATTAAAAAACTAGGTTTATTTCATATTGTTTATAAATAATGATATCACACAATTAACTACAGGATTTATTTTTTAAACCTCCCTTGACTACCTCTTCCTCTCAGCGAGTTCCGTTCGGCCTCTGCACGTTGCAGGCTAGCAATGAACTCCAAAGCTCTTTGGATAGCTTCTGGAATTGGAGGCGGCGTAGGTAGATGAGCTCCAACAGGTTGGAACCCATTTTCGTCTGCGATGTAACTCAACTCCACTAAATTTCCATTAGGATCGATATACTTCGATGACCCTTGGACCACCTGAGCTTCGTTTTCTGTTCCAGGGTTTTTCAGGAAACCGTGTTCTTCTTGCGAAATGCCGTTGCCTGTTTCGAAACTACAAGAAATATATATTTTAATACATATTAAAAATAGTAATAGCATAAAAGCCTTGATTTTAATAAGTGATCTTCGTAAGAAAAAAAAATAATTGTGAATTATATTCAAAAACTAACCTGTACTGGTAGTTACCATCAATGCTAACATCCTGTTCATATCTAAGTATGGGAATTGGGGTTGTTCGATATTGGTTGCTATGAACATTGTACTGATCCTTGTAGAGAATAGGATTTGGGGTTGTTCGATATTGGTTGTTCTGTACATTATGCTGATCATGCTTGTTGTAAATAGCAGCGTGTACCAAACATATGATACTGCAAAGGATTGCCTACAAATAAAATTCGAAATTAAATTTAGAAATTATCTCCAATTTCCAAAGAAACCAAATTTTATATACCTACTAGCTGTTAAATAAACTAACGGCTAACTAATTAAGTTTTTTATTGAAAAGTATTTTTAATGAATTGGTTAACTGAGTTTCTAAGAGCACTTATAAAAGAGTTAAAAAATTTCCAAAATCATGAAAAAAACAATATCAAAATAATATTCTTAAATAATCATTAATAATTAACAAAACGTTATAAATGTTTAACAAAAATTAGGTTAATTTTGTCACATGATATGTATCTCATGAAAGATAAGATACTTTAAGGTAATTGTTCTTTGAGTTTACTGTTAATAACAAATATAGAAAAATTACATTTTCACTTACAATAACTCTCATTTTTAATAATCCTAAACGAATGATCTGATGGATTCACTACAAATAATAAATTGTCATTTATTAATACATCTTTTATATTGTTATACGTTTCTTCTCCCGCCCCATCGAATTGTACTGAATTCTTCGATTTTTGAATAATTTTCTCCCACTATAAGGTCAAATGTCACTTATTTGCCTAATTTTTTTTAGTATGGTATGTTTTTGAATGGTAACCTTCTACCGGCATTTTAACTTCGTAACTTCGAGCATAGGTATACCTATTTGATAAATTACAACAGAATATTGATTTATGGTTTCTTGTAGATCAAATTCTAGACCATTAATATTAAAGAAAATTTCCCGCTATGCTTTTCTACCCCTGGGCGTGTAAAAATTTATTCTGTAAAAAACATGTTTACATTATATGTAAAAAACTAAAATACACTTTGCAAACTTTAACGAGAAATTACTTACTATAAATGCTTATAATATACTTATAGAAATATACTTATTATACATATTGATAACGAAAAAATATTAATGGATCATATCAGCTCTTTATTTTGGCATAAAGTATATTTTTATAAAGTAGTGTTAATTGCCCAATCAACAGTAAATTTTGTTGTTGTTTATTTACTTTCAGAAAAATTACCAAATTCCGTCCTAACTCAATAAAATACTGATTTTAATCACGCCATTATTGATTGCAATCTTTTATTAAAATTAGGTATTATGTAAAATTAGAGAAATAAATTATTTGAATGGCCTTTCAAGGTGTCAATATTAGTTTTTGGTAAGAATTTGTTTCGTTCTTTGACCGCTGTTTTGCCGTTTCCAATTTAAACTGTATTTATTGGCAAATTTAGAGTGTAGGAGTTTTAAGGTTAATATTGATTGGAAATTTTCATACTAATGTAAAGTTTATTAGTTTATATTATAAAATTGAGGTTTATAGGATTACTTTTGGGTATTTTGAAATTTTATTTTAATTCAATCGGGTATTGTTCATAAGCCGCCTAACAATATTTTTGAAACGATAAAAACATCCATGACACTGTAAATACGCAACAATTATGTTAATGTACATATTAATTTTTTATTATTTCGCAAGAATAGAAGGATACGTGTAATTAAAAAATAGCTTTATAGTATACATTCAAAGCGACTCTTCTATAATATTTATTGGATTTAATTTTGTGCAATATCACAGATATCAAAAGTAAGAGTATGTATTCATTTATTATTGTTGACAAGTATTGTGAAGTGTATTTTATTTAACGTGACCAAAAATATAGATATTAACCAATCAATGAATTTAAATTTTTGTAAGTGAAAGCTTGTTCAAAATCTTTTGTTAAGGTATTGGGGATATTCGAATTAAATAGTTTTATAATGTTTGGAATAAAAACATTTATTGCGTTCGTAAAAAGTGTTGCAGAAAATGATACATGATACACAACAATTATGAAAATAAATATAGCATTTTCTCTAATATTAACAATAAAATAGCGAAGTATGAGAATCACATGAATGGCAGAAAATATCATTCAATAAACCTTGTCCTAGCAATGTCGTCATCTGTATTATTATTTTTATTTTTATTTGCCTTTATAGTTTGGTATAATATGCGATAAAAATGCTCGGTATATACATTTATGTCGCTTTTAAATAAATAAATAAATAAACTTAATACATAGATATTCTTCAATAGTGTGGTAGCTCGCTGGTTTTATTTCCATGTGACCTTAAAAATAAATGTTTATTTTACAAATTAATGTCCATAACAAAAAAATTCACCTTAGAAAATTTAATATCGGTAACCATTCCCGTTGCCTCCGCCTCCATTTCCACTGGGGTAACCACCATTTCCACCTCCTCCGCCGCCGCCGTTGCCGCCGCCGTTGCCGCCGCCGTTGCCGCCGCCTCCACTTGGATATCCACCGTTTCCACCACCGCCTCCTCCGGCCGCCTCTTCAGCAGCGTTCTGATCCAAAGCTTTCTGGATTTCTGGCGGAATTGGAGGCGGCGTTGGTAGATGATCGCCCTTGGGGACGAAACCGTTCTCGTCGGCCGTGTACTCCACCTTGATTTCTGTACCATCGGGAGCGGTGTAAGAGAAGGAGCCCACCGCCGATTGGATGCCTTCATCGCCTCCTGGTTTCAGTTCGCCTTCTTCTTGGGCTTTAATTCCATTGCCGGTTTCATAACTAAAATTGTTAGTAGTTAGTTTATTTATTGAGAATTATTGCTCTTTGAATGCAACTGTGGTGGTAGAAGGCACTGCTCCAGAAAAGCTTTATGCCCTTAGTAGCGGACATTGAAGTTTATTTTTCATATTTTTTCAAAATTTATCAGCACAATTACCTCCATTTATAACTTCCGTCTCCGTTATTGACGTTTTCGTACGAAATGATGGGGATTTCATCACCGCCACCTCCGCCGCCGCCGCCGCCTCCACCACCTCCTCCGCCTCCGCCGCCTCCAGCTCCACCGTTTCCTCCTGGACGACCACCTCCTCCTAATCGATCAAAAAACAAACTAAATTACCGGTTTAATAAAACAATCCAATCATTTTCACGAGTCACGAGATGAACACCATCGAGTAGAATCTTCAATCATTTTCTAACAGTAATTCATTGCAAAATACGTGTGCTATCGTTGGCAATGATCAGGATGTCGCACGAATTAACCTATTAAAAACCCATCGCTACCTGTTATGTCACCTTTTTGCAAAATTTCGACCCTACCTGTAAGTATATCGAGCGAAGGAGACATGAAATCCTCGTTAAAAAAATGTCGAACAAAAAGCGGATAAAGAAGTCGGGTATGTGGAGCGTGATAGGTTGAACTATCGGCAATTACGACACGGAAAACAAAGGGAATTGTAAGATGTTCTAATTAACCTGATTTTATTACTTCTGCGAAGGTTTCGAAGGATATGCGACTTATATGCGGATGCACCTGATTTTGTTTTTGTACAATACCTGTTGATTGAAAAGTTTTAACGATGATTAATACTTAATGTACAAAATATCTATTAAAGATTCAAATAGTGAACTCTGTTTTCTTGAGCACAACTTAAAATTTTGCCAACTGGGACTTGGCTACAAATTAGATAAAACTTACATAGGTATACAGTTTTTGATATTTTAAAGATTTAGTACTAAAAATCCAACTTATTTATGTTCAAAAATGTCAATTCAATTAGTACGGTATTTAATTTCCAATTATATTAGTAATATGAATGAGTTTTGAGATATTAGCTACATTTTCAAATGAAATAATTAAACGCTATAATGTAATTGGTAGTTATAACGTTATGACTGCATGCATACATTCACAGCTTTTTGATTAAATTTCGCATCAAGCTTGCTTGGTGTCGTGTGAATGTATGTTTTGTATATTGATTTGCAAAAAATTGTAATATGGGTATATGTAGTTTTGTACAATTACGTTTATATTGTTTTGGTTCATGAATACTATTGAGTAGATTTTGTAATTAAATTTTCATAAATTCTCTTTACCGATCTCGAAGCTTTCTTCGCCATAAAAAAATTGTATTAATATTTGAATTACCTATAATAATAAGCTTTTTTGAGGTAAAGAGCATTTTTGAATTGTTGTAATGATTTTAATTAAAATTAGCTGATGATTGATAATGTGCTCCAAGAATAAGCAATGGAACTATTTCACTAATTTATACTCTCTTTATGCAAAGGTACTAAATCTGCTATTGTTACTGAACTTGATAAGTGCAACGAAAAACATAATTGGTATCATTGACAATAAATGTAAAAACTAATCACAACTAATGTATTGTCATTTTGTATTCCTACGTCTACCTGGCTAACGACTAAATGGATAATTTTTATAAGGATGAAATAACCAATTTTGTCGATAAACTGACATACGTAGAAATCATTAATGATACATATTAGGGTGGAATAAAAAATATTTAAAGTTGCGAAAATGTTAGAAATGGCTAATAAAGCCAAGTGAAAACGAGGTTTACTATTTTTTTCAATAGGGTTGCAGTTACTTTTCCCTTTTTGCATAAATGACAAGAAAACAATATTCAAAATCAATTTAAATTTTTTCAAAATTGTGTTTCGTATTTTCCTTGGTGCACATTATAATTACTCGTATTTTACCACCAAACTTTGCCCCATTTCCTCCAAAACCACCACCACCTCCTCCTCCAGCTCCTGCTCCTCCACCACCGCCTCTGGGAGGAGAAAGGCCTGGTCCACCCCCAGCCCCTGTCGCACCTGGTGGTAGATAGGTGTTTTCTAGTCTGGCTGCTGAGCAGATTCCTACTAGCAGGGTTGCAAAAATCTGAAACAAAAAAAAACATTTCGAATTTACTAAAAATATTTACAAAACTAGTACTACATATTGCTTATACACCGTTTCCATTTTCCAAAACTTACCAGCCTCATATTTAACATCCTAACCTAAACCTAATGCACAATAACTAACTGATACCTCAGAGGCATTTCCACCAGTTATATATATAGTTAATTGTTGTCACAGCAACCCCACTCTGGGACGAATTGGAAATATTTAGAATAGCGGATCGAGATCACATCGCAAGAAAATCGATGATGCACCCAAGTCGGGTTGCATCTCCGTCAAATATTCGTTACCTTTCACACATATTCTCGATGGAATCGTGTGCACTAAAAATTCCAACCGGGTAAAACTAAGAAAATTATTGCTTTGTTTTGGAATTAAATGATGGAGATGTTGCGAAACCGATGGTAAACGGAAACAACTTTAAATAGGATCGGTGGATTATTTCATCGGGAACAATATTCAATATTTCTATATTGATTGCGTAGGTGTTGCTACTCCTAAAAATGGGAGGTATTGTATAACTTTATTAACCCTATAAATGATCATATCTTGCTGAATCTATGTAAATTCCTTGGTATAAATGATTCATTGTTTTTGAAGATAGTTGAGTTTCTGACAGTCTCTATTAAATGCAATTTAACTTAATCCTTTTCTTACTATTCCTCACTGATTAATTTAAAATAAAAAAATTGAAAATAATTTTGGCTTATTTTATCAATAAATTAATCTTTATTAAACCAGGTTAATAAATTATCCAATCAATTTGTGTACTGATCCATTTGAAACAAGATCATGCAAATGTTAACAAACAAGCAACGCATTTAGAAGAATTCATACTAATTTTAATAATTACAAATACTTAAGTCCTGTCCTGCAGATTACTGACCATTGCAGTGAATACTCTACTGCATTGTATGTAAACTGCGGCACGGAATATTTCTCTTTCTCGCGGCGTGCACCTGCTTTTGGTGATGCTTCATCTCCATATCGTTTCTCTTAAACGAAACATGCTTTAACCTAATTAGGAGCAACACGTTCTCGTGCAACTTGTCGAATTAATAATAACGGATTATTTTTTTTGTATTTTGGATATTGACAAGATGAAAATATTGGTTGGTATCTTTAATTTGAATAGGTAAAATATCAAATTAGCTATGAAAGATTTTATATTTATAATCATGTGTAGTGTTTTTAAATGATTACTAAAATTAGAGCTGAAAAAATAGTAGTCATCCGTGATTTATTGAATGGAATTGCAACATAACTATTCTAGTAAATGAGAATTATCAAATGAAAAATCTATTTCACAACGATTAAGTACTTATAAATAATCTTTTCAAGTACTCCTTATTTACATTAATTGCATTTTTTATTGAATTGCCCATTTTGAAATCTTCGTCTATAAAAATTCCTACAGCCGAGAATGAATCAATTGGATACTCTTGACTTAAATGTGGTCAGAATAATGTCATAACATTTACAGCATTTTTTTAGTTCAATTTTACAAATTGGATGTTAATAGTGGTTACTAACGGATGGTATACTACAAATCTTCTTCCTAAATGTTGTCTACCCGTAAGATGTGTTATCAATTAACCTACTAAAATTATTCGAGTAATATAATGTTTTTCCTAGAAATTGCAATTTAATTTATAATGCTGCACATGCAAGCGTCCTCATATTTTTTGTAACACATAAAACGAGCATCTTCTGCTTAGGCGCACAAATAAGCGATTTTCACTTCAAGACATCGAGTCGAATCGGCCACGGTAATAAATTTTAACGTGATCATAAAGTAGCCGAGACATGTGGTTAAATTAAGTAATTCGCCAACTGCTTATTATAGCGTTATAGCGAGCTAAAATTCACTTTCGTACGTCCATGTACAACTTCTTCTAATATTTAATATAATACATTTATTATAATTATCTGAAACCATGTAGCTTTCTTCAGTTTGTCAATTCCGACCAGTATATGGCTAGTTGATTTATTTCGGCGGCTTCAGACAAAGCGTAAGTCTAATATGGTGTATATGATATAACTAACCTTTACCTCAACTAATTATTTCATATGATGGAAATTCTCAATACGATTTTTTAATGCCAGCGAAATTATTTTTTATGCAACTCCACTCTAGCTGTTTTATTTTTAACAGCACCAGGAATGAATTTGTTGAATTTATGCCTACTTCAGATAAGATTTCTACCGAACGCTCCTTAGAAACAAACTGATTCATGAAGTTCATAAATAAGATCACAGCGTTAATGTTAATTCGCCTGAACATCATGGTTACTTATTTCCTTACTAGTATTATCGTGTATTGTGTTGCTCAAGACTAGAGTTGATCTAAGTACTGACTTTGTTTATGGAAATTCTATTTTAGTATCCTTTATTTATGTGCTTAATTAACATATTATGCTTACTGTAGTTTGCGCGAAAATGTTTTAAACGATATTCATATTATTCTAGGGACTTAATTCTATTATAATCGGTACCCTGTTAAAATAGCCCAAAAACAAAATAGCTTAGGAGAAAAAACATATCGCACTACGATAATTATCACAAATCTTGAATTTATCGAGCTATAACAGAAGATATAACAAAATAAAAAAAAATCTTGGAAAGCTAACAAATAATGCTTGCCATTTTGTCTTGGGCGATTTTGACTCTGGTCTATTTTGTCTTTGGGCTATTTTGTAGGACTATATTGTCTTCGGCTATTTCGACGGGTCACGATTATACTCATTCATCTATGTGAAAGTTCATATTATAGTACCTACTTAAGTACCTTTATTGGAACCTTTTATACTCGTTTTAATGCTTCTTTTTATACACCTTTTATACTAAGAGTGTGGAATAAACAGAATTATTTCTAGAATATACTAATATAGTAATCATCGCCTTTTTCGTCAGTGTTCTAAAATGTAGTACCTACCAACATATAGTTTAGTGATCAATTAAAATATTTAGATGCTGATCAATATGCAAAGCACGTCCGACTTGCTCTTGAAATAACGAACGGCCTGCGATCTTTGGTCAACCGTGTTCTATTAACCGACAAAATAACGAAGATGAACGGATTATGCAACGTACTGTGCTTGTACGGTCATGTCCTGTGTCTGAAGCACAGTCACTTTCATTTTCTTTTCAGCCGTAGTCCCGATCGATTCGTTCGAATGCAAGTGATTCGAAACCGAAATTAATTTCCTTTCTCATCTTTACCTACACTAATAAACATCGTATTAATCTTTTATATCCTTAATGAATTACATCACACTATGTTCCTTCGATTAATTATTTAATACATTAAAATGTTTATTCCTACAACAGCAAATAAGGCAAGTACTTACATAAATCACAATTACTTGATAACATCTTTTATTAGTTTGCCTACCTAGGTTTTCACAATAATTGATGTAAGTTACATGCATTATCCAAAATGAACTTGTCGTTCCCGTTTTTTAAAAAGATGGACTTTTTTTCGAAACACTACATTCTGTCTTTATTGTGTTTTAAATACCAGCCGTTGGAATTGGCAATTTTATTTTGCGTTTGTTCAATCCAGTTGGTTTTAATGATGACGGCACAGTGTCATACCTATTATTGTGCGAATTTCAGAAATTTTATGGATCGAATGTACATTTTTGCCGAAATTACGCCCATATTGGCAGCTCAAATTTATTCGAAGAGGATCAAGAAAAAGGAATTGCACAAATTGATAGAAGAGTTGGAGGTTTTGATTGAGAATTTGAAAATTATTGGCGACGTTGAAGATGTTAAAGGTGTTACGATATTTGAATGCTTTTTCTATTGGAATATACTATACGTTGTAATGGTTCTGCTAATTTCATCTATTTTTACATGGACTTATGGATTCATTCTTAATAGCGCACTATTCGGATTCTACCATTTATTATTATATGGGCATTTGAATTTAATAGCACTACAATATGCGGCGATTTTATTGAGTAATGATATCATCGTAAATTTGCTTGATACACGATTAACTGAATGCAAGCGAATTGTTCTAATGAATCGTAATAAAAATAATCTTTTGAAGAAAATAGACATTTTAACTGACTCTTATTGGAAAATCATCGATTTATCGTATCAAATCAATAGTATATTTGGAAGGACCATCATCGTTTTATATATCGCTTTAATGATTAGTGTCATTAGGGACTTTACATATTTGATACACCTGATTCTCAATAGCAATATATTTTTTAGTTTAAATGGGTATTTTATAGCATTTCAAATTACCAGAAGTTTGGTAAGTAAGCATATAATTTTTATAAACAAATTTAAATAAAATGTTATTCATTTTTTTAGATGATTGTTTTCACAATCGCATATTGCAGTTCTAATTCCAAAGAAAACATGAAAAAATCATCATTGAATATCCTCAAAATGATAGTGGAGTTATCGAGCCGAAAAGAACATAATTTTGGAAATTTACTGGAAGAAAAATTGGTGAATATATCGTATTTTATAAAAATAAGAAATTACAGTTTCTCAGCAAATGATTTCCTCGAATTAGACTTCACCATGATGTTCGAATTATTTGGATATGTCGTATACTTTGTAATAATATGCATTCAGCTTTTTTAAGATGTTAGATAATAAAAATTGTAGTTTTTACGATAGTAGACACTAAATGGAACACGCCATTTTTAGTCGCAAATACAATACCCATGTGTTACAAAATGCACCGAGTATCTACATTTTAATCTCTTTTATGATACTTTTCGTATGAACGCTCTCCATCCATATTTAATTAATTGCTATTTAATTCGAGTCCTTGACTCTATTGATTTAAAATTGAACTGTATCGCTAGCGATCTTCTTCGAAACGCTTCGCTAACATATTACAAAGGGATGCTAAAGGTCATTCCTTTCAAATACTTCTTCCCTTTTTTCTCTGCTTATAATAACGTTCACTCTCTATGTATATGCTAGATAATAATGCATATCTACTTTGTCAGGTGTTTAATTGTGTTTTCTAAAGAATAGACGAACTGTCTAAGTAAAAAAATTTCGATTAATTATATTCTATGAAACCGAGTGTATACTTACCTACTATGTAAAATAAATGTGCTTTGAACTTTTATGTGATTTATTTTAAAGGAAGGAATTAATTAAAATTAATTTACTGTATTAGCAATTATAATTAGAGTAACTTAATTTCACTGAAACGGTACCTATAGAGTCCTCTACTGGCAATTTATTGCATTGTTAATGAATTGTGGTACATCAGTTTCTAATTCTATAATACTTAATAATAAACTAACTTTCACTACAGATACTCTATAATGGTGTAAGATGTCCCTGTCGTCAAAAATTAAATGTCTAAAATGTTACCTCAAGAAATTTTCAGTTTTAATATAGGCTTAATTTAAGTAAATAAGGTAAACTAGACTATTAAAAATTAAAAGAAACAAACGTTCTTTTGGAACAAACCTAATAATACTTTCAAAAACAATGAATTACTTTTCCATTTTTATTATTTTATAATACCTGCATATCCACTGGTCGACTACAATAATATTTACATTTAAGTACAAATAAAACAAGCAAAATTATTTTACTGATCATACGCGAAAGCCCTTCGGTATTGCGATCTGTAATTAGATCTGTACGGCCTTTGCTGTGGATAAATCGGCCGATCGCCCGACGATCGTCCTTGCGCTTGGGCAATGAGCTCCAGCGATTTCTGGATGGCTTCAGGAATCGGCGGCGGTGTTGGTAAATGCGCCCCTTCAGCCCGAAATCCGAATTCGTCGGCGATGTAAGTCACTGTAATGGGGGTGCCGTCCGGTGCCGTATACGAATAGGATCCTTGGATGACTTCGGCTTCGGAGCCTTTGACTCCGGTGTTTTTCAGGTATCCTTGGGCTTGAACTTGTTGACCGTCCCCCGTAGAGTAGCTTATTTTGTTAAAGTTTTTTTTTTAAATAAAAGTGGGTAAAATCTATTCAAGTTATTTGAGACATTTGCAATTATATAATAAGATTAGCTCGTACAGCTCGTACTTATTATAAAAATAGAATGAAATTTACTCACCTGTATGAAAATGAGCCATCAGGATTGGATTCGTTTGATTCTGAGAGAATAGGCACGACGTTCTTTCCTGGTGCAAAATTATTCTGTTGTCCTCGATATTCAGGAAAATAATTTGGAGATGCTGCATACACAACGGTGTACAAACAAACCAAAATGAACTGCAATAAAATCCAATTTGTATTATACAAACTGCATGTTAATGAAGGAGTACTCACCAATGGCAAAAACATTTTGTATTTTTAGCCAAAAAAAACGAAACAGGTCTTGTGTAGGCAAGTGCTTACATATTCGTATTTATAGCGCCCCTCTCTGCTCCTTCTTGTTGCAGTAACTCATATTTTCATCATAGACACACCCCAATCCAGCTAGAGGTCATTGCGAATGTTATTGTTTTCCTAAATCGTTTCATTAATTCATACAGGAAAAGCGTTATTAAGAAATTATCTACATCTGCTCGAAAACACAGAGGAAGTGCGGTTCTTCTAGTGAAATAGGTACGACCTATCATTTTTACTATATTACAATCTGTATATACATAGATAAAAAAATTAGGTCGTAACAGAATATTTAGATATAGGTAACTGAATTTTACAGGGCATTTAGTTAATTATTTAATTTATATTGAAATTGGAAATTTATTATCATATTGCTTTTACCAACTTAATCCAATTAAATCAAATATCTATATCTGAAGATGAATAATATCAATATAGGTATTATCACAATAGTGAAATTTTCGTGGGATAAATGAGGTCAATCGTAAATTATTCTAAAAGAATACTCACGCAGATTTACGAGATATTTCATTTTTCACGAAAGAACGTGCTTAAAACTAGGTAGATCTTATCGTTCCTTACACACCTTCGTTGAACAAGAAAATATCTACTCTTCTCCAAATCCGGTAGATATGGTGCTTGATTTTTAGGGTCTTTAGATCGCAGGAAGTTCAAGTTTTTTGGAAACTAAAGGTCTGATAAGGATTTGTTATCTAAAAATATGTGCTATTGTTCATATCTAGAGGTAATAATTAACAAAAATATAAAGAAGAAAAACTAAAGAATTTGTGTTAAAGACGTAAATATAAATATACCTACATGGACCACAAACTTTTAGATTTTTAAGGAAGGATTATTAGTAGAAGCACAAATTATTTAATGCCACAGCTTATACTCACATCTACCATCATCTATTCTATTAGAAATCGAAACGTTGGTTTAAAGAATGAAAGAAAAATCTCTTTAATTAGCGAATAACATGATAAAATTCACTATAGACTTTCACGACAAAGATGGAGAAGGATATATGTATAGCACTTATAGCACTTAAAAATGGTGGACTGTACAAAATGACTACTGAATGTATTTTAAAGGATTCTTTCTAAAGTTAAAATTTAATGAGATAGTGTGAAGGAATATATCAAACAATTTTGTAGAAGGAAAGTGCCTTATTATTAAATTGTTAATCAATGTTATTATTAAATGTTTTGTGTTTGTGTTAGATATAGGTCTATATTTATATTTGCATTAATACTTGAGGCCTTTAATGAAATAGTAAGGTTTTTCCTGCTTCTCTTCTTGCTGGTATACCATAATTCAAATGAAATGTGTAGTAGTTAAACCAGGAAAACCAGTAGTATAGTAAATACAAACTCCCATTAATATTTGTTTAATTTGAAATAAATAAACCAATTATTTTAACCTATAAAATAAATATACACAAAATACTACTATTTAACGGTAAATTGTGATTGGAGACCCGTGCACAAATTAGAACCCATTTAATACAACAATAAAATAGAAAATAATAGTATTCGTGCTGAACTAATTTTTAACAATATATCGTCTAATTTGATATTGGTTTCCATAATTGTTCCTCCTTCTATAACCATCATCGTAACCTCCATGTCCATAGCCCGACCCCGGTTCGTAAGCCTGCTGTTTGCTATGCAATCGAGTCTCGGCGTACGATTGAGTTTGCTCGTACTCGTCCTTCCCATCGGACTCGTCCTGCGCCTCGTTCACCTCGATTTGCCCCGAATCGCTCCCTTTCTGCTCCAGCAGGGCTTTCTGTATGTCTTCAGGGACGGGGGGCGGGGTGGGCAAATGCGCCCCCTGCGGCCGGAACCCGTGCTCGTCCGCCACGTAGTGAAGGGTTATGGGATGGCCGTGCTCATCGTGGTAAGTCACGGTGCCTTGTTGCACGAGCGACTCGTGTTTCTCGTCGCCTTTGTTTTTGATGTAGCCGACTTCTTCTGCGTGAATTCCATTACCAGATTCGTAGCTGAAAAAAGATGTTATAGGTGTTACTAAAATGTTAAATTGTTAAATAAAGAAGCGTGTTACTATAATCAACTAACCTGTATTTCCAACCCTCGTGGCTTTGTTCCGTTATGTACTTAAGAATTGGAATGATGGGTTTCTTGTGATCCGCGTGGTCTACTGCATGTTGATAGCCTGAATAATCTAGTGTAGTCGCCGCACAGAAGTTGTAATAAATGAGAATCTGAAATTAAATTAATAATTCTTTCGGATTGAATTAGGTACAATAATATTTTAGGAATTAAATCATAGTTAAAATATTTCCGATAACGGACTGGAATGTTTGAAATAGACATGAAATGATAAGTGTTATAAAATATTTCCAATTTTTAGCACAACAAACACTAATATCACAGCACTAGAATAGCAAAATAATGAACGTCACCTGTAGAATAATCGACTTCATGATGCAGTGAAATTTCTACCTAAAGAGCTTTCCTTCAGAATCGCTTCTGTTTTATAGTTTACCCTCGGAAGAAGTCCGATTTCACATTAAAAATTCAATAAGCCATATGTCGTTCGAAGACTAATGTATAGGGGAGATTTGAATTGCATTCAGTTATTTTACGTCGGTATTTTAATTAGTTCCTCAATCACCTCAATAAAATTTAAATGTGTAAATTGTATATTTCCTTCTTTAGTTTTAACCACTTATTTGATATGTCCTTGTAAATAACAAATAATTTTAAAAAATCTAGTCTGTTAAAAAAGGTACATTCTTACTTTAATGCATAATTTTTTAGTGAAACTTTTACATAATATTATTTTAAATGTAATAATAGCATACTTTCTTAATATTATAAATTATTTTGGTTGATCCACTCTCCCCTATTAGTTTTCATTTCGAATAGAATAGACTGATTGACCGATATTTCCTTTTGTTGTTTCAATGATTCAACTTTTAGTTTCGCTCAAGTAAGTAGAAATTGCAATGAAAATTTTCAAGAGTAAAATCTACGGGATGGCCAGATAAAACATTTTTAATGAAATAATGAGGAGTACTTATTTAGAAAAAATTTAAAATAAAATTGAATAGTTCGAATATTATTACGTGTACTATTACTAAAAAATAAAAAGTGCAAGTAAATATCACACTTCCATATTGATTTTATCGACTTCTAGTATAATGCTTTCTCTTATTTTACTCCTTTCGATAAATTCACTTTTGTAATCAAAGATTTTTTATACTTTTCTCTTCATCTGCCACATGTTAAAGTATCTTCCATGAAATCAAATGATTTCGTCAATTAATAAAATCAAAATTACGATACCAAACACGGTAAGAATATCAACAAGACAAAACCAATAATTAAATAAATTATTTTATTATTCCTAAACGATCGCAAAAAAATAATAAAACATAAAAAAGTAAAAAACCCCATATTAGACTAGATCACCAAAACAAGCACCAGCGCATATCTCAAAATATTATCATTTAAATCAAATTATTATTGCTATAAAGCTGATCCTTCAGATTCCTGAGCGGGCGCGTGGGACGCCAAAAAATCCAAGGACCTTTGTATCGCTGGAGGAATTGGCGGAGGAGTTGGAATGTGGTCACCTTGCGGTTGAAATCCGTTTTCGTTTGCGATATACGAAAATCGCACCGGATTGCCCTCGTTGTCGGTGTATTCGGACATTCCGGACACCTCTAAGATTCCTTCGTCCTCATTTGGACCAGGTTTAAAGATACCCCGTTCCTCCGCTTTGATACCATTGGCCGTTTCCAAACTAACAATAAGAAACAGGATTAAAATAAGTTAAACTGTAAAAATATATCGCAATGAATTAGATACTCGTCATGTTTCATTCATTTCAGTGCCTTAAGTAAAAGGAGACTACATATTTTATATAATACTATTACTCACCTCCAAGTATATGATCCGTCTGCATTGACACCTTCGTTTTCGTATTTTACGATAGCGATTGGTTCATTAGAGACGGGTTGTTGTGGAAAACTATGTCCCATTTTTATGAGAGCCAACGCAAGGATAATCTATAGAAAACAATATAATTTATCAAATGTATTAAAATACCAATTAAAATTTGCATCAAATAAATAAAATTTTTACATGATCATTCACTAGTTTTCACTAAATTCATAAAACCATTTGCTCGTTCACTCACTGACAATTTCAATATGAATAATAATGTCAATAGAAAATTCATTATTTCATTAAATTATTATTCCATTTAATGATATTCCAATTAAAAATTTACGTACCAACTTCATTTTTGTATTAAATTTTCTGTGAACGATGTTCAAATTCGACTGAATGTTCAAGACAATAGTTCCACTATTTATACAAAAAAATTAACCCCACTAGAATTTTTTACCAAAATATTGCTCTTATTTACCAAGTTATGAAATCGTAGTTTTTATTTAAAATTGTGTAATTACAAAAGCATTGGAGTTGATGACACTTTCGTTTCATATTAGTTTACACAGTAATTATTATGCATGTCCGAAGATCGCCATTATTGAAAGTTTATACAATATTTGTTTATTTATAGAATTAGGCACTTAATTGATGAACAATGGCCTAAATTGCACTTTAAATATAAATTTATGTCTTTATTTATCGACAAGTCGAATTATTTATGTAATTCGAAAATAGTCAACAGGTCCTTACTTCAACAGGTCAACAGGTATTAGCACCCCTACAAATATATTTATTATTTTAGAAGAGGATACGATTCTTGCTTTTTTAATTAGGAATTCTTTATCATCTTGAAATATAGGCTCTTGGAAAAATTATATATTGCGCATGTATCTCAAATGTCCATTAGGAGTACGAGTATCTAAGTCTATTTTTACGAAATAAAAGTAGCAAGTGTAGTACAAATAAAATGTTTATTTAGAAAATCCACTTACAACCTTCTGTTGATTTTCTTCTGGAATTTTTAACAATTCGTAAAGTGTCTTAAAAGCTGGTGGTATGGGAGGAGATGGGGTAAAAAAGTTTGGACCATTTTGTATGTTCTTGTTGTATTCATAAAAATATTGTACTTCGTTCCCTTCCTCATCTAAATATTCATAGGTGCCATTCACTTCCAGTACTCCCTGGTCTGGGTTTTTACCGGGTTTGAAAATAGCGTATTCTTCTACTTTGACACCTTTGTCTGCTTTTATACTGAAATTAAGTACATTTGAAATAATATGAAATAAGCGACTTTCCGTTATATTCAAGTTTGACTTACTTATTTTACTTTATCCTAATTAGACGCAATTATTAATAGTAAGTGATTATGATTTTCACTGACTATCTATACAGATAAGTGCAAATTTGTAAATGATCTATGGGTGTAACAATGACAACTTCCATATTAGTCCCATATGAAGAAAAAAGGAAGAGTGATATTGTGAGACTGCAATTTTCTCACTTTCATCACTGTTATTTTAATAATATTTTTGTTCAACTCAAAGAAATGGACATATTGCTAACAAATTTACACTTATCTGTATAAGTTAATAATACTCACGTCAAATTGTTAGAATTTCCTGCTACTTCATTATCATAAACTAGGAGAGGATCTAAATCTTTGAAGATGTGGTGGTGAGGTAAACTATGCCCCGTTTTAAAGAGAGCCAATGTAATAATAAGCATCTGTAAGGAAATAAAAAAATATATAGAACTATAAAAAAAGTTATAAAAGTAATTTTAATATTTTCATTTAACTAAAAATACGTACCAAAATCATTTGTATTTATTAATACAACCTATTATAATAAAAGTAAATATATTTTTTAATCTATATTTAAGTTTAACTGACCGCGGGTGAGCTAACGCTAGATATAAATAAGGAAAATTTTATCCCCCCTTTACCTAATTTTTTTATCAAAATATTGCTCTACGTTCTTAAAAAGTACGTACATATAACGAAAGGTTCGTAAAAGGCAGTCTAAAAGGAATGTTAAAAAATAATTAATTCAATCATAATATGAAAACATTAAGTAAGTATTTTAATTTGATTAAAAGGAATTGATGTTATTTTATTTTTTTCAATACCAGCTTTGTAATACATACATATAACATTCCGTAAGAGGCCATTACTAATTATATATAAACAATAATTTCAAAAATTAATAGAGATAAATTAGCTTATACAAAATTTAAAAACTAAAATCTACTCCGAGTCACTCTGTTTTATTATAGTTAATATGTATATACTACGGAATATTTTGTAATCTAAAATATGTATATCGTAGTTTATTGTTTAGAAACTCTAAGACACACCCCATATTGCATTGAGGAATTGATTATTTATGGATGTAAATAATTAAAAATAATTATTTCTCCGTGAGTATCATTATCTTGCAAAATTGATTCATTTAGTTGGTTGAATTGTAAGTAGAATAATCATTTCATTCGTTTCATTTACAATTATGAAGTCATTGGAATCGGCATTAATAACACCAAAAATGATATTAAAATTTGTGGGACGTTGGCCGCAAAAGTCACCTAGTGTGTTTACGAGGATAAGAGAAGTTATTTCGAATACCATCGAAATAATCTTCAATATACTTTTGATGATGGAAATCTATGTATTATCATCCGATTTGAAATTTAACATCTTTTTAGATATTCTGGTAGTGCTAATCATCGCAACTGGGCATTTAGTCAAGATTGTGATTTTCAAAGTAAAAACTAAAGTTTGGCTGGATATTTTTGACCAACTGAAATCGCCTTGCTTCAACGATTATCCTGAAGAATTTGAATATAATAACAGAAGACACGTTAACTTCTCCAAAAACTTCGGCAATTTGTTCCAGTTTTCCTGCTGTTGGTCCACCGGAATGATGATTTTTCAACCACTATTTTCAAATGTCGACCTACCGATGAATTGTTCATTTGTAACAGAACCTTTCATTCCATACATGTATGCTGGTCAGGTAATGTGTACGTGTCTTTTCCTTTTATAACACTTGTAATGGTAATAGTGCCTCTGTTAACAAAGCTAATGGTATTTAAAAACAAGTATCCAATGTTTTTAGTTATTCTCCTCTGCGCTTTTTCGCATAGTTCTATTGACGTCTTAATCACTGATCTAATAGGAATCATTGTTGGCCAATTGGATGTTTTAGGAGAGAAAATTAAAGCTTACGATACTAATAAGACCAAAGAAAAAATCGATTTGAAACAATGTGTACAACATCATGTAGAAATAATCAAGTAAGTACTTGTGGTGGTTCTATGGAAAATCCATTTTAATCCCATGTCTAATTTTACCTGTATTAATTCCTTTGGTGTTGAAAAACTTGGACTAAACAATTTGGTTAAAAATGGTCCCATCGGGATGCTCTGCTTTAAACTCCTAATGATTTTGAATAAAAAATTACTTTCTATCGTAAATCCTTCTTACAATTTTGTGCTCTTAAAACCTGTAATTGATAGTGAATATTATAGGTTTGTCAATAATTTGAGGCAAGCAACATCTGTGATAATTCTCATTGAATATGTTAAAAGCGCTTTGGTTGTTTGCTTTTTGGGAGTTCAAGCAGTGCATGTAAGTAAAATGCAGTCAATATGTAAGCAACATTTTATAGTTGAATCATTTGTAAATTTTTAGATCGATCCTATGAGCTTGACTTTTTTAAAAATGCCTGTGTATTTAATTGTAATGTTATTTCAACTATTAATTTATTGTTTCTTTGCTAATAAAATTATAGATAAGGTAATTTTCGCATTGAACTACTAATTTTGTGCTATAATTATTTATTTGGTGATAGGGCAAAATGTTTTTGTTTAATGTTTATTTTATTATTTTAGACCCAAGAAATAGGCGATGCTTGCTACTTCTCTATGTGGTATTCTTATAAAAACACGTGTGATAAAAGAAGTTTAATTCTTATAATGGAAAGAAGTAAAAGACCACTTTATTTAACTGCAGGAAAAATATATGTTGTGTCATTGCAATCGTTTACCGATGTAAGTAATTCCAAAAACATTGCATTATGTGGTTATTTAAAAAGATGTACAAAATTTTAGGTTCTAAATTCATCGTACACATATTTCACTTTGATGCAATCTTTATATGGGAAGAATTACAATTGAACATACAAAGTTCAAAAAAACTTTAAATCTCTTAATTTTTTTTAAATTTTTATATTACACATTATTACAAAACTTGCATATTTGATATACCTGAGTAACATTATTTTAGATACAGCTCACTCTTAATGATACAGAGGCATAATATGTAATTTTTTCTCTACAATATTTCGTACAATGAGAAATTCTTTAGTCATCTCCAACCCACTTTAGTACTTTAATACAAAAAATCCATACCCAGCTAATCAAAATTTTGAATACTTTTCTATAAAGTAACTTTTCTTGTATAATTATACCTCTAGTTAAAGTACCATTAATTATAGATTAAATAAGTTCTTCATTTTGAAAAGTTTTGCTTGTTAGCTTGCCTTATTATTATTTACTCGTGCCATCTACAGGCTAAATTTGCTAAATATTTAATGCTGCCGCCTCTTATAATTGAAATCGGAACAATTTTCTAGATCAGCAATTATAGATTTATTTGCTAATTATATTATTCTTCTCTTTTTCCTGACAATTGCACCTGTTATATTATCACAAAATAATTCAAAGAACTCTGTAGATTAAAAATTAAGTTTATTAAAATATTCACCATATACACGCCATTGCAGTGCTTAACTAATTACACGTTTAGTTAATGAACTTATTTATTATTCATAAAATTTTCAACTTATAAAAGTTTGCTTGTCGCGATTTTGCTCTACCTATAATTACTTGCTTAAAAGTTTTCTTATGTAATGCATGTCCTCCGTTTGGTACACTAATTTAGGTGAGAAAATATAGCAGATTAAAATCATTATAACTTTGATTTAGTTTGTGTATTGAAGAGAACATAAAATAACCAGGACGATTTGGAAATATTTTCGTCATGCCTATTAAAAACGCGAAGCCACTAGAATCTGCGTTAATAATACCGAAATTAATATTAATATTTGCGGGACGTTGGCCTCAGCATTCGTCTACATTATTTACAAGAGTAAGAGTAGTTACTTTTAATAGCATGGAAATATTGTTCAATATTCTAATGATGGTCGAGGTTTATCTAATTTGCACTTCAGACTTCAACTTCAATATGTTATTCGACATAATGGGCGCACTAATTACAGCATCTGGGCATTTATTCAAAATATGGTTATTCAGTGCTCACCGGAAAATTTGGCTAGATATTCTGCAACAATTGAAATCAACACATTTCAACGACTACCCCGAAGAATTTCATTTGATCGGTCGTAAACCCGTTAATTTCTCCAAAAATTTTGGTAATATGTTTCAGTTAGGGTGTTGCTTCTCTTCCACTGCTTACATTCTAGCTCCTTTATTTTCAAATATCGATTTACCAATAAAATGTTCTTTTGTGACCAAAGCGATGATTCCGTACGCCTATCCTATCCAGTCATTCGGTAAGTAATTCTTACATTACTCTAGTACTGTAGCCAAAGGCATTACAATTGATTATTTTTTAGTTGTCTGCTTCTGTGCTCTTACACATTCTTCTGTGGATGTTATGATCACCGATCTAATAGGCGTGGCAGTCGGTCAATTAGATTTGCTGGGAGAAAAAATTAAAGCTGTTAGAACAAATTTGATTAAGCAAAAAATCGATTTAGGTGAATGTGTGCGACATCATGTAGAAATAATAAGGTACAAAATTACAAATGAACTTGATAAAATTAATAATAAAAACCTTTTAGATTTGTCGCAAATTTAAATGACGCAGGTTCTGGTATCATTATGGTGGAATATGTTAAAAGTGCTTTAGTTGTTTGCTTTTTGGGAATACAAGCAGTGAGCGTAAGTTTTGAGTGAGAAATTTAGATATATGAACTCTCCAAAAACAATAAATTTTTAGATTGATCCAACGAGTGCTCCATTTATGAGAATTGTAGTCTACGGTTTTGTAATGCTATTTCAACTAAATATCTACTGTTTTTTTGCTAACGAAATTTTAGTCAAGGTAATTTTTACAAATTGACATATTGACATATTAAAAGGAAAAGAGTGTGTTATTAGTTCTAAACTTTCTAGAGTAAGAAACTGGGCGATGCTTGCTATTTATCGACCTGGTATGAGAACCCAGACGTTTTAAAATATAAAACCAACTTGCTGATAATCATGGAACGTAGTAAAAGACCACTTTATTTAACTGCTGGAAAATGGTCTGTGGTATCTTTGCAATCGTTTGCCACAGTAAGTATTTTTTATTATAAATAAACAGCTATTAAATAGTCCGTGAGCAAAGATTACATGCAAATTAGAATTAAATCAAATATATATTTTTTTGTAATTTCAGATTCTAAAATCGTCATATTCGTATTTTACATTGATGCAAACTTTATACAACAATAATTCCATGTAAAATTTTAAATTTATCAACAGCGTTGTATCGCACGTTATTTAACAAATCACATAAAATGAAATTTTACAATGCACTTGAAATAATACAGCAATATTGCAATAAATCAAAAAATGCATTAAAAGGAGCATATTTAATTACTTACCTAATATCTAGAAAATAGTTTATTTACAAAAAAAAACAATGTTTATTATGTCCTTCAATAATGTTGAGAAAGAGTACTAAAACAATATTTTGTACATACACGTATAAAAATATTTAGTGTAATTGCATGCACTAATACATATACATGCAGTAATACATGCAATAATATTAAATATAATATGATTATACAAACTAACCCTATAAACTACTATTTTCATCAAACTCTCCTGATTAGGCAGTATTTGTCCTGTAGCAATCTTTCCTCTTAAACCTGTCTTTATATGTTTTTGACAGAAATAGAATAATTTTATTATGATATTAAATTATTGAATTCAATATTTAACCAAAACTAATATACCAGTCGATATGATGAGAATACGGAAACCATTAAAGATACGATCTTGAATAACGAGGTAGAGCAACGAGAGAAATAACAAGTTTACTTGGACATAGAAATCCAGTTGCAACGCAACAGAAATACATGTTAAGGACGAAGAGAATTCGGATATACCACAGAAGAACTACAGAATATTAGAAGAGGACCTTGTCCACTCAGACTTATCAGAAGTGGCCTAAGAGGGAGACCACGAAAGGAATAAATATTACATAATTTATTTCGTCTATCAAAACGAATATTCATTTGCACCCGATATTTCTATAAATGTTGCTATGGGCAATCCAGAAAGGATGGTGTGGATCGACGCTGTAACAAGCGAAATAACCTCTATCATCAAATATTATACTTGGGAAATTGTGGACAGACCTCCAACACAACAAACAACTGGATGTATGATGGTATTAGGATAGGAATAATTATAGTACTGATGGACAACTCGACAAGAGGAAGGCACGTCTGATAGTCCAACGTTTCAACCAGTGTTTCACATGCTAAGTGAATTAATAATAATTAAGTAGGTAATAAAAATAAAATAAAAAAATAATTAATAATAAATCCATCTTGCTAAATATTTAATTCTTCCGCCTCAGTCGTGGCAATTTTCTAGATCTGCATTTAGATGTTAATTTGTTAGCTATTCTTCTCTTTTTCTCGATTGTTACGCTTGTCATCTTACTAAATAATTTAAAAAAAATATGTATACATAAAAAATTAGGCTCATTAAAATGTTGACTTACACCCCGTCGCAGTGCTTAACTAATTACACGTTTAGTTTAAAGTACTTATTTATTATTTATAAAATTTTCGACTTGAAAAAGTTTGCTGCGGTTTTTCTTTATAATTACGTGGTTTAAAGTTTTCTTCTTAAGTAATCCAAATCCACCCTTCTGTACACCAATCTAGGTGAGACTTCTTTAGTGTACAATTATACTTTATGAATATATAGCTGATTAAAATCATTATAACTTTGATTTAGTTTGTGTATTGAAGAGAACATAAAATAACCAGGACGATTTGGAAATATTTTCGTCATGCCTATTAAAAACGCGAAGCCGCTGGAATCAGCGTTAATAATACCGAAATTAATATTAATATTTGCGGGACGTTGGCCCCAGCATTCGCCTACTTTATTTACAAGAGTAAGAGAAGTTGCTTTTAATTGCATGGAGATATTGTTCAATATTCAAATGATGGCCGAAGTTTATCTAATATGCACGTCCGACTTCAACTTCGACATGTTATTCGACATAATGGGCGCACTAATCACAGCATCTGGGCATTTATTTAAAATATGGTTATTTAGTGCACACCGGAGAATTTGGCTGGATATCCTGCAACAAATGAAATCAACATATTTCAACGACTACCCCGAAGAATTTCATTCGATCGGTCGTAAACCCGTTAATTTCTCCAAAAATTTTGGTAATATGTTTCAATTAGGGTGTTGCTTCTCTTCCACTGCTTACATCCTAGCTCCTTTATTTTCAAATATCGATTTACCAATAAAATGTTCTTTTGTGACCAAAGCGATGATTCCGTACGCCTATCCTATCCAGTCATTCGGTAAGTAATTCTTACATTACTCTAGTACTATAGCCAAAGGCATTACAATTGATTATTTTTTAGTTGTCTGCTTCTGTGCTCTTACACATTCTTCTGTGGATGTTATGATCACCGACCTAATAGGCGTGGCAGTCGGTCAATTGGATTTGCTGGGAGAAAAAATTAAAGCTGTTAGAACAAATTTGACTAAGCAAAAAATCAATTTAGGTGAATGTGTGCGACATCATGTAGAAATAATAAGGTACAAAATTACAAATGAACTTGATAAAATTAATAATAAAAACCTTTTAGATTTGTCGCAAATTTAAATGACGCAGGTTCTGGTATCATTATGGTGGAATATGTTAAAAGTGCTTTAGTTGTTTGCTTTTTGGGAATACAAGCAGTGAGCGTAAGTTTTGAGTGAGAAATTTAGATACATGAACTCTCCAAAAATAATAAATTTTTAGATTGATCCAACGAGTGCTCAATTTATGAGAATTGTAGTCTACGGTTTTGTAATGCTATTTCAACTAAATATCTACTGTTTTTTTGCTAACGAAATTTTAGTCAAGGTAATTTTTACAAATTGACATATTGACATATTAAAAGGAAAAGAGTGTGTTATTAGTTCTAAACTTTCTAGAGTAAGAAACTGGGCGATGCTTGCTATTTATCGACCTGGTATGAGAACCCAGACGTTTTAAAATATAAAACCAACTTGCTGATAATCATGGAACGTAGTAAGAGACCACTTTATTTAACTGCTGGAAAATGGTCTGTGGTATCTTTGCAATCGTTTACCACAGTAAGTATTTTTTTATTATAAATAAGCTAAATAGTTATTAAATAAGTTATTAAATAGTTATTAAATAGTCCGTGAGCAAAGATTACATGCAAATTGGAATTAAATCAAATATATATTTTTTTGTAATTTCAGATTCTAAAATCGTCATATTCGTATTTTACGTTGATGCAAACTTTATACAACAAAAATTCTATGTAAAATTTCAAATCTATCAACAGCATTGTGTTACACTTTATTTAACAAATAACATAAAATCACAATGCACTTATAATGTTATTAAAAGATTAATAAAATGGTCTAGCAATATTGCAATAAATGAATAAATGCATTAAAGTGCATATTTATTTACTTACCTAATACCTAAAAAAAGTATAATTATGAAAAACATCATTTTTTTCTCATGTTCTTCAATAATGGTAAAAAAATTTATTCGGAAAATATTTTAGACAAAACTTGCTTATTACCCCCCGTTCTTCCTATTTAGGGGTGGGTAGCTATTTGATATTGGTATCAATGCATAGCCCTTGAAAAATTATTGGATACGTGTTTTTTCAATTTTTCATTCGGACTTTATTTTTCTAGAAAATCGACCGTTTCCATACTTTTTGGACACTGTATGTATATGAGACTGTTGAATTTATATGAGTAATTATGAGTCATCAGAGTAATTATATAAGAAAGTAATTGTTTTATATTATAAAACCACCCAACCATCAAAAGGCAAAAAAATGAATGTACCTACAACTTGTATCATAAACTTTACAACTAATTTTTAGTTATCTGCCTCTGTGCCCAAACACATTCTTCTGTGGATGTTATGATTACCAGGTAATTATTATTAAGAAAAAACACTAACGAATCATTAAATTCTTAATCTATATTTTCTACATATAAAAAATATTTACAGTGTAATTTAAAACTAAAAGTAGATATGTTTCTTTAATATTCACTATAATAATATTAAATATTATGCCTGTACAAATCAAGCCTTAACTAGGTACCATTTTCATCCAAACTTTCTTGATTAAATCAGTATTTGTCCTGTCGTCATCTCTCCTCTTAAATCTGTCTTCATAAGCTAAAAAGAAAATAATAGCTATGAAATTAAATTAAACCTAATATGTATACAATTCGGTAAAAATAATAAGTAAGTAAATGAAATATTTAATATTACCGCAATTCGTTGTGAAAACGACAATCCTGGTAATCCCAGAACGTAAGTCAATTTTGTCAGAGCAGCTTCTACTGTCATATCCTCACCCGAAACAACTCCTATTTCATCTAATACCTATATTAAACAAATAATATTAAATCAAATCAAAGCGTGTATGCCGTGTAAATACCTTTCCGGTTTCGTATGAAGAAGAAATAACAGTTCCTTTCGAACACTGAGTTATATTAACGATTAATGTGTTCCTAAGTACTGCTTGTTTGAGCACTTCTAGAAGACCCCTGGGTTTCGACGGGACATTTCCAGTTCCAAAGCTTTGTATCACCACACCTTCCAGAGGTAACCTCAAGAAGGATTCTACCTAAAATTAAATGACTTTTTAGTTCTAAAAGATCTGAACCTCTAAAAGTATTTGCCAAATAAGAGTTATGCGTTTAAATCATTTAAGGATCACGATTCTAATAGAAATGACGTACTTTATACGCACAAAAATTTTACTTACCATTTCAGATGTTATTGTTGGAAAGAAAGACAGAACTGCCACATTCGGATTTAAATCAGTATAAACTTTAAATGGTTTATTATAGTCGACTTTTCTAATGTAATGTTCATTAACTAAAAAAATAGAGTTCGGTTAAATTTACTATGAAACCTATATTCTAAAATCATTGATGTAATGTTAATATTTTTTCTTACTCGAGAAACCAATACCAACTTCAACTAAAGGGTGATAATTGGGAGTATCGAAGGCATCCAATGAATTCGTACTGATTTTGGCCACTCTATTGCCTCTAAATAATTTATTGGCGAAGAATACGCACACTTCTGGTATATCAAACAAGCCGGCTATCACTAAGGACGCTGCAAAATTGTCTCTAGCATCGCTTCTGCTTTCGAAAATCGGTATCTAGAACATTAAACTTGGTAGAATAAACATCTCTAGTAAGTTTACCTATTATGTAATTACGGGTTTAACGGGATACTCACTTGGGATCCTGTGACTATAACTGGCTTTTGTAGACCGTCTAGCATAAAAGATAAAGCAGAAGATGTGTATCCCAAAGTGTCTGTGCCATGTAGGATGACAAACCCATCGTAGTTATTGTAATGATACTATGGAAAACATACAAACTGCGCTAAGTTAATACGAAAATGCACGTAGCAAATTTATAAAACGCAATATTTTTTTTATAAAAAAGCGAAAATATCACAAACAGCCTATCAAATCTATCAATAACTAAATTCTTAAATTTGTATGTTACTTTTAAATGTTTATTAGTAGTAAATATAATTCACTACGCTTGATTTCTTTTGCGAAAACCCTTTATTACAATAAGCTTATTCGCAGAATGATTTTTTTACGTTGTGAATAAATAATATTATCTTTATTTTGGAACGTGCCAATGTCATTATTTTCAGCTCTGCAAATATTAGCATTTACCTTATTAAGTTTATGTAACTTACTGCCTACAACATAATCTACTAGTTTAGGGTAATTGGCATAAATTATTGCACTATTGTTAAAATAATAATCTAAATTAGTTAAGTGGTTCAGCTTATTTTGTTTTTGTTGTTTGGCTGATACTTAATAGGTTATTTGTAGTTAATTTCTTCTTTAACTTCTTTCAATGCTCGGAATCTATTAGTAATTATTTGAGTTAAGTCATCGTGTTCATTGACTAAAAATTATTTATATTTACCTCAATATCACTGGCCAATCTAATCCAGTCTTTGCAGCTCATGTTGCTTGAGTCCAGTAAAGGAGTGTACTCTATTATTTCGTATATTATCTTCTGGTGACCATAATTTCTTATAAAATACAAATAGATATGTAAAACTAAATTAATAAAGGTTTTAAAATCTCTAATTCCAGGGTTCTACAATCTATCCAGGTTTTTCTTTTCAAGTTAAGTTTAAGTCTCTAATACCTACTGAGATAAAGCGATCAATTCGGGCCAATGGTCCAGTCTAGTGATTAGATAATAGTTTTTGTTTTAGTTATAATGGTTATCTAAGTCCAATGAAAGCATTCTAAGTATTTCATTGCATAATGCAAGTCACTAGAAAATTACAATTACATAATCGGATTTGAATCGACTCTATTACACAATTTTGCGATGGGAAGCTTTATATCAATAGTTATATAGTTTCATCAAAGTTTTATAAAAAGTTATAAAGAATCTTACTTGGGAAGAACTAATTCGTTAAATTCCAGTTTTTTCCCTAATTCTTCAATTGTCCAATTCGGATCGTGCAGATCAGGGTGGTGTTTAATTTCATTCAGAAATGCATTTGGTTTAGGACACAATACTGAAATAGTTACAAACAAAAATTAGGTATCGATAATTTTACTTGTCAAAACGCCGTAAAAAATATTAAAAAAAACTACAAGTAAAACTGTAATTGTATTTTACATAATAGATATAGCGTAATATTGTAAATAATAGATAGGTAAGTATCTCACAGTTATCTACAATCCAGCCTTCTTTAGAATATCTGCAGATTGTTTCACTTTAAATAGTGATAATCACCAAGAGATCAATTTTGGTTCTTAGCTAGCTTATTCTATACATGCATGGTATGCACCCGTGTTCAGAATCTATTTATTTAATAAAGTTTTGATAAACATCGTTTCCAAAATTTTAGAATGTAAGTATAATAAAAGAAATTATCAATATTTTAAAAGATTAAAAAGTTATAAATGGCCTCAATTTCCTAATGTTTAAAACGTGTTTATTATTGGCGTATTGACCAATTTAGAACGATAAGATAAAACTAGGTAGTTACTAAATAGTCTTTCAGTACTTTATTTTTAGTTGTCGTCATAAGTTTAAAAAAGTCTTGAGTATACATCTAATTAAATAAACAGCACCCTCATAATCTTATCTGAGTAACAAACTATTTTTTATGATTATATTTACAATATGTATTCGATATTATATGAGACAAATATTAATTTATATTGAAAACAATATACAAAAATCTGGAATATTTTATCAAAAATTTTCCAAAACAATTTTGAATGTAGGTTAAATTTAAAGTAGGTTAAATTTTGAAATTCTGTTTAAATTATTCACTTTTATATCTAATATCCTTCGAACAGATTAATCCGATCAGATTTATTAAAAATCTGAAAATTGAAAATCCTTAAAAAATACGTTACTGTAAGATATGTTGGAAATTTAAGTATGAATTAATATTTCCTAATGTTAGGTACTCACCCCCGTTAAAATTTTTCTGCATTCCAATAGTTCCACCAGCATATAAAACTAAAACTCTTTTTAATTCATTCATTATTTTTTTGAATTTGTTGATGCGGAGTCCAAAATAATCAGTACTTAGGCAACGTATTGATGTCACTAACTAAACTAACTTAAAAACTGTAAAATATTCTACCACTGCAAATTTTAGATTGTTCAGCACAATTAGCGTAGATTACAAACTGCAAATACAATAACTGTAGGATTACAAACTTACCAAATAAATACCTATTTTAACATCTCGTCATGATGCGCGTAAAGTGCGCATATTCTTCGATTATAGCCGTATCACTTCCTTATACAGGGATTCAATAATTAAATGGAATTAATATGAAATACAAAAATTTCCAAAATAAATATCTGTAGTATTCTTTTTCTATAAATCATTATAACCATTCTCATTTAATGATTAAAATCAACATAATTGACTAGAGATAGTATAGTCATATTCTAAAGAAATAAAAACTTTCTTAACAACAAGAATACCCCAGAATTGAAAATATTAGATTGATAAAATTAGATAGGATATTAGATAGAATGGGAACGAGTGCATTGATTGTGTGACAAGAAAGAATTGTGAAAATAATAAGGAACAAATTAATATCAGGTGTTTCATTCACTATCGAATTTCACTAGATTTTACTATATTCACAAACATATTAACTTGTTTGAATCGGTTGAGAATCGTCTAATTTAGACCCTTTGGCCAGAACTTCCTCTTCACTATCACTTTCGTCAGATCCACGCTTCTTTGGGGGGGACTTAGAGTGGATAGATCCACAGCAATGATCCAGCCATGGTGTTCCCAAAGACTGAACAAACAAATATGTGAAGGAAAAAGGCAAATGTGCCTCAATAAAGAAGCAATGAGCAGAAAAAGAAATTGTGAAAATAAGTTCCGAATCTGCTTAATAAAGGAGTTGATGGTGTGTATGTTCAGTCAGATCTTCTACAACTACCAGGATGCAACCAAATAAGAGAAATGTTAGTAAAGTCATGCAGATCTGGTGCAAACATGATGTATTGGAAATCTCGATTACAGCTCCACCTGACCTTTTCGAAGCGTAACAAATAATCGTACATGTAGATACCCGAATAAACTTTAGATAGGCAACCAATATGCTACAAAAATGTTAAATGTTCTCGCTGCTAATAATGCTTCAATTTTATTAAAATGCTAATAAAATAAGCATGTATTTCTACATACATATGTAGGTAGGTACATAAACTAATTATTTCTTGTGAGTATGCAGTTTTGGTTAATTTTTACTAATATTTTATAAGTAGTTTTTTTCAAATAAAACGTTAATACTACGTACTAATACAAAATTCCCTACATATGTGTTTGCTATATCATATTTTTTTAGAGCTTTTCCAATTATTTATTTATGTGCTAGAATGGACCTAATTTTTGCTTTTATAAATCAGCGTCATGTATGAATAAGTTGCTTTTACAATCTAAAATGGACGATTTTAAATAATATAAGAAATAATATGGCAACTTCTTACCCTAATTAAAGTTTGCAGAGACATATTGGTAAATGGCCCAATGTCTATATACAAAGGTCTTGAACACACCAACATCATTAAATATTTGATTTTTTTTGTTTTCTCCGGTTCATCGTACCAGGTGCTGTTCCAAAGGGATGTCAACATGTTGGAACTCTATAAATAAATTGTGCTATTTCAATGCGAATGGACTAAATTTATTAATTTAATTTCCCCTTACTTGTACAATGATTTCATTGGCATACCAATAGCTCACCAGAATCCTTACAAATGCTCCGCAAATAAATGTCCCAAAAAACATTAATTTGAAAGGAGTCACATCGAACTGAAATTTTGATGTTACGAAAATGTATAAATTTAGAAAATGTTGTACAATCTTACGTAAATTAAATTTAATACTCCAGCTGCTAGACCCATAGAGCTTTGGAGAAAATCGTAAAGAATCGCATTTTTCATTTCCCTGTTGAAAATTTTTATTTGTCTAAAATCAATTTGTTTAATAGCAATTTAAAACGCAAATAATTTCTTACTTTATTATTTCGTTATGCTTTTTCACGCATTCGCGTAGTGTGAGAAAAATCGCATTTTCATAATCGACTTTCAACTGATCTTGAATTTTCCAGCAATACAGTTGGAAATTACTCAATATAGAATTAAAAATAACGATTTGACCTAAAAGATAAATCGTAATGGCATAAGATAGAGTTTCTGTGCTCGCCATAAAAAGAGACGCCATGGTAACATCCAAAATATGAAACGTGTAACTGAGACTGTAATACTTTTGCTCGTCCCATGGAAACCATGATGATAAAGGTAATGGTCTCTTTAGCGATGTTGAGTTGTTGTTGTTTATTATGATCGATTCAAATCCCAGTGGATGAAAATTGAACAGCATGCCACCTATAAATGTTTTTCTGTTATTGGAAATCAATAGTTTTCACAATATTGAAAAAACTACTTTACTCATTCTCTTTACTCATACTCTTTACTCATACTGTTTACCAACACCCATTTAACCTCTATTTCTTTTATTCTATTCTTCGATCACTAAAGCACAGAACATACATAAACTAAAGTTAAACCTCTTATTACTTGTTTATAACATAACCTATTCCATCTACTTCTTTATCTTACCGACTATTACAAAAAGAATGTAAATTCTGCTTCCAATTTTAGTTTGTCTAACATAATAGTTGTAGATTCCCTTGAGGGTGTGATCATTACTCGCCAAAATAGTTTTTTCCCACAAAATTATATCGTCAATCATCTGCTGAAAAACCGATCTTTTGAAAATCAGCGTTTTCCAGATCGTCACGGTGAAATAAAAATTCATCGTTAGATTTAGGAAAAGTTCGGTGAAGTCTATTGGTGCCTCATTTAGTAACAGAACGAATTTTATGTAGACTGTTATGTTGAATATTATGAAATAGATTAGCAAGAAGTAGGAATAAGCTTGATATATGGTCTTCAAATTTGGTTTATTTTTTAAAATTGATGGGAAATTTCCTTGAATCGTAATGAAAAACATTGCAATTTGGAGTTGTTCGCACTTCGGGAATAACTGAAACATTTCTGATTGCAGCATTAAAAGGCTTTTACTTATAAGTTTATAAACTAACCATGTTTTTAGTCATACCTCTTCGTTTATAACTTGCAATAAGCTTATTTTCCTCGAGATATGTGGTATAATTTATTCAGATTTTAATTTGAACAATTTCTTTTTAATTCCACTGTTTTTAATTTCAAAGCTCGAAATTATTCATAGGGCACTTAGAATTTTCTTTGAATGCAGGGTTTATTTTCTGGATAATGTAGCAATTATTGTAATTTTCCAGACTCATGATTTAACCAAATAAACGCAATTACATTTGAGAAACATACAAAGAATCTTTCGCATAAAAAATAGCGATTAGTTTAAGTGCCTTTGACTGTGTATGGTTTACGATGGGACCTGTTCGGTGCACCAGAGTAGAGATATTCATAGAGTAAAGTGGAGTAGAGTCAGAGTAGAGTAGTGTAAAGTAGAGCAGAGATAATAACCCCTTTTTGAGTCATACTTTGCTCTTAAATCCCACAACGGAATTTCCCGGAGAGTGGAGAATATAGAAAGTAAAGAGTAGAATAGAGAGTGGAGTGAGAAGAGTATAGAGTGAGTATAGAGTGTAGAGTAGAGAATGAAGGGTAGAAAGTAGAAAATAAAGTAGAGGGGAGTCCAGAGAGTAGAGCGTAGGATATAGAGAGTAGTTTGTTTGATAATAGCTTTATCAGCTATCCTGTTACATCGATTAACAAAGATATTTAACATTGTTTTAAAAAAGATTTACAATGAATTATTATTCCAATGAATAAGATTCATAAAGAGAGTAAAAGAGTAGAAAGTAGAGAAAATGGAGTAGAGATTAGAAAGTATCAAAAGTATAGAAAGATAGTAGAGAGTAAAAAGTAGAATGTAGAAAATAGAGTATAGTGTGAACTGCTGAGAGAAGGGAGTAGACAGTAAAAGGTTGAGAGTAGAAAGTAAAGTAGATAGTAGAGATTAGAGATTAGAGAGTAAAGAGAAGAGTAGAAATTAGGGAGTAAAGAGTAGAAAGTAAAGTAGAGTGTAGGGTAGGGAGTAGAGAGTAGACAATAAGCGGTAGAGATTAGAGATTATAGAGTAGAGAGTGGAGTGAAAAGTAGAAAGTAGAGAGTAGACAGTAGAGTAGGCGGTAGAGAGTAGAGAGAATAGAAGCATAGAGTAGTGTAGAGAGTGGAGTGAAAAGTAAAAAATTGAGAATGGAGTGCAGAGAGCAGAGAGTTCCGGTTCGCCTCTTGCAATAGAAGATCCGACAAAAGAAACAAGTTTCAATATTCCTGTAACGTTTTATTTAACATTTATATATAAAATATATATCGATAAATCTTAATGCACCTTAGGCAGGAATCGAGTTCTGAGGTAATATAAATTATGAACACTTAATCACAGACCTAACATAGGTACAAACAAGAATGCATTGCTGGTTGTTCTTACGCCTATACAAATACAAAATCTATTTAAGCGGCTGCATTTGTTCGGATTCAGTCTTTTTGTCGTAACCAGCCGGCTCGTCGGCGTCGCCTTTGCCGCAAAGCGACGCGAACAAAGTGTCCCCGACGCCGAAGGTCTCCCCTTCCTCGATGCTCTGCGGCAGAGGCTTGTTCAACGTCTCGGGCAGGAACATGATCAGAAAGCCGGACACGATGGATACCACGGCGAAGAGCAACGACGGTATCTTCGGATCGAACGAGTCCAGCAGGGTGATGAGCGGCGTGAGAGTGCCGGAGAATCTCGCCGCCATCGCGCCCAGCCCCATCGCGAAGCTCCGGATCACCGTGGGGAACAGCTCCGCCGAGTAATTGTACAATATAGCGAAAGAGCTGGCTATCATGAATTTCCCTATGAACATGAACACCATGGAGACCGTTACTTGGGATATGGTGGCGGTTAGGATGCAGCAGATGCCGCCTATCACCATCTGGCACGAGGTTAGACTTCTCCTTCCCCATCTGAAAACCGAGGAAATGTTATAGGGAGCCGGGAGGGGGAATGGAGGAATGGCGACTCACTTGTCCATCAAGTACACCGCAATGGCGTAACTGGGAATTTCCACCGCGGCCATTACGAACATGTTCACGTAAGGATTTCCTTCCAGGGAATTCGTGCCCAGCGCCAGGCCGTAGTACACGATGGAGTTCGCGAACCAGCCCAACATCACGTTGAGAGTTTTGTTCCGTAAGTTTGGACTCTTGAACAGATCGAACGCGCCGGCGGCGGAGGATTCTTCCTTCGGCCTGGTTTGCGTCTTGCCTTGAGACACGAATTCGGCGGTGTCCAAATTGACCGATCTTCCGTTCATTTTCAGGGCTTTCTTCACTATCATGACCGATTCTCTTATCCTTCCGTTGCCCCATAACCATCTGTGAAATAATAAACTCGTTAAAAATTAGGTACACTACAATTAGTTCCAGCAAAACTAATCCAGCACGTATAGTTTTTTTTAATTGCCCAAAATGGACAATCCAGTCCATCCAGTCTGAACAGTCCTAAATGGTTATGGAGCGTTCTAAATGGTTCTAGACAATTATAAATGATTCTGCAGCGTTCTAAATGGTTCTAGACGGTCCGAAATGTTTCTGGAACGTTATAAAAGGTTCTAGAAAATTCTAAATGATTCTGGAGCATTCTAAATGATTTTAAATAGTTGGTAGAATGGTTCGAAATGAGTCTGAATCGTTATAAATGGATCGAGACAATTCTAAATGAATCTAGAGCGTCCTAAATGGTTCTAGACAGTTCTAAATGATTCTGGAGCGTTCTAAATAGTTTTGAAGCGTTCTAAATGGTTCTGGAGCGTTCTAAATAGTTTTGAAGCGTTCTAAATAGTTTTTAAGCGTTCTAAATGGTTCTGGAGCGTTCTTAATGGTTCTAGCGAGACAGTTCTAAATGATTTTGGAATGTTTTTTAGGTCAAAAAATCCTCTTTAATGCATAAACATCGTACACAAAATGTTATAAAAATATTTAAAGTGATATGGAAATGACAGTAAAATATTGATTTTTTTCTTAAAACTTTAACACCCTATATCTCAAAAGTTAAGACGTTTAGGACATAGGTTCATAGGTTTTTTTCTTAAAATGGGTCCAAGAAACACCCCCTTCAGTATTGAGCAGTATTAGCCCGTTATTAAAAAACACCCTGTAGACTGTATACTAATAAAAGATTATTACCGCGGAGATTCGTCCATTAACCAGATGTGTCCGATGAGCAACAACGCGTGACATCCGTACACGATTTGCAATATTTGCCTATCTTTAATGAAGCTGCCCCAAGACGCAACCAACATGATACCGATTGCGAAAGCTGCCTGGAAGGACATGCCGCACAAAGACCTTTTGCTTGGCCCGACGAGTTCCATCGTAAGTACGAAACCTGAAACATAGTTATTATTCATGTACATATCCTCAACAAATGTGTAATTTTAATTAAAATTTTCCAAATGGGAAAATCAGGATAAAACCAATAAAAAATTTTTAATATCGCAGCAAACTAAAGCAATTTAGTGACTTTATTAATGCCCGGTTTTTCGACCTTTCGCGTTTAACTATCTCTTACTATTGAGAAGTTAACTGAACTGGGAGAGGTTAACGTAATAGTTGTTGCATACTTAAACTTGGATTTCGAGTCGAGAAACCCGATTCCGAAGGTTAACTGGACTTTATAGAAAACTTAACTTATTGAAAGGATAACTTTTAGTTATCGCAGAGTCGAGAAACCGGGCAAAAGTCGTTTTAGTCAACCTACCGGGTATATAACTTCCAGCGGATCCGAAAATACCGTATAAGTACCTAACGAAGATGAAGGAGTAATATTCGGGGGTAAAAGCTACCCCTACTCCTAAGATTAATTGCAATACAGCCGACCAACAAAATATTGGTTTTCTGCCGTATTTATCTGACATTTTGCCCAATACCACAGCCCCAGTGAAGACACCAAACATGTAAGCAGCCTGAGCAACAGCAGACATCCACCTAAAATGCATAATAATTGTGTAAAATCAATGTTTTTTAAATGGATAGTTTGTGCAAAATAAAGTCAGTTGCACGTCACTAATTTCGTCATATTTGCCAAACATTGTGGCCAACTTTTAACAAGAAACATACATACATACAGAGTGGAAACGCCAAATAATAAATTCATTATTTCGGTTACTCTACATATTTATAGAAAATGCCGAAAGACGTCAAATTTTAATTATAATTTGACATTCCTCAACCTCAAAATGTAAGCCTAATCTTCAACTCCCTTCGAATGACAGTTACAACCCCTATTTCTTTAAATGGTATAGTATATAGGCTTGTGATGTATCGTTTGAAACGTTTCTCTTCATTCTCTATCCAAAAATATTATTGTTTTTAAGTTTGAATGATGCAAAACTAATCTCATTTTCATCTTGTTTAAGATTCAATTAAGCAACGTTGTCATGTTTAAAATTCGGAAATATATAATCGTTGGTTTGTTCCTTTTGTTAAATCCTTTTGTTAAAGGGTACTTTAACTTTTTATTATGAAATTGGCAGTAAGCTTAATTGCATAAAATATATTAGTACTGTATGCATTGCGTATATTCAGAAAATTAAGTTCGCAACAAATATTTCGTATTTGTGCCACAATCGAGGTAAAATCCTATTTTTGAAGTGGAACAATAAGTTTTACGTAAAGCGTTAATGTTTCCGTGCAGGAGTTTCTTGAAACGTTGGCAGTATTTCAAAGCATATTACGATTTTACTATTTCTTAAACATGCTCCAATTCCAAAAATAGATTATTGTGGGCAATTTAACACAACTTTTCGCAATTTTTCCATTGATGAAAGGTATCCAAATAGAATAGGTAATAGGAGCGTTTTGGTGTACAGAGCTCAGCGGGCTTACAATGTTGCCAGACCTGCTGCTAAAGCTACGGATCTATCGTTTTTGAATTTCTAACCATTCTCCATTTATTTATAAACAAAAAAACGAGTTTAACGATTGAATGTAAAAATCATTATTACCGTAAAAATGAGAACTTTTCCTCTTATTGGCAACACCGTAAAAGGCGCTCTGATTTTTAAACGAAGCGTGCCTAATATCTTCCTTACATATCTATTACCGCTTTAGTTTTTTGGGTTAACAGTTAACATTCTTGCAAATAATATTCATTTTCACAAATTCAGCTCGTATTCAATATAATTTTTCCCATTTCCGGGATAAATTTTTCAACCCACACGATTCGCGAGTACCATTCGGAAATGTATCAAGGTTTCGAGTAGGCGATAAAAAGTTTCGAATCTTGAATGTCAATAAATAATTTCATGGTATGCTTCTCATTTATGAAGGAACTTTCAAACAGTTTAGAACAATATAAGTTTAAGTTATAAAAAAATCCTCAATGTCAGGACAACCCGTTTACTGTTATAAGTGAATGTAATTCAATCGATTATACGTTTTCGCAAAAAAAAAGATTAAATATTAAATTAGGTAGGTACGTTTGGATTTTCAATGTTTTATAGACCAGCCTTGGCATACTTATTACACGCATTCAACATTCAACAAACTGTAAGGCTTTTTTTATTTGTATTAGGCGTTTAATTATAACAAATAAATAATTAATCGAAATTATTCATTTGATGGAAATAAATAAAAAAAAAGTTATTATCATTTTACCAATAGAATAGGCGTAAGTTAAATAATTTTTTATGATAGGCGGTGTTATCCTCAAAAATATAGAGTGTAAAAAAATATTCATTAAAATTCTTACCTTCTGTCGCAAACGAATTCCCATTCGATAGCCCTCGAACTCTGGTAATACGTGGGATCCCACAGGTAAGACTCGCATTTTGATAAAGTTGTGGAATTTTCGTTATATAACTGACAAAAATCATACTTCCCGGAATCTAGCTTCGGATGATATTTTGCTAATAAAGTATCGTTTAATATGGTGAATGTGTTGTTGACGTCCACTCCCGGAATTTTACATCTGCAAAACAAATCTGAATATATACCAGAGTAGGCACCTTTAGCTTTTAAAGAACAGAAAATATTTTGTAGATGATAAGTTTACGTTATTTTAACAATCAAAACAAATCCAAACTAACCTAAAGTCAGGTATTGCTGCTACTGTTACCAATGTCATCATATTCAGTCCAGCTGTCAGGGCGGAAAGTATGTGCAAACTGTATTGCCATGCTTGGTATTTTCCAAAGTCGCCTAAAATGAAAAGAAATTATAAGTGCTTAGTTATGCATAGGGTTCTTTTGAAAAATTTCCACCTCCAATATTTCCACCCACAAATTTTTCCTGCAAAAAAACCAAAACACGTCAATTTTGTCTTTAAGGGTGGCATCTAACCAGCGTATTTTCAATATTGCTGTATCCCTCCCTGAAACAGGGTGGTTTGCCATTTAAATGAGTCTAGGGGTCGAGATAGACAGTGACAAAAAAGTACCCGGAAAATTGGAATAAAACGCAAAATCTTCTTAAATTTTTCTTAATTCTCCTTTAAAAAAATGCTCCTTTTGTTAGCCAATAATCTAACCATCGGTTCTCAAATTATGATTTTTTTAAGCCGGAAACCTTCATTTAAGGTTTTCAAAAGGAGATGGAAACTTTTAAAAAATCACCAGTATTTCCACCCAACGAAAAATGATGTTCCGAACGTTATTGGTGGTCATTTTATTGCAATTTATCGGCTCTAACGGATTTGCAAAAACATGTGAAAAAACTTAACAACTTCAACACATCATTCAGACGAAATGTGCTAAAATTAGTATCAATAAGTAAACCGTTTAATAAGATTAGTACATCTTTTAATACAACTATTAAGTCCAGCATTTTCAGACAAAACGTTTGCTGATTCGGTAAGAGTGGTAATGTTTAAAATAAATATGTATTTACATCATAGGTTTAGTAAAATAACAATAACGGATACGACGCCTATTAATTTGATCTCTGTGGACAGTTATAAAAACGGTTTTATTATTTAACATACAGTTTTCCAATTTACGTTCGATTTTAGTACTGCAAATGGAAACTTATTAGTCGGCGCCGTATTATGGATATAAATGGCAAACAAAAATAAATTCTCTTGTTTACTTTCACTAACTTGTATAATAAGATTTTATAGTTATTCGTCTAAGCGGTATATACAGGGTGGTATGAGATTACGTATCAAAGGTATATTTTTGGGACAATAAAACAATTCCTAGTATAGACTTCTGAATTTAAAAATTATATTGGCATTCAAATATTTAAATCGTATGCAGATCATATCTTATATTCTTATAAATATTTTAAGTGTTCAATTCAAAATCAACCCATGTACCTATTAGGTAAATCGAAAAAATATTAATTAGTAAATATCCACCTCACATTACGAATGGTTATCATTTTCATACTAATCCTCCGAGAATAGCTCGCGAAAAATGTTTGCCCAACATAAATACAGTATTTTTTTAACTTCAAGCCTACACTGTAACATTAGTATTTAAATATGCTTCTAATTCGAATGTGTTATCGAACAGAGAATACTAATGAAAATCGGTAAACACGCTTCAAGGATTTCAATATGAGTTTGTACTGTATTTTACAAAAAAATTCAGCAAAGGTAAAAATTAGGTCAAAAAATGTAAAGATAGATCGAATAAGTGCATTGCCAATATTAATTGCGAAAAAATATATTCGTAACTTCTGCAATAACTTTTACAGATTGTGGTAGGTAAACAGTAATTTATTACGTTTGGTTTAGTTTTTGATTTTAATATATTACTCATAAATTCTGTTGGTATATTACATAGTTAATTTATGGATTTTAAACTAATTTTCCCTTCCCTGATACATTTCTGACCCCCTTATCTGCATATCCGCAGTTTATTGGTTCTTCTAATCACATGCTCAGAATTTAATTTTGAAATTATATCGAAATCAGGCTCATAAGAGTGCTAAAAATACATCAGATCTTATTATCCTGTACACCTACAACATTTCTAATGCCTTCTAATGCATTCTCTAAAACTTCGCATTAAGTAATAATTAAATATTTAATTTACATCTTCAACAAACTGTTTATAAATTAACATAAAATTTCGATCATCGCCATTGTCTAAATGCTAATGTAATAGCAATAAATTTACATCAAATGTGGGCCTTCAACTCTCGAATACTCACCATTGAATATACATGTAAGATCCGATATAGTAGGTAATTTCATTATTAGCTAACAGAGTGTTAACAGGAGTATGCATTTTTACAATTTTTTTGTAAATTTGTGCATGTACGTAAATATTATTACAAAGTAGTATCTTTTTGTTTTACTCAACAATAGCCAAGATAATATTCAAAGAGCTTTAAATAATAATTCGTTTACACCGCAAATATAAAATCTATTTTAAACCATACGATATTTTTGATAAGGTAGGTACTCGTGTCAATAACTAAACAGAATATATTTCAGTTGACGATGATAACGAATGGCTATTGATTATATTGTTAATATGAGATAAAGAGTTTGTAATTTGGTTCAAATGTACGATAAAGACCGGTTCAATTAGATAATGAAAGTAGATTTTTGAAAAATCAAAAAAGGAAATTTTCTTAAATGTAAAAAGTTTTATTGAAAAATTCCAAACATGCTGTTACAGTAATAATTGCTGTAATGTATACAAATTTGAAGTAAAAGTGTTAATCACACTGCAGTAATTGATTACCTAATGTGGCATAATGAGTCTGGGGCGCTTTTTAAGGTGATAATTAAAATCGAATCGATTTCGACAAACTCGCGACAAATAAATGTGTATAAAATTCAACCGAGGTCTATTTTGTAATACAGATAACCGTCCTATTTCGTCAGCTTGGCAACAATGAAACTGGATATTTATAAAAATACTTTCAAAAATAAAACCCATTTCTTTCAGTGCGTTGAAACCGTTTTTATAATTAGTATTCTCGATGATTTTCTAAAATCATCATGTTGGGATTCCTCTACAGGCCCTGTTCTGTGTTGTTCCAAATTCAAAATATCATTCTGTACAATATTGCACATCGGTTATGAAACTCTAAATATTGAGGAAATATCTAAAATACATCATTCAACTAAGAGATAAAAATTAAATTTTACGTTACAATTTACGAAAATACACGGATTACACTTGCATTTGCGTAATAAAGAATAACAACACTTTCAGCTAATTAAGACATATTCTTTACAACATGTTTGTAAATACATTATTAAGCAAAATAAAATACTATAAATTAAAAAAAAACAGTTTGTTCTTTAAACATCCACTGGTGAACCGATAATTACCTGCAAGAAAATCAATTATCTACCAACACAAAACATATTACGCATTATTTATCTCGTAAAACAATGGTATGTATGTAGTTTTCCAATAATAATACAGTATACCAAAAAAGTATTCGTACACTCGTATTATAATCATTATACGTGTAATTACCAGTTTAATAAATATACAAATGAAAAAACAATTAACAGGCAGATTTGGCTCCATTCGATCCAAAAATGTTATACTTACTCTCATCTGACAATATAACCTGGTTCCAGAACTCTAAACGTTTATTAATGTAACGCTTAGCAAACTCCACTCTTAGCTTTCGATTTTTCTTATTTATCCTTGGCTTTTAGCAGGTCTTCTTCCTCTATATTCTAATCGCTTAATGTGGTATCGAAGAGTTTCCGGATGGATCTTATGCCATGTACTGGATTCCAGTTCAGAAACGATGTATGGAGCACTTACAAAGGGAATTTTTTTAACTTTTTGATAAATGAAATTCTGATCTCGTTGAGTTAACTTGGCAGTACCTCCCGATCTTGACTTATTTTCCACGGAACCAGTAGATTTATATTTTTTCACAATGTACTGAACTGTAATATGTGTTTTTTGAACAATTTTACCTATCTCCTTATATTATTTTCCTTCTATAAAATGATGGATGATGACTTTTTTAAGTCACCATCTATTTCTTCAGTTTTTCTAGGCATTTTAAGGTAAACTTGAATTATTTTGAAAACAGAACCAGGAGCTCAACCTAATACTAATATACCGGCGAAAACAATAAACAATTTAATATCTACAGAGTGAAGAAATTGATAAAACGTTGCTGTACGAATACTTATTTTGGGGATAATGCAAACATTTTTCGTTTTTTTTTATTTTACATTTTTAATAACAATGTTAATTAATGATTGCAAGAATAGTCTTGAAATGTACATTTTAATTTGCTAGTTACTTCTTGTTTCTGTTTACTGAACGCGGACTTCCAGAACATAATGCAACTGTACGAATACTTTTTTGGTCTACTGTAGGTATTATTCATGTAAATATTCAGAAGTGCATATGTGCATTCAGAAGTGTATATTATGGCTTAATAAAAAAGGAGTTTCCGTAAAGTTCATACAATAGAAAAACGAATAATTATTTATTTATAAGTTCGATGATTGGACGAAAACAACACTATAAATAGAAGAAAAATAGTAGATCAATGCCAAGTTCGATATTAAATTAATCGATTAATAATTAAAACGAGAAAGGGAAGCCCGAAAAAATCGAGAGCGGTGAAAAGCGAAAGTTTTTTGTACACGATACCTACTTCAACACGTTGACTGCCATCCACTTTCAACAATCAATTCGTTATGAATAAATTATATGGGTATAAGCACAAATTTGTTTGCAATATGGTCAGTTTTACGAGTTGAGCGAAGAAATATTAAAATATTAGTGATTAGAGTAAGAAAACTTCTATCACTTTATTTTTTCTTTATATGAGATTAATGGATGTTGTCTTTGTTGCACTTATGGACCATACTGTGTGCAATTTTGCACTAATCTGTATATCTCTCAACTACGACTCGACTTTAAATACACGTCTACTATTAATATGATATTTATCCTCGCGTTCCCTGTTTTTGATTAATTACCAGACGCCTTAATTAGTGTCATAAATAAATTTCTATCGATTGAGTCTTTGCTTAACCTTGTGTTCCTGGTAACCTGCCCATATATCTATTATAAAAATTAGCTTTGAATAAACATACTTAATTTTATGTTTATTCAAGATCCTACATTGTGAAGTTTGTATACGTATTTATTCAAGAGAAAATAAGTTTTTTACTCGGAATTTACTAAGTTTAAATGAATATTCTGGAGGCAAGTTAAATTATAATAGTTAAATTAACTAATTTTGTGATTTTGAATATGTACTTCATGTCAAGTTAGCAAAAAAACTATTTTTGTTATAATTAATCGGTTTCAAGCAATAACCTATCCAACGATAATTATCATAGATTATAACTTAAATTTATCCACCTGTAACCGGTGGATAATTATCCACCTGTCTTATTGTTGTTAACAAAAACCAGATTTATTCCACTGATTTGTTTAACTTAAATTTTTTTTCTTCCCATTTCTAATTTTCTAAAGAATAGCTAACGAAATAAATTCGTCATAATTATGCTAATCTAATTCGAAACGTGCTGGAAGACCTAGAAATGCATCTTTTATAAGAGATTATAGCGCACCAAGACTACACAAAATCGATAAATTCGATTTGGATAATAATAGTAATTGTAAGCAATCGTAAATACGCCATTGTCAGTAATATTGATTCATTTATAGTGCTCATTTTTACAGCTGTAATAAAAATTTTTAACCAGTTAAAACGTATTTTTTTAATTATTTCGAAATCTAGATATAAAATGTTTTGGGTAACATGTTTTTGATAAGAATAAAACAATTTACATTTACCTATGTGCCACAACTTGTTTCAAAGTAAATAATTTTTGTGTAAGAAAGCATTAATTCCCCAGAATTTTAATATTTATTCAAAAATTTAAAATATGTAGGTAGTTAAACTATTATTTTTCTATCTTTTGCTTTATGCTCGGATAGTGGTAGTATTTAAACTTGTTAATAAAAATTACTTAAAGTAACAATTTTTTCATTTTCCGCCTCTTAACTTATATTTTATTATGTAAACTAAACTGTTTTTTCCGTTATTTTTGTATGGAAAACATGTAATTAAATTGTCGGTTGTAATTATGTATAATAAAAAAATAGACTTCACATTATTTGTCATTTCGTGGAGGAACACAGTTTTTCACATAAGGTGCGCGATATAAAGGAGTACACTTAACGATAATTGCCTACGTTTTAGTAAAATATAGTAAATTATAATAATAAAATTACTGGTGTTGTTAATGTATTTATACAATCAACAGGTGGGATAAGGCTAAATTTATTCATAATATACAGGGTGTAGGTTTTTTCGACCCCTCTCAAAATTACTCAATATTATTTTAAGTGACTAGACATACATATTCGAAAACGTTATCCCGTTTAAAATATTCCTATTTATCAAACGGATGTTACTACCGCGAGATAAAAAAATTTGAAGAAGTATCCAAACATGTATAGATATGTACATATGTATGTAGGTAAGTTATAACTTATCAATTTACAAAAAATGTTATTTTACAATTTAAAAAATTATTTTTTGCTTCTACACTTATTTCATCCGATTGCATCGCTTTATAGAAAATATTTAATAGAACAACTTACCAAAAATTGTTTACGCCAAGACTGCAAATATTTTCGTCCAAGTTTGAGATTTTTGTTTACTTAAAAGTATAAAGTACATAATTTAAAAGCGTTTAAAAATAACTTTGTTTTCTATTAAGGTATGCCTTTTGAAGAGGAAAATAACTCGTATGTATAAATCATTCGAATTTCCTTGAAACCATAGGTAAATTTGTAGCTCTTGACATGAATGGGAATTTAAAATCTTGCTTTTAATCTATGTATATGTATTATGCAGCGAGATCGAAAGAAAACATCATAAAAATTCACAGATCAATTTACTTCGAAATTATTATTAGTTCATTATGCATAACCTAAAGCCAAGATTACTCAAAAACTGCTCTGAAACATTTAAAAATTTTATGTAGAACAGTGATTTGTTGTAGTAAACAAATATAGATACTAAAATTGTACATACTACGAGTAATGACACAGTTATACCAGATTGTTCAAAATTAAATATCAAAATCTTTAAATAAGCTTGTATAAGTAAATTGCATGACTTCAAATAATATTTCTGTTTGTATTTTGAAATGATCTCATATAAAACCAAAATGCCTAAATTTATTAGGTAGGTAATTCAAAGAGAATATTTAAAATAAATTCTTTGAAGAAATCGTTCAAAGTGCAACGCACTGTACAGTCTAGGTCTAGACTGATTGAAACTGATATAAATTATTGCCGTAGAATTTTAAATATTTCACAAATTTATGAAAACAGGTGGATTTAGTATAGTTGTGTAGCCCAACTTCGAAGAATTATTTCTTCGTTATATTTTGCATACTTAGATATACATTACATAAATACCCATTTAATTTTATGTTGGTGTTAAATCTCCTAGTTTTTGTTAGTTTACATGTAATATATTTTAACAAAGCTATAATCTTTGAATTCAATTAGTTCTACATTGATAACAAGCAATTCTACGATAATTTTTACGCTAAATGCAATTACCAAGCAAACCTACATGTTATTTAATTAAACTTTATCATAATTTTAAATAAATTCTAACTTTTATAATTTAATAAATTCTCCTATTAATTAATTTAATTAATGTTCCTATACGAGCATTTTAATTTCAATTATTAATTTATTAAGTAACAAATTAATATATTAAGTAAAATCGAGAGGTATAAGATACAATATTAATTAAGCAATTCTGAACAAAATTATATTTATTATTAATTAAATTGTTTTTGAATATTATTTATTAAATATGCCACGATAATATTACATAAGAAATTCATAATCGCCTCAGTGCTGGAAGAATAGCAAGGCGATCAAAAAATTCAAAAAGTCCACTAAACTGTGTAAGTCAAAACCTTATTGACGAAAAATCGAAAAAATAAAATAAAAAATAAAAGTTTTCAACAAGTAAATAATGGAAAACATTACCAATTTCATAAAGTAAATGTTATAATTATTTCAAAAAATATCTACTGCTTAGGGAAACTCGGCAAAAATTATAATTTTGATTCAAGCAACTGCAATTTTTCAAATTGTCAGACTCAAAATCCCACTACCGAACATTTTAAAGAAGAAATATTAAGAAAATTGTAAAACCAACAATTTTATAACCGTACATATACACATTTGATAACGTACCAATAGGGTAATTTCGCTACAATCACAAATTTACCACAAAAATAATTTACCTAACAATCCCATAAGGGATTCCAAATCGTAAGCGCCGTCCATCTGTCCGTTTTTTTTAATTCACATGCACAGAATCCCTTTTCCCGACACTGTTCCTTCCGAAAAATATATTTATTTACGAAAAAAAACCGCGGTCCGCACACTTATCGCAAAGCCGACGCGCGGAACATTTGAAATTACGGTTTCCAGATTCAGAACTTTTGTAAGCGCGCTTAAAAGCGACGTTGTCGGATTTTTTACAGGAAAAACCACATTAGGATGCCGCGTTATGGGCGCAGGTATTCCGATATATCGGCTTTTTCGGGGACTTTTGGGCGCCATGGGCGGTGATAAGAAAGATTTTTAGGTATTTTTCCTAAGTAACTTACCTGTAAAAACCAATAAACAACTTCCGTTTTTATTGGTTTTGTTCGGCAAATATTTTCGATTAATATTTACATTCTTTATTATTAACCTACTCCTCTAACTGTAATCCTATTTATAAACATATGCAGAGTTGAGGGATGAATATCTATATAATTTACTATTGTAAAGTCTACAGCTAATTCCTAATATCAAATAAAATACTCTGTATATTTTAATACCAAAAAAGCCTTTTTAAATCTCTTCAGAATTGTTATTATATAAATTTGTCAATATTACAATAATAATTATTTCGCTTGTTAGCTGTCAATTTTGTATTGGGCAAGATTTTCTCTTTTATCCAGCAAACTAAATAATTGCTTCTTCAAAACGAGCAGGAAATAAATGAAACATCCACAAAAGCGTGTCGACATTTGTCTGCGTTTACATTAAGATTTTATGTAATTTAATGTAGTTAAAGGAGAATGAGCGTGAAGATTATAATGGATAAAATTTGAAGAATTTACGAAACTTTAACGCAATAAGAATAAAATAAAGTAAACCTTGTGAACAATTTACATCAATTTTACACTTGTGAATAATTTAATGCATGTTAACATAGGTGAATCATCTCAATTTAAAATAAAATAATAAGAAACAAAAATAAAAATTAAATAAAAGAATATGTTAGTCTTCTATAAATTCCTATTTAATATCAGCAAACTACAATACTCTGTTTTTTAAGACTTTTTAAGGAAAAATGAAGAAATTCGACAACGTCGAAATCATTATGTAAAAGAAAATTGAATAACGGTGTTCTTCACTTCAAATCATTAGAAGTTTTTTCAACCGGAACCAGATGTTAAAATAGTCTAAATTTTATTTTTAGATTTTGTAACAAATATTATCTATACTCAAACAATGCGGGATAAATATGTGATAATAAAAGATGTGGATTTATAGTTGAAATATGATGTGTAACATGTGTTATAACATGATGTATATCAGTGTGATAAAAACTACAGAAGACTCGGAATCCTCAATTGACCATCTGTAAGATAAATTTATCTGCACAATGGTAAAAGGGGTAGACTACCCTTAAAATTATTATTGCTATTTAAAATATAAGCATTTAAGCAAAATTATCAATCATTACTAATCATTTCAATAGAATTAAACAATATATAGAATTTATTTTAACTTTAAATTATTAAATAAATTTCATCAAACGTTTCATCCTTTATAAAATCCTTTTATGAATACATTCTACAAAAACTTTATTAGACTAAACTACAAACATATTAGGTACTTACGGCATTCCCATGAAGAACAACCAGAATATGAAAATATCTACTATTTCACCTTTTTCTGTATTCATTTCACAAAAATGTGTGTTTTTAAATTATTTACATTACTCTAACGATTTAAATTTGTTTATATCAAACGTCAAAATGACATAAAAATTACAAAAGTATATTTCTTCATTTAATAACAAGTGATCTGACCTTCGGAGGTATTTAGCAACCCATTATCAGAATTTACCTTATGAAAGAATTCATTAAAATGTTTTTACTAAAACAAATACCATTAATTTCTTAAATTATGATTACATTTAATTTTTCAACTTTTATAAATTTCTTTTGAGACAAAATTTAAATTACTAATAAAAAAAGAAGATTTTGACTTGACAGTTAGTGACTGATAAAACGTCAACGTCATAAGTTGTCAATAACGTGACGTTTCAAAATTAAAAATATTGTGTTGTTATCCATATGGATAGTTTTTAATTATTTTAACTACATTTTACATAGTTCAAATAATTTTTTAATTACCCAAGGCGAAATGGCAGATTGGGAAGAAGTTAAACGATTGGCTGCGGACTTCCAAAAGGTCCAGTTGAGCTCGACAACGCAGAAGTACGTTGAAATTGCATCATATTTGCGCATTTATCATATATCCTATTTCATTTTCCAGATTATCCGAAAGAAATTGCATCGAAATTATATCGTGGCTGATAGATAGGAAATTGTTGGACCTAATTTTTAGTAGCGACGGAAAGGAATACATCACTCCCAGCCAGCTAGTTAGCGACATCAAAGGGGAATTGTACGATCACGGGGGTCGTATAAATTTAGTGGAATTGGCGAAAATAATCGGCGTGGACTTGGCTCACATAAACGCTCACATAAACGACGTCCTAAAGGGTAGCAAAGACGTCCACGCTATTCTGGGACAATTAGTCGATAATTCTTACATAGCCCGAATAGCCGGAGAAATAAACGAGAAGCTAACGCAACAAGGACAAATAAACATTAGCGACTTAACCATACAATATGACCTACCAGCAGATTTTCTGCAAAGTCAAATCGTCGAGAAGAACTTGGGTAAAATCATTTTCGGCAAACAAGATAAAAATGATCCCAAGGTGTATTTCACTGAATCGTTTATTGCCCGAACGAAAGCTAAAATAAGGGGTTCCCTAGCTGGTTTGACTAGACCCACCCCCATAGCATCTATTCTAAATAATACAAACATTAGCGAAAAGTTGTTCTTCTCCCTATTCGATCAAGCCGCTCTGTACGGGACACTAACAGGAAGAATGACCGGTGCCCAATACATTCCTAACGTGTACGCCAGGTCACAGGTAATACATTTGTTTCTTTACTTATTTAATTAATTATACGAATTTAATTTCCAGAACGAATGGGTTAATCATTTCTACAAGCAAAACGGCTACCTAGAATTCGATGCACTGTCTCGACTAGGCATAACCGATCAAAAAACCTACATAAAAAAGCAATTGTCCAATCAGGATTACGAAATCCTGAGTACTTGTATAGTTTCTAAAAGCATACTCGAACGAGTAGAAGCGGACATTGATGAGTGCGTATCGAGCAAAACATTCATCGATTTACAGAACAACCTACCGTCAGTATTCAACCAAAAAGACGAAGAGATGGTATTAGATCTAATCCTGACGCCCCAGAAACGATCGCAAACCGTGTTGATAGATAATTACGTTTTAAGCAAGGCGTTCTTAGACAAATTGATGAAAGATTGTGAACCGTTAGTGGAGGAAAAATCGAAAAACACGGTCGAATCCGGTAAATACCAGCAGTACCAGATCAGCGTACAAGCCACTTCGACTAGACATCTGAAAGCTGAAGAAGTCGAAGAAAAAGTGGATAAAAGAGAGGAGAGGAGGAAGAAAGCGGCGGGTGGTAAAAGCGGTGGGGGTACTCAAGGTAGAGAAACGAAAACGAAATCTACTAAGAAATCATCGAGAGGAGCCGCGCCAATTAGGAACAATTCTGAAAGCGATAGCGGAGAGAAGGAGGAGAAGAAAATTTTAGAAATCATTTCTTTCGATGATGCTAAGAGTAAGTTTTTTTTATTTGAAATTTATGTTTATACAGTGTTTTTGACAGTAATCATTAAAAGGTTTAGGAGTTCCTTAAGTAACGAGTAGGAGGAGTGTAGGAGTTCCTTAAGGGTATTCGATGAATAATAATTTACTATTTAAGGTGTCATGCAGCTCCCTTTGGAAGAGGAAGGGTTCGAAGATGACGTTCTCGACCAAATTGTCCAATATCTTCTTCCGAAATTGAACGAAGACGCTCTTCAAAAAGCCGCTAATATTTTCGCTACGACTATCGCAGATCGTACAGCCAATCGTCGCCAGACTCACAATGAAATTCAAAATAAATTGAACGCTCTCGTAACCGACATACGACTGTTTGATAAAGGTACATTTTTCATCTTTATTTTTCGGCTAATTTAATGCATTAACACGCATTTATTTCAGGCATTAAACTCCTTCCTGTAGATCTGCAAGGGCAACTAATCAAATACCTACTCAAATCGGTGGGTACCGACGTGGTAACCGAGATATTAAACTACATCGCGGCGGAGCAAAACTTGAGCCCGCCAATGGACAATATCAGCAACGATCAGCGACTAAAATTCGTCAACGATCTACCGTCCGAGTACAAGAATACCGTCCTTCCTCTCGTCAAGAGTTTGACCGGTCAGAGCGTCGAAGAGTTCCTGGCCTCGATCGAGCCGGCCCTGGCGGCCTGCAGCATGATTTTGAAGAAGATCGACAAGAAGAAGGACAGAACGTCGGTGTTGAACCACAAGTACCAGCTGCTGGACGAGCTCAACAAGTCGGAGGATTTGGCTTTGGTTTTACATCTGGCGACGGTGGTGGTCTTTACCACGTGCACCCAAACCATGTTGCATTGTAGCGGACGGCACGTGTCCGGTGTTTTGGCGTTTTTGAAGCAATATCTGAACGACGAGCAGATTACCGAGCTCACTTCCTACCACGGTGAGTTGTGCCATATTTTACCGTTTGTATAAATACAGTATGAGGGTTTTGGAAACTGCCATACAAGAGATGCAGCAACGGTTAAATGGGGAAAAAGTGGAGAACTGATGAAATTAGGACAAACAGAAAATAAAATGAATGTTCAAAAATCTGTTTGCACGTCTAGTTTCTCTAATTTGTCCAACATGGTCATCATTTCGTAGCGCTCTAAATGGCTATGGACCGTTTTGAATGGTTCTAGACTGTTTTAAATAGTTCTGGAGCGTTCTGAACTGTTGGTTGTAGACAGTTCTAAATGTATCTGGACCATTCTAAATGGCTTTTAACGGTTCTAAATGGTTCTAGAATTCTAGATATTTCTAAATGATTTTGGAGCGTTCTCAATGGTTCTAGACACTTCTAAATGATTCTGGATAGTTCTAAATGATTCTGATACATTCAAAAACGCTCTTAACATATTAAAACCGTTCTAAACTAGAGCCTCGTTTTACAATAGCATACATTTTGTACAATTCTAACCACTCATAAAAATAAGCTGTCATAATTAATTATGTTTCCTTTTCCTTCATAGATTTTGTTACCTTGATGTTGAGTGGAGGCTCCGAAGCGGAAAACGCCAAGGAAAAGCTGAAAGAAAAGGCATCTGCCGTTAAAAAGATTGCCAACGATTTTAAGAAACCCGGCGCGGAGAAATAATAGAAGAGAATTCGATGAAAACGGAAGAGGATGAGGATGCGGAAGGTGATATTAATACGTTGTTCAATTCCTCTGTGATATTTCCATTGTAATGCAGGAAGATGTTTCCTGCGATTTTTTTGGATTAACCAGGATGGTAGCGCGTTAATGTATTTAGTTGTTTTAAGTAAAATGTAAATAAGAACATTTTAAAAATACGAATGTTGTTTCAAATCCACCGTTTATTGTTGCTTTTTTATTTGAATAAATATCAGGTGATAGTTTCGACTTTTTTTTAATATAATTACAGGATGCTTCGATAGCGGGATTTTTTTATATTAAAAAAATTGAATTTTATAACAAATAGTGTATTACTTTTCACTACAATTATGAGCATATTAATTAAACAAACAACAGAACTAACACATTATGTATAATATAGACACCGAAAAAACAATATAAATATAAAAATTACATTGAGACGATTTTCGAATTGTGACTAGAAGAATTTTTGCTAGAAAATTTTCTCCAAATTCTTTACGGTACTTTTATTTTAGGGGTATTTCTATCTATACAGGGTGTCCCGCATAAGAGGTAACACAGATTAGGGTCGCTTAGGGGATCCTAAAATTAATTTTAAGGGATTTTAAGTAACATTGATAGTGTACATGACTTTATTTTTTAGTGTTTTTCATCAAAACGACACAGAGTTTTAAATAACAAAAAGTATAAAAAATGTTTTAAAAAGAAATTACCTATGAAACGAACTAATAATTTTTTAAATTATCCATCAGGTAAAAATGTTATGTAACATTTTAAGAGAGCCTCATCCGTAATGAACCATTTAAAATACATCAATTGATCTCTCCTAACTATCGATTATTTCTTTTTAGTACACTCATACATAACGTATGCCAAATTTTGTTGTTTAAGTTTGAGAATTACTACATATTTTGGGTTTCCTTACACATCCCTGCTCTATGTTGGTTCTTAAGCGGGAGAGACACCCTGTATCTTTTTATATCTCAAAATGTTAAATGTTACTAATTATTCTACAGGTCCGTAGTTCTACTATTTACACCAGATGCCTCTAAGGAGACTTGTTGAAAAAGTCAACCGCATGTTTTTATTAAGCATTAAAAAGTTATAAGCTCATTAAAGGGTCTACTTTTCATTGGGATACCCTGTATTTTGAGGCGGATAAACAGTGTCTCAGTTTTATTGATTTTTAAGAAGACTCATTTTTATAGGCACCTGGTATAATATATTTTGCAAAAGATACGTTCGTTCATAATTCACGTTAATATGCCTACATCTATCTATCTACATCTCGAACCGGGAGAAAATTTTCCAGAAGTAGCGCGTATCACATGAAAAAAGAGGAGCGACGAAAAGCATCGAAAAAACAGAAAATTACAAGCCGTACTTCGGCAGAGCGTTGCTCTCCACCGCTCTGTAGCTCAAAGTGCCGTTCTTTTTGAGCGTGCCCTTGTGCGGGTAGAGATTCAACGGCGGCAAATTCGGGTGCTCTATTCTCGTCGGCGAGGAGACACGCGGTCGGGCGACGACGGGCGCGTGTCGCCTCAACGAATTGAGATTCGAGCAACGCATGTCGGTGTTACCGTTACCGATCATTTGGTAGTGCGACGATTCCGGTTCGATGTTGCTTAATTGGTAACTTTCGATCAGCGGCGTTGGGTCCTCGTACTCGTAATCTAGGAACCCAGAATTGTCAAAACTCGATTTTTCTAACGCTGAAAAAGAGGTTCCTACTGCCTATGACTACCCGCTAGGACTACACGTTTTTGTATTTAAGCTCGATGAATTTAAGAAATTTGGTTTCATTTTTTTATGCCTCTGGGTCCCAAGGTGTGTGACTTGGCGTCTCCGGCTCGACTTGTGGAATCCACGTGATCGAACTCAGTCAGTATAGTACTGCCATATCTTCATAGAGCTCTAGCATCTGGAGCAATAATATGGAGAGTGATGATGAAGTATGAAGCAATATCTTGTTGATATATTGTGCAGCAAACTCGTCAAGTCACAAGCCATGGGACCACGCCTTTAAGATTCAATTTTTTACACCATTTCAGTAACGATATGTACAGTAAGTGCGCCAAATATGGACCAGTCTTATAATACGGACCACCGCCATTTTAAGAAGAACGTTCTTTATATCGAGTAAATGATCATCACACACTAAGCATCACTTCTCCCTTGATCCATCCGTCGCTTGGAGTGATCCAGGATGCACGCATAAATTTACGAAAGCCTTTTTTTAGTTTTCTGCAACGCGCGATCTAATTTTCTAGCGAACTTTGGAAGTTTTTTAATCCAAAAAAATACTATTTTATGTGAAAGTGGATAAGACCACGAAAAAGATAAATCATGTTGCAATTAATTGTATTAAATTTTAATATTCTATAATATTCCAATTTTCTGAAAAAAATAATAATCTCAAAATTAGTAAGTATCATAATATGGACCAGTGGCACGTTTCAAATATGGAGTTTTTATGTTCTAGAATGAAAAGAGAATGTGAAAAGAGAAATGAGAAGAGAAAAGTGCTTATGCTGGTCCATATATGGCGCACTTCCTCTATCATTAAAAAAACAATGATTGGATCTACCTATATACTGAACCAAATTTCTTAAAACAATCATTATTATTCGAATACGAACCTTTGGGATACGGCGGCACCGGCGGTACCGCTTCAACGTTTTCGATACTCTCATAGTGATCCTCTCCATCGCCGTAGTCTATCAAGTCCGGAGGAAAGTTCTCGGATATGAAATGTTGGGTGCCTCTCGGCGTCAGCGTGGCCCACACCATTCTGTTGTCCTGCAGGCTACCGCCGTGGTACAGGACGGTATCGGAGGCGTGCACCATCTTGGTGCCGTTCAAAGTGGGCACTCCTGCGCACTCTCTCGGCTCCGGGTGGTTCTTCATTTGGCGGTGCGAGGAGCAATCGTTGCCACCGAACATGTTCATTCTGAGAAATGGATATCGTGGGGACGTTGGGTTTTGAAAGAGGCTCTATACTTACTCTCTACATTTTAGGAGGAACATGGCCAACAGAGCTCCCAGTATCAGCACCCCTATGGAAGAGGCTACTAGTACAAGCAGCCAAGTATCGCCGATTCCCGACCAAGCTTCTACGTCTAGAACACAACAACGGATTGTTTTAAAGCCGATATTGTTTCCTTAATTCGCGGTAGTACATTTGCCAGTATTAGCTACATAAATTAGGTCACCAGGCACAGTTAGGTAAAATCGTAGTGTCAACCATCCAAAATGTCCATAGAAGTAACTATAAATTTCTATTATCTGTACTTTAATATGAATCGTATAAAATTATAGGTGCTATAAGTTTTGGAAGAACTAAATCCTGAACCTCGCCCTTATAGGCCCTATTATATCTTGCACTTAAAACGCATATCAACTAGTCTCTCGATCTTAACTTAATCAACAACCGATCCTGCGGGAGTTAATTTCATATTTCACGAGTTTCGAAGCTTCTCCAGCAGGCGCCTACAGAGAGTTAATTAGGTCAATTCGAAAAGCAATTAGTCTCCTCTTAACCAACTTCATTTGCTCCCTTTGTGGGATTAACTCGCTCTAGCGTGTAATAAGATATATGAGCCTGAAATGCGTTGAAAGTTTTACCTTTTCTTGGCAATTCGATGTAATCGCCGCTTTCTGGTATCCTATTGGGCGCCGACGTGGACTCGCATATTTGCGCGGCGGAACACGGCGTGGTGTTCAGCAGAAGATCCGGCAGAGACTGCTGGAGGAAGGAAGGAATCGGAGGAGGAGGTAGGAAAAGAATGGAATCTGGCGGAGGGCCTAAATCCAGACAGTCGCCCAGACAGCTCATTATGCAGCTGGTACTGCAAAAGAAACCTGTTATTCAAATCGCTTGTACGCTTCAACGTCGCACTTATTTTAGGTATTTTATATTGAAAAATATTGTTCTACACATTTTTAAATTTTCATTTCAAATAACAACGGCTGGACTTAATAATTTTAATAACATTTAAGGGAATCACGCTCTAAAATGTCTCTGTCTATTTTATGAACACCCTGTATGTCTTGCAGCATTTGAGCGCATGTATAACTAGTAGCAAAATTACTATAATAATTACTATGTAAACTCAAAAAAACCACCGCATAGGTATTTATTTATACTGTAATGTAGACTAAACATGTTAGTATAATATTCGAATTTTAAATATTTACCAGTTATTTCGTTTATTGAATTTTATTGAATTGTAGAAAAATGGTTAAATAGATTATTTCTCAAACATATTTACACCATAACGGCTTTAGAAAAATTACAGTCCATTCATTCGGTAAATTAATTGATAATTATAACGCACGTGCCTCAGTTATTCTCATAATTACCATGTCATTAAAAAAATACATACCTTTATAAAAGCTCCAAAATTACATCTATTAATAACGCTATTCTACTTATATAATTACCGAACAACTAATCTACCATTTACTACGGCATGAACATAAAACACCTAATATCAACATCAAAATAAAAACAAACATACCGAATATCCCGTTCCTTCGCCTCCCAAACAACACCATACGAATCCAATACACCCCGGAGTTACACGGGAATACGTCCTCTATCGATCCGTCGCGGCGAGGACGACGGCGACGCTTGCGTCGTGGCTCCAGACGCTCAGCATCGATTCCGCTCGGCCGAAACCAGAAGGATCAAGCCGTCGATAGGCGGGCGTCCCGTTTCGACGTTTCTGGATTGAGCCGTCGGAGTCCTCTTGACCCCGCCGGCGTGTAATTGACGGGGGGACACGTACCGGGCACGTGACCGGCCGGAGCGCGTCCGAATGGTTTTGTTTGGCTGTTCATTAAATTCGAATTATTGGACGATGATATGTTGGATGGAGATGTAAGCGAGAAGTTCGGACTCGATGGGATCGGGACATAAAGGAAATTACTTACGAAGGGATGAAGGGATCACGGAAACGTGACCAAATGTTTTAAAATAACATTTTAATTAAGATATTTGCCAACTTTAATTGATAGTATTTAACTTGGTGTCGTTCTTTTTAGCTGATGTACCCGGGAATTCTGATTTAAATTACCTGCACTTAATATTTTTAACGATTTGAAGTTTCTGTAAGTATGTAACACTGTTCTTAATTAGCATACAAAAAATTAGAGAGATTTCTTAATCAGTTAGGTTGTAGCAGTTGATTGAATCAGTTCATATCAGTCAGTCTTCTGTGAATTTTGCAATAGACAAAAATAATGAACAAAGAGTTTGTCTTTTGAACAGAATTTCGTAGGCCAAATCGATGCAAATGCTTAAGGCGACTCTATTTTATAGAAAACCCTTATTTACGAATGGTACAAAATATAAAGTCAATCGGGAGATCGCTAAAGATATGACTTGCTCCAGACAGTCTTCGACCTCTTCAACCAATGATAACGGCGAGAAAATGAAGAAAATTGAGTTCGAAAATCATCATGCTAGTGTTAGAGAAGTATATAGCACTTGAGTTCAACATCTTCCGTTAAACCGCTCGTTTAATTTTTCTCAATCAATCAGACATGCTGCGAATTGAGGATCGGCTAGTTCCGATAGAGCTGAGTTCCATCAAAAACGATATCGTCAACTGGTCGATGTACACATGTTTGTTCGTGTGAAATACCATCGACCAGCCGCCATACTCACCAGATATTGCATCGTGCGTTTTTTTTTGTTTATCAAACTCAAATTGCCACTTCAGGGACCCCGTTTTGACTCTATAAATGCCATCAAAGAAAAAGCGCAGAAAGAGCTAAAAGCCGTACCAAAAAGGGCCTATAAAAATGTTTCGATGATTGGAAAAGTCGTCTGACTATGTGTATCGCTTCAAAATAAGCATATGTTGAAGGAGATGTAAGAAAAACTAAAAAAGATTAAGAATTTTGCGTTTTATTACAATTTTAGATGTGCATAGCCAACAAAATTCTAAAACAATACTTAAACGCAGCAATAAGTGTACATACAACCCTGTATTTTACCCTCTAAATTAGAAACATTTCGAAATAAATTGCCTACCGCTCTTTTACCAGAGCAAAACGACCCAACGAAAAAAACGCCCCCTCGTAACAAAAGTGCCGGCACTTCACCCTCGCACGATTGGCAAGGAATCGAACAAACACACCGCTAATTAAAATATGTATCCTTCGAGTCTCTCGCTCGCCTCTTCTTTCTCCTGACGCCTACGCGCGACTCCTGCGGCGCCAACACGCTCGCGCGATCGGTTGCGTCGAAGCGTCGCGAAGCGACGGCGAGCTCGCGTCGCCCAACAGGTTAATAAAACCCGTCATGTCCACTTGAGCAGACGGCCGCCCTTTCGATAGGGAAAGGGTTCCAAAAGTGAAGTGCTCTGCCGATAGAATTTCGCTGTCGCGTTTTCGACTTGGGTTGCCGGATATGGTGACGATGTAGCGGTATCAGGTAATGTCGTGATATCGAAGCTAATCAAATCAACTACACACTTACATATGTATACTGGATGTTTGTGCGCATGTGGTATAGGGCGAATTTTCAATAGGGAATAATTGAATATTGTGTTTATTATTGCTTCGTTGGTTGAAATTTGGTTGGAAGTTGTGTTATTTGAAGGAGTTTGAAGATAATTTTGTATGAGAGGATACTTTTTTAAATTACATTAACGACTAATGTTGTTATGAAAACTTATGAAATAATATTGTTTATTGTTTCTACTACCTACTTGGTAATAAAATTTCATACTTAATAATTTTCCCCCGAATAGGAACGCGTCTATAATACCTACGCTACTGGCTTTACAATAATATTAATTAAAATTTGATTAACTTTATTATTAATTGCGTTTTCAAAATTCGTTCATGCACCCAGTACCCTTTAGTACCCAATACATTTTATAAAAAAATTGATGTTTTATTTAACTTAACTTTCAATTTACTTTGTATGTACCTACTACATAATATTTAAAAATAATTCAAATTGTTTACTAGTAGATATTGAGTTCGTTAAATAAAAACAGAATAAAATAATCTGCTGACTCAACCTTTTACAAAATTACTTTTTTACCAGTTAATAATTTTTATTACAGCAGTTAAAGCGCGTTTCGAATAATTATTAATTTTCCTTTATCGTCTAATAATCGCATATTGAAAGCGTTACATCATTGAAAATTTCAAATAAGAACGCTTCTCATTCCAGAGAAATATTTCGATTGCATTTCGCGGAGTTTTCGCTCGTGACTGGGCATTTTTGCCGGTCACACTCCAAAGTACTGACACCGACGGTTGCGGTACTCGCTCAGTGCCAGTCACTGAACCAAATCCAACAATAAATCACTCTAATTTGAAAAATCCTGTTCGCGCTGAGCCAGAGGAAGTCGAAATTCCGGCACGGGCCGATCCGCGACCGAATTAAAAATAAATCAACTTTTTGATAAGGAGTTTTTTTTTTAATGTTACGATGGGAATTTACGGCTACCGAGCGTACCGACAGTCGGTGACGAATTTTTCTGTCGCGAAAAACTCGCTCAGTGCTATTCCTCAGTGACTTTGAAGTTGGAAGTCCAGTTTGTTCAGTGCGTGCTCGTTTTTGATGACTGAAATGACCAAAACGGCAGAAACTCCAAATGGCTGCTTGGAAGTCTCGGATGCCCCAAAAAGTAATTCACTCCTTTTTACTTGTAGAACCTTTGCTAGACACTTTATGTGCCCCTTATGGTCTTCAGCACGATCGCTGAGTCCATGGTGACAAAGCTTTTGAATTGTTGACGCTCATTCGAACTTTAAAATATGGTTTTGTATGAAATTCTATCGATATAAAGTTAACAGAACATTACTAATGTAAGCAAGTAGTAAAGTAGGTGCTTTGGAGAGATCAAAAGTTCCTATTTTTATTTAAGGTGAAGCCAATTAATAACGTGTATTGGTTTAAGACAAATTTAGTGAATATGTTAGATTAAAGGAGTTTTAGATATTAAGATTTTCTAAACATTTTTACAAGGTTTGTCGTAAGATTTTTTCTGTATAGGCTTTCTTGTATGGGAGAATGACTTTTTTTTTATACTTTTGATGATTTTATGTCATTTATTTTGAATAATTTCGAGCGTTTTAAATCAGATTTTTTGATCAGATAATTATTGCCTTTTTGACTAACTTTTGAATAACTTATCTATATTAATTAGGTGAGGTTTTTCGTATATTAGTAGTAGGATTTAGTAGTAATAATTACCCCATTCATTATTAAGGGTAATTTCGTAAAAAAAATCATCAAAATGTCATGAAATACTTATAAAAATCATTAAAAATATTCGAAGATATGTGCCGGTACAATTTTATATTTCTATGTCTAAAAATTCGTTGTTATTTTTATTTATTTTAGTCAATCTTTTAAAGATATAAAGAAATGTCACCGGATTATAATGTGTAATCGATAATGCGATGGCGGTATTTTTATCGTTTGTATTTCCAACAAATTGATAGACCGGAATGTCGAATCAATCGTTATAGTTTCGTTTACTGTTTAACTTCTTTTCAGTTATCGATATTGGTTGGTATTTAGCTATCTACCGAATATTTGAGCACAAGGAGTTTTTCATTTGAAAATAACAAATTCTACTTCATCTACTTGTGTTTTGTATTATACTTAGTATAATAGTATTATATTTAGTATTATTACGTTAAAACCAGAACGAAGAATAAACCACGGCGTCCCAAGGGCTCTCGATTGTCATCTGAAAGTATTAAACGTGTTAAGTTGGGAGTCTGGAGCCTGTTAGGGAGAGCCAAAGGAATTAACCGCATAAGCGTCAGAGCGTATACCTCAGAGACAGCAATATCCAACACTGACTTCAAACATTCTGCTCTGAAAATTCTAGAATTCTTTTCTTCTCTGTCTTTGTATCTACGTATGTCTCTGAATCGATACTTGAAGTACATGATGGAGCTTTAGAGTTTCGCTGCAATTCATAGGTATTGAGTGGACAAGTTTACAATTATACCTATAAACGTTATTTAAAGCAGACCCTATTATGAATACACAGAAAAGTTAATTATATTCAAGTTGTTTTTTCAAACAAATACGTTTTTGAAAAGATAAATTTAATACCGAATCCAGCAGCATTTATTAATATTATCAAATTCATTAAATATGTTTGTTTATTAGCCAATTCTTTAGTTAGTTACACCTGGAAGATTACATGTGTGTGTGTTTATTTAAAAGGTAGACTTTTGGGTTATTAGGGATTTTTTTATATAATTGTTTCTGTATATCTGCAGGTGTTACTTCCCACACTTAACCCACGACATACTCTATTTTACTTGTGTAGGTTTTAACTTTAACAATTTCACGTGATGTGATCACTCCTTAAAGATATAATATTATTTTTAACGATTGTTTGTCGAAAATTGTGTGATTTGAGTGAACAAAACGGAAAATTAATGACGATCCTGAAAAGAAAATTAATATAACTACTACGCGCGTCCAGAAAGTAAGTTTCAAGTAAAAAATCAGGTACAGATATACAAAAAAAATATTGCACAACAATCTACGATTCTTAAGCTACATTTCTGCATAGGTCCCAAAATTTTCCGGATATTTTTCAGAGCGTAGCACAAGTTTTTGTACGCTATGCTCATAGGAGATTACCACCTGTGTTTTCAATTATTCGCGGATACACATAATTTTCCACGATCGTTCATTTGAAGTAAAGATGAACGAAAACCGTAAGTTTATAATTCATGCTCTTTTCATGAAATTGTCACTTTCTGCAGCGAAAACGCAGGCGGCAACTTTCTATGAGGAGGGCATACAAAAACTGGTACTTTCTTTTCTGGACACCCCTGGTAGGTAAATTGAATACGAACAACGCAAAATGACAAGTATTGGTGCAATTATGGCATTGAAATATTATAGAACCGTAAATGACATAACTGTATTTTAAACAGTTAATTAGATTATGCGAAAAATTTAACTAAAAACATATTAAATCGATAAGAATTTGTTTTTACGACACGAAAATATTTTAGATTTTTTGCTGTTTATTATATTGTTAATTGAAAATCTACGTAGAATAATTAAATGACAAAATCCAAATAAAATTTATAAAAAACAATTAATAAGTAAGTAATCAATAACGTAATCAAATTTAAAAGGAAAAAAAATCGAATAAAATTTTGTTACAAATTTTATCTAGATACATGGTTGAATCATTCTGGCAACCAGTGTGCGGATTATTTGGATTGCGGATACTCAATAAACAATTTAAAAATTGAAAAAATACCAATAGGTTGCGGTAAAAAGAAAATAATGAATTTTGAATATTTCAATATAAAGGGTGTTGTTTCAAGAAGCCAAATTCACAATTTTTTTAAACATGAACAAGATATTTTAATTTTATAATTTATTTTAAAAAGCATTCAAAAGATTATTTTAGGACTTCTTTGATGCCACATGCCACACCTATATTCAACCAAACTATACAGGGTGTCCCGGATAAGAACCGAAACAAAGCCAGGGGAGTCTAAAATATGTTGTTTAACCCAAGTTTAACTTAATATAGCAAGGTTTTAAATGACATGACTTTCTTTTAGCATTTTTCATCAAAACGATAAAGAATTATAAAAAGCAAAAGGAATAAAAAAGTTTTGAAATTAAATTAGGTAACTACAAAAAGAAATAATAATTTTTAAAATCATCTATCAGGTAAAAAAATGACTATGTAACATTTTAAGGCAGCGTAATCCCTATTGATCCCTTTGAAATAGATCAATTGATCTCTCATAGCACACTCACAACGTATGTATATCAAATTTCTTTGTTTTAAGTTTGAATATTACCTACAGAGATATTTACTTTTTTTTAATTTGCAATTCTACATTGAAGACCTATAGCTTCTCAGGAATGTAACTTTGAAGGAAGTTAAGTCAGGTTAAACAACATATTTTGGGCTCCTCTTTACGCACCTGCTGTGTGTCGGTTCTTATGCGGGACACCCTGTATACAATTAACAATAAAACCATCTGTACAGATAATATGTATATTCACAATTCACAAACACCTCGATCCACATAACACATCTACGAGGTAAAACCGAAAAATCGATTAAAAATCGTCTCCTTCCAGAAAAAATGACCCTCATTAGTCGTGGGTTTTTACGTTTCTCCATTTTCTTCAGTGGATACATCCTCTTCCTCATATTGGGAGCATCCGTTTTCTCCGCAATCGAAGCGCCCGAGGAAACAGAGCAAGTGAACAGCCTCAGAACTCTACGGAGCGATTTTCTCAAACAAAATCCACAAGTACGTGGTAAGTTAATAAAATTACATTTTCTATTATTTATACGAATAGGTACTTTCACTATTGAATGTCGAAATTATTCGCTATAGGCTATTGTTCTACTATTTACAACGGTGAATGAGAGTAAAACCAGGAGGTCATACTCTTATTGTTTGGTTTTTTTTTGTTCTTAATATCCTCTTGATGAATTATACATTCAAGATAGAACCTAAGAGAGTTAAGAAATTGGGCTTTTTCTTATCACACGCAGGTACACAAGCTAGTAAGTAGCCGAGTAGCTGAGTAGCTGAGTTCATCACCTGGTTAAATTCTAAACAAATTAGGAGCAAAGCCAAAATAAATCAAAATTGATTGATACATGCATTAAACGTCAACACCAACAAGAAGGTATTCAAACATGCCTTACCCAGCCCGCGGTCATGGCGAAATACCTAACTGATGTCATTTACCACGGGACGAAGATCCTCGTGAAATCCGTAGTGAAAAGCGTTAAGGAGGAGATTCGGTATAGTCAGGCGGCGGCGAAAAAAAGGTACGAAAAATCGCCAAAGAAGCCGGACATCAAGCCCGACATGTCCGTCGAGGAGGCGAAGCTGATTTTGAACGTGAAGGAATTGTGCCCAATGGAGGTGTGCAGGCGTTACAGCAGCCTGGAGAAGAACAATCGGCATTGCGCCAACGGTTCGATCTATCTCCAATACAAAATACTCCGGGCTAAAGATGTACTGCTGGAAGAAATAAAGAAAAATAACGCTGGCGATAAATTTACAATGTAATTGCCATCTTATGCTTTTTTATTGAACCTTTTTTTAATTGCATTTATCTACTGTAATAAATAAGGTTATTATTTAAACAATAATGGGACGAAGAAAGGACTGGAAACTGGACTGGGAACTTCATGTAAAATTTGAAATTGTTGCCCAATTACTCAGGTTACAATGTTGTGTTCTTATTGTATAGGGACTACAATTAAGACCCCTATACAGGTGATACAAAATTTCTGTGGCAATGTAACAAAAGTTATAGCAAAATAAAACATACTAATACGGAAAGCATACGTTTGGGTATGTTTTTATGACCAGGCGTTTAAAAGTTTATAAGCTGATTAAATGGGCTACTTTTCATTGGGACACCCTGTATATAATGAGAAATACACTGGTTAAAGGGCTTTAACAAAAAAATCCAAATCACCTAATTTATAATTTAGCTAACAAAGAGGGAAGGTTATTTGGAAGGCATTTAATTATTTTTTTTGTTTATTTACAAGATAAAAAGGGAATTTTCTCCTTCTCCAAGTTGAACTTGCATTTGTTTGTACTATTTTCAGCCTAGTAACCGAATAAAACTAAAATAGTACTAATATAATGAAGGTCAAGTTATTTTATCTGTTTGTTTGAAGTAAAATAATCAATAATTAATCTTCTTAATTTATATAAAAGAGACAACCCCCTAAAACTTTTTATGGTAAGTGGTTTTGGATTTTATAGTACTGACATCCCAGTGTAAATATTTTTATTGGAACGTGCTTAATTTTTAAATAGGAAAAAGAGACATTTTGACTCTCTGTACGCTCTCTTATTTACTAAATATTGCAGAGAATGCTTGATTTCCTTTGATAGTGTGGAAATTGAAGAAAAATGCCCAATTAATAATAACTAATAATTTAGGAATGCCAAAAAAACTAACTAGGCTATCTTTAAGACATAAAACTGGAGCAATCGTTCGAAAGTAACTGACCGATAAGATACTTACATATTTGATAGAAATGTAATAGTAATGCACATATGTACATATAGGCCAAACTCGCTTGTCAGCTCGGAAAGGGGGCTGCGCCCCCTTTCAACCCCCCTTTCTTACGGTGGCGGCTTCGCCGCAAGACAGTTTGCTAGCCGGATCCTCGTTCGCTTCGCGAGCTCGGTGCGATTGAATTTTCGTTTGGAAATTAATCACACCCCGTATATCAATTTTTTAAACAACCAGATCTCGCTCGCTGCGCGAGCTCGACTAAATCGCTCTAGTTAACGATGGGCTCTGCCGAATAGACCCGCAGCTCGGAGGCCTGGCGGCCTCCTACGCAATGGCTGTTAAATAACTAAGGTCTTGCTCGCTGCGCGAGCTCGACTAAATCGTTCTAGTTAACGATGGGCTCTGCCGAATAGACCCGCAGCTCGGAGGCCTAACGGCCTCCTACGCAAAGGCTGTTAAATAACTAAGGTCTCGCTCGCTGCGCGAGCTCGACTAAATCGCTCTAGTTAACGATGGGCTCTGCCGAATAGACCCGCAGCTCGGAGGCCTGGCGGCCTCCTACGCAATGGCTGTTAAATAACTAAGGTCTCGCTCGCTGCGCGAGCTCGACTAAATCGCTCTAGTTAACGATGGGCTCTGCCGAATAGACCCGCAGCTCGGAGGCCTGGCGGCCTCCTACGCAATGGCTGTTAAATAACTAAGGTCTTGCTCGCTGCGCGAGCTCGACTAAATCGTTCTAGTTAACGATGGGCTCTGCCGAATAGACCCGCAGCTCGGAGGCCTAACGGCCTCCTACGCAAAGGCTGTTAAATAACTAAGGTCTCGCTCGCTGCGCGAGCTCGACTAAATCGCTCTAGTTAACGATGGGCTCTGCCGAATAGACCCGCAGCTCGGAGGCCTGGCGGCCTCCTACGCAATGGCTGTTAAATAACTAAGGTCTCGCTCGCTGCGCGAGCTCGACTAAATCGCTCTAGTTAACGATGGGCTCTGCCGAATAGACCCGCAGCTCGGAGGCCTGGCGGCCTCCTACGCAATGGCTGTTAAATAACTAAGGTCTTGCTCGCTGCGCGAGCTCGACTAAATCGTTCTAGTTAACGATGGGCTCTGCCGAATAGACCCGCAGCTCGGAGGCCTGGCGGCCTCCTACGCAATGGCTGTTAAATAACTAAGGTCTCGCTCGCTGCGCGAGCTCGACTAAATCGCTCTAGTTAACGATGGGCTCTGCCGAATAGACCCGCAGCTCGGAGGCCTAACGGCCTCCTACGCAAAGGCTGTTAAATAACTAAGGTCTCGCTCGCTGCGCGAGCTCGACTAAATCGCTCTAGTTAACGATGGGCTCTGCCGAATAGACCCGCAGCTCGGAGGCCTGGCGGCCTCCTACGCAATGGCTGTTAAATAACTAAGGTCTCGCTCGCTGCGCGAGCTCGACTAAATCGCTCTAGTTAACGATGGGCTCTGCCGAATAGACCCGCAGCTCGAACGCCTATCGGCGTTCTACGCAAAGGCTGTTAAATAACTAAGGTCTCGCTCGCTGCGCGAGCTCGACTAAATCTCTCTAGTTAACGATGGGCTCTGCCGCATAGACCCGCAGCTCGGAGGTCTACCGGCCTCCTACGCAAAGGCTGTTAAATAACTAAGGTCTCGCTCGCTGCGCGAGCTCGACTAAATCGCTCTAGTTAACGATGGGCTCTGCCGAATAGACCCGCAGCTCGGAGGCCTCACGGCCTCCTACGCAAGGACTGTTAGGTAACTAAGGTCTCGCTCGCTTCGCGAGCTCGACTTAATCGCTCTAGTTAACGATGGGCTCTGCCGAATAGACCCGCAGCTCGAACGCCTATCGGCGTTCTACGCAAAGACAGTAATATAGCCGGATCCTCGCTCGCTTCGCTCGCTCGGTTTATGTATAATTAACATTTCCTTAAATACAAGTCACCCTGTACTATATTTCAATTCTATTGCAAATAATTTTTCATTTAATGTTAAAAACGCTCCGTATATCAATTTTTCCGATTTCCTTAATGAAAAAACACCCTGTACATCAAATTAAATGTAAATGTATCCCGTAGTAACGGAAATGACAACTTTGACAGTTTGAAATTTGTTCATCGCCGCTGTCATAAGTGTAGTTTTTTTAAAAGTAATTCGATCGTTTCTCCGTTTTTGGTAAGTACAAATGACCAAGAAACGTACATTTTTGCGTATTATTGCATTTTCTTTTATTATCGTCCATTAAAAACGACGAAATTGTCTAAAAAACAAAAAAGTCTCTTATTTCGGTGTAGATCCGTTTAAACCAAACGAACGGGCAACGTCCATCAAGTAATTTATTTGGAAATGTGTCAAAATTTTCACTTTTATTCACTTTCAAAATCGAATTACGGAAAAAAACGAATTTAGCTGGAGAAAAGAGGTAGATTTTCGTAATCGGCGAATTTTTTTACGTCTCTCCATCTACCTCCCAATGCCCCAGAAACTTTTTTTTAATTTCTCTCGCCAATCAGTCTATATCCCCTGTCAAGGGTTACATCTATATATATGTAGGACTCGCTTGTCAGCTCGGAAAGGGGGCTGCGCCCCCTTTCAACCCCCCTTTCTTACGGTGGCGGCTTCGCCGCAAGACAGTTTGCTAGCCGGAGCCTCGCTCGCTGCGCTCGCTCGGTCGCGATCATCCTGTACATCAAATTTTCACATTTCCTTAACGTAAAAACACCCTGTACATCAAATGTCCCGTCGACGTTTCCTTAGAAACGTCAGTGACATTTTCAGTCAATGTGAGGTTTGTTCTTTGTCGCTGTCATTAGTGTACACTTTTCGAAATTAATATAAACATTTCTCCGTTATTCGTCAATAAAATGAGGAGAAAATTGGGAGGTGAGTAAATTATTGTATATTCTTTCATATTCAACCGTTGAAAGCGGCTAAGAGGGTCAAATTAAGAAAAAATCTTGCACCGCGGTAAAGTTCCGTTGAAACTAAACGAACGCAAATCGTCCATCAAATAATTTCTTGAAAAATGTGTCAAAAATTTCAACTTTAAATCGATATTGTAAACGAAAACGAATTTAGCTGGGGAAAAGAGGTCGATTTTCGTAATCAGCGAATTTTTTTACGTCTTCCCATCTACCTCTCGACGCCCAAGTAATTCAAATTTAATTTCGATCTCCAATCAGTCGTTAACGCCTGGGGTTTTATATATATAGTGATTTTATTGAATTTTTATATTATATTATTTAAACTAAAATTATTGCCCTAAATTTTTAGATTACTATGTATTAATTAACTCCAAAATAAGAAAAACAATCATTTAAATCGCAAAATAAACTTCACCCTTGTAACGCAAACATAAATACAAACACAAATCCGTGATACTTCTGTCGCATATCGCGTAGATAAGTACCAAATACAGTTCAAGAATCCATCGTCAATCGGCAGCAAACAATCAACAAAACTAATGGTCAGCTCTTCGACATTCAGGTATTTAACCTTTGCGACCGAAAAGCCATCGAAAGCAAACAAATCTCTCTAATCTCCGTTTACAAAAAGATAACAAACATTCAAATAAAACGGGTGCCCATTATCGCTGACCAGCCAGTCGACAAACGCGGTTTCATGTGAAAATCAGAGTTTAATTTGTGATTCGGACTCGTCCACTCGATCGACATGCTTCAAAGGACTATGCGGTTTTTGGAAAGGGCTTTCGTGGCGGAAAGCGCGTTTTTCTCGCACCCCAGCGTGTATTTATAACAGTGACTGAACAGTTTCCACCTAGCGTTATACTAGCATATAGAGTGATCGAATTAAATTTAAATAAACGGTAAGGATGCACTTTAGTTAAAAAAACAGCGGGAAAATGAACATATTTCTGTGGTCAGTAAAGTTGTAAAGTATTAAAGTATGTAATGCACCGTTCATTAAAATTATTATACATAGAAAATTAAAAATTAGGGTTCTGTTAAATTGAAGGGGGTGTTTTGTTCAGACCCAAGTAGGAAGCATAATTTTTTCTAAAAACTTAAAACACCACCCTTTATTTTCTCACCCTTTTTGTCCTTTTCTTCCAGCTACTATTTATCCTGTTTCCCATTATGTTGATTGTAATAGATATAGTTTTTTTTCACTATTTTAAATTATATCGCTAACCTACATTTCGTAATGTCCTATTTATTATATCCTAATCTAAATTACGACTACCTAATCAATTTTTTATGTTATGTATATGTTTATTTATATATTAGGTTTATGCAACTTTAAAACTTTCAACCACATATAATTACCACTGTAGAGTGGAACTCTTCAATAATAATATACAGGGTGATATGTAGAAAATGAAACGCTTACATTTTGTACCAAAAATACCCCCAAAAACTTCTAGGGGTATTTAAATCACCCTGTAAACGTATTATTATATTCACTTTCCCCCTAAGTTTCCCTAAAGTGCATTTCAGTCGAAATAAGAGTTCGATCTTCGAAGACGATGGATTTCAAGAGTTACGGAGCGATAATAACGAGCAGCCAAAAAGAGCAGTTGTACCGATTCGACAGCCCGCAGGAGGAATCGACCCGGCTGGAGGAGGTACCGCTGTTGCCTCAAAGCCCAGCCAAGAGGTTCAAAGGACCCATCATATTGGGAATGTGCAGGTCCACCTATTTGTTCGCCATCTATCTGTTCGTGTACTTTTTGTACCTCTGCGGAGGGGCTTCGTTCTTGTTTTACGTGGAGGAGCCCGAAGAGAGAACGACAAGGGTTGAAGTTCGAACGGCCATACAGAAATTTTACACTCAGTATCCTACCGTTTCAGGTTAGTCGGGTTCGATACACAACAATTGAATGGTAATTCAATAATAAGGTCAACTTTTAATACATAATACTTCCCTTATAGATTCCTGACAATAACAATATTATTTGAATAAAAAGAGAATTAATTGACCTATATGTTATGTGAATTTTTCTTTCATGAATCAAACAAATATTTTATCGGTCAATTACATACTTCTAGTTCATTGACAACGTAAACAGATTAAAGTAACATGGTAAATAATATGAATAATTTGCCTTTTCGAGGCGTAAAGTAACGTTTCTCTTCGTTTTAAAGTTCCACTTCATATAATATTTAATTATCGAAAATATTTATCGACGCTTAGTACAATTTTCGGACCGATTTATTATCGAATTTCCTCGAAGAAAATAATCTGTATACATATGTATAGTTTAATCTCATTTATATTGTTTTCTAGTAACTTTTTTAATATCCATCGAGATAAAAAATGTTATTAACTCGCCGAACGCCACAAAATTTCATTATTTTGCGGCGTTTCAGCGCGTTGAATAACTCGCGAAATCCCTAAAAGTAGATGGAGCGTTATCCCGCGATTTAGTACCTTTTGTTCGAAGGGGCCTGATCTCCGAAAATTAATATTAGGCTGAAAACTCGCACGACGGATTACGGGGATGTACCGCGGAAAATCCCTCATTATTCGCCCTATCGCGTCGCATTCGCCGCTTCGAATTAAATTTCAGTTTCCCGAAGGTTTTAAATGGGGCGGGCATAAATTGAATGTACCTATACTTCACTTCGATGTTTCCGTCGAATTTTGTTCACTAAATTTTCTTTTAAAATGTCCTTGTTGAATAGTAAAGGTCGATGGTAATCGATTTTAAACCATAGCGCCCCATCAATTTTTGATTAATCAATCAGCGTCACGCATTAATACGGTTTAGTAACATGAATTGTTAATGAAAATAATAAAAGTAATAAGACCACTTAATTTTTCTCAAAGGGTTAAAGTAATAATAACTTTTGTATGGAATAAAAACACCAAGGTGTCCCTAAATCCTATGTAATAAGCACATTACATCGTAAATTAATTAACAGATCGTATTAATTAATTAATGGACTTTAATAATTAATTAATGGATTTAATAATCTAATAGCTACACAGGGTAAGTCATGTCAACGTTTTATACAGCATTTTTAAATTTTCAATGAAGTTGAAGTTGGGCATGATTCCTGCTATATTTAATCTATAAATTCTTTTTTTTTTCTACGTTATAGATGGATTCCGAGTAATCAGCTTTATTTATTTTCCCTTATTTAAATATTCGATACCAGCTGATTCCTCGCTGATAAATATTGAACTTGAGCTTTGCATTATCAACATTATTATCGCATGCTGTTTATGCCGCGTCGAGATAATTGCCTGGAGGGGTACCAATAGTTGATTGATATTGATATTTCGAAAACTGGAGGGTAACGTACATGCATGCAGGGTCAGAGGTTATCTTTTGAATTTCATTCGATTTGAGAAATTGATATACAGGATAATTAATTTGAATGTTTTAAAACACAAAGAGGTTCCTATAAAAATTGGTTCAATCTCAATTTTATCTGCAAGTGTAAACGAATGCACACTTAGTTATTGTCCTCAATATAGTGTCAGTATTTTCAATTTATTTTTTTATTTTAATTTGTGATCTAGAAACGGAAGAGGAATCACTCTGTATGCTTTATTATATCACATTTACGTAGAGACAGAGCTTTCTGTTCCACTAGCGAAAAAAAAAAAGGAAAACAAAGATGTCTTGTTATGATTTCTTGAATAATTTATATTATTATCAATTATGAAATTGTTAACTCCATATAGTAGATTGGGTAATATGTGTAAGAAAATGTCAATTGTTTGTTGTTTTTTAAGGGAAATTTTACATGATAAGTAATGAATTTTCACTAATTACCTACATGTCGAGTTACTGGTGGGAATAAAGCAGTAAACTCGATTTTATAGTATCTTTTTATACATTTTGCACTTCGACGGGATGCTTTTACATTAATTTCAATTTCAGGTTCTTCATTTAATATTTAATTATAAATTATAACTACAAACATGAAGACTGTAAAAACAAATATATGTATGCGAGTATTTTACCACTACATATAAACATATAATGAATGTATTAAAATTATCTGTTTAAAATTAAATATTTTTATTAAATTCATCATTATTTATTAAATTTGCAACCGTTGACTAAAATATCTCAACTAAATTTGAGCGTTCTATAATTAGTTAGGTAATGATAATCAATATTTTTTTGCCAATAAAATCATTATTATTTTCCTTGCACTTAACAACAATTAAAGCAAGTTAATTAAAACTATTAATTATTACAGACAACGATCTAGAAGAATTAATCGTAGAAATAGTAAAAGCAAGCAACAGAGGAGTCTCAGCCGTTAATAATGCCACTGGTGAACCAAACTGGAGCTTTGGTCAATCGTTATTTTTCGCCAGCACCGTCGTAACAACCATAGGTAAGAAGAATTATATTATAAATTATATTATATTTAAGAGTATATTATAAATTATAATAAATGTCTTTGTTGTAGGATACGGACACGTAACACCCTTAAGCAGAACTGGTAAAGTCTTTTGCATGGTATACGCAATGGTGGGCATTCCATTGACTTTGGTGCTACTTTCTGCGCTGGTAGAAAGACTACTCGTCCCAACTGTTGGGCTGCTCCAATGGCTCAACTCCAGATTGGGACATTTATATCAACCTTTCAACATACGCATTATGCACCTTCTCATTATGTGTAAGTACTTTCAAAATAGAAAAAGTTCTATATTTTTATTATTATGTTCTTAATTTTTAGTTATGTTTCTCCTACTGTTCTTCCTGTTACTTCCTGCGGCCGCCTTCGCTGCTATCGAGCCGGAATGGGATTACCTGGACTCCATTTATTATTGCTTCATATCACTGACCACCATTGGCTTGGGAGACTACATACCAGGCGATTCCGCCGACCAACCTTACCGTCCTCTATACAAAATCGCTACTACTTGTAAGTATTATCTATTCAATTTTTGTCGCTTTGAAAACTAGCTCAAAATCTAAGTTTTAACCCTTAGAACACATCCACCTGCAAGACTCGAAGTATCACGCTTGCTTAGACAATTATTGTGCTGCAGGAATTGAAAGAGGCTCTTCAGGCATTGTTTATTAAACAACATAAATTGTACTAGACCAAGAGTAAAAGATTTAGAATTTCTATTTGTTAAAGGTTACCTGTTTATGGGCATAACGGTTATGATGCTGACACTGGCGGTGTTCTACGACATACCGCAACTGAACCTGGGGCTGCTGTTCACCGAGAAGGAAGACAGCAACTCGGAGAAGATGCGATTGGCGTCCTCGGTGCCGGAATTGCATTACGGGGCCAGCACGTTATCGGGCGACAGCCAGGAGAACAATCACAGGCAGGTGGTGAGGGTGCGTTCGAGGCGCAACGACAGCCCCAGTCCCGAAGATCCCGGACAGAAGGGGCTTCCTTGAATGTGTCCTCGAGAAATTGACTTGTTAGATAAGTAAAATGCGGTTGGATTAATTCGTAGGAACGTTTTTTTTCTATGCGATTAATGGTTATCGATGGTTATTGATTTTTATGTAGGTTTATTGGGTAAATTTTTGTGTTGTAGTTTTCGGGGGTTGTGCTAACTGTGTTAAATTAATTTAGAGCACAGATTAAATTAATTTATTCGTTACAATAAATTTTATTAACGACCATATTTTATTCACTGTTTTAACGTCCCGTTTTAACAAAATTACTGCTAATTTAATATGCTATTTTGACATATTTAAATTCAATTCAAACTGGATACTGACTCAATAATTTTTTATTAACCAAATTTTTAACAATTTTTAAAAAAACAAAGCCTCGCTTTGTTTAAAAAATGCCTAATTATAACAAGAGAATTTTATCCAAATATTTGATTACCAATTAATTTAAAAATATTTTTTCTTAAATTTGGAAACGGGATGATGAAGATGTAACTACCATTAATCCAATCTTTGGAGTCTATGTATCTTTAGGAATAATGAAAATGAGGAATTAGGTACATGATCATTAATTACCACGGTTACTGTTTAGATTAAATGAATTTTAACAATATTTAAAAAGTATACACCTACCTGTCGCACAGTATGTTGTTTGTTTCTCGAGCATCTAATTTTATTTAAGAAGTATTGTTCATTTTGGCTTCGAAAATGTATGTTTTTATAGCAATTTACAATTAGTTGTTTAGATAATATTTTAGGCCTACTGTGTTTTTTGAATATGTATTGAATACGTAAAGTAGTATGTTCAATTTTTAATACAAAAAACCTAATGAATTTTATTGTTATACTCAATTTGACTCGATGTTAAGTTTTTATAGTTTGGTCACTCTATAATACGCAGTATTTTATAAATACTAAGAAATATGTATATTTTTATAGGTAATTCTTAATTAAATTCGCTTAGCAATGTTACTCTTTTTTACATCAACAACTACATATTATGTATCTTATGATATTAATAAATAGGTACGTAATTCGCAAAATATATTTAGAAGTAATAAATGTTAGAATATAGCCTGAAAATGGAATTCAATTATTTGTGGACCAATAAAAAATATATCAAGTGGCCATAAATGTTTTATTTATCTAATTTTGATAAACGCATTTTTAAATTGGTGTCTATGTAGAATAGTAATGCGTTGTATGACGCTATGTTGCAAAATTTAATTGTATGATTTCTTCTGATATTAAATTTAAAGAGCACATACAAGATTTAGATTTATCAGCATTTTTAAGCAGATGGGACAAGTCATTAATGTTTTATCTTTTTATTTCAACCCGTATAATCCGCCAGATTATTGATATTTTTATTTGCAGTGTGGTTAAAGCAGAAGCAACAATTGTTTTAAACGTACAAATTTGTATTTTAAACAATGGCGTTTGATTACATTCGCAATAAATAATATTGTATGCGAAGGTAACGTAAGTAAATACAATATAATAAAAAATTAAGCATTCAGCAGAAAGTATTCGTCTACTTACATATGTATCTAATAGAAGCATATTATTACGTTTATGTGTCAATGTAGATATAGATATTAGTTGCTTTCATAATTAAAAAATGTTAGTAGTAATAATAGTCAAGAATTCTAGTTCAAACTACGTAAATTGATGTGCAAAAAAATGTGAAATACATATAGCTAAGTAAGGTAAGTATATACATAATATTGTTCTCTTTATATGTATTTTTTTACCTACTTTATTTTATCATATGGTAAAAATAAGAGATAAAGTAGGGGAAAATACAGGGTGCATTGCAGGGGAAGTATACAAAGAGCAGGGCAATTTAATATGCAATGAAATTTAAAATATTTCTCATAATTTCTTCTGATAAGGTGACCTGTTTTTTTGTACCTTCTGTACTATGTATGTACTATTACCCACATATTATTAAGCCTATACAAATAAAATTAAAATAAATAACTTTTTTTTCTAGAAAACTAACCTTGCAATTATGGAGTCCCAATCGAATAACCCTGCCAATGCAATACTAAAGATCGTTATTTTCATGTTCTGTATGCTTTACATTATACAGATTTACTCAGAGTTCTCCATTACCGAACAACAGCCACTAAAATTAGACATCGTGGATATAAACGAATATAAAAATAAAGCATTTAAAAAATCAGGCTCGATGAAAACGTTCGCAAATTTCGCGAAGAAGCAATCCCTTTGCGAGAATTACAATTTCAAGAAAGAACTTAGATCGCCTCGAAATCGAACATGTCCCAAGAGAGGCATCGTTACTGTTCCGCAAGGAGGTCGTTTAGGAAACCAGATATGGGAATACATATCCGTGTGGTTGGTATCCAAAGCGACCGGTTTAGAACCTTTCGTACCCAACTGCATCAAACGGAGATTAGAAAACTTACTGGAGAACATGAACATACCAATTATCGAAGATATTTCACATTGCCCTCTTTCCAAAATCACCAGACTCAAAACCTTGCAAAATTTCTCGTACGAGAAGTTTTCAAACAAATTCGATTTGATACTACCACATTGCGTGGTAACACCGGAATTACTTGGAGCGAAAATTCACTACCTTAGTGAAGTGTTCACTATTAAACGAAGTTTACTGGAGGCTAGTCAAAACATCCTGCGCTTAGGCAACGAGTACTTGAATTACACGGTACGCACGTTTGTAGGTGTGCACGCGAGACGGACCGACTACCTGGCGTACTTGAAGAGAAAATACAAAATTACACCGCGCCCGAAAGAGTTCTTCCACTTGGCCATGGAGTACTTCGAGAGAAAGTACCCCGACGTAGCGTTTATTTTTATTAGCGACGATCCGAATTGGTGCTTGAGAGAGTTCGGCAACAGGGACAACGTGTACGTACCGGGGAAGTACCGGCCGACGTCGCCGGAACTGGACATCGCCATCATGGCCTCCTGCAATCATTCCATCATCGATTATGGAACGTTCGGGCAGTGGGGGGCGCTTTTCTCCGGAGGTGAGACGATATATTATCCGGTTAGCGAGGGGTATTCTTCGGATAGGTTGGGGGTGAATTTGGGTAATTGGAGGACGTTGAAAGGCGCGTTCATTAACGGTAATGGTACAAGGTGATGATTAAAATAATGTCAATGTTCAGGTTGGTATATTGGTAGCATTGGTAGCAGGTTACTATATTGGTAGTTGGTATATTGGTACATTGGTATGGAAAAGCTCAATACAGGGTGTATCACGATGAACTTAGACTATCTATATATTGGAAACTACTTATCCGATTTAAATATAATTTGGTATACATTGTATATTGTAGTTTAAGTTCGTCGTGACATACCCTGTATATCTATTATTATAAGTGATTACTTGTCCTTACCATTACTTACAGACCACTCTGTATACAAACATATATTATAGACTGAGTGTCCCGCTTTGCAGTGGTAGACCAAACTTATATTTTTTTAAATAGAACACCTTGTTTTCTATTCAAAAATTAATTTCAAAAATTTCAAAAATATAATATACGGTGTGGCACATTAGTATGGAAAAGCTCAATATATCTGTTATTGTTGAGGGTATTAAAAAACTTTATTACAAAAGTTGTATGTGCCACCCTGTATATTTGATCAAAAAATAAATAAGAATAAATAAGAAGCTGCTTTGTGTTGCTAAAAACCCTTATTTAATTTTTTTGATAATATTTTTAACTATGTATAAATATTTATAACATTTTTTAGTATTGCAAATTGTAGTTTATTTTTATTTCTTCTTATGTTACTTCATACTAAATTTCAAACACTTTCATAGAAACAATAGTTTGTGAGACATTTCTATAAAATGATTAATTAGATTATTTTCACATTTGCATTTAATTGAGATATTTTAAATAAATAAAAATAAGTAAAAAATAAATAAAAAAATAATTAAAAAAATAAAATAAAATATAAAATAAATATAATACATAATAATATTGCGTTCATTTAATTTAACACGTTTAATGTCACCGCTAATTGGGTACTTTGTCACCCATTTAAATTTTTTTATTTATCAAGATCTAATCAAAACGAGTATGGAATCGCACATGCGTTTTAAAGCCAGCTGTAGCTATTATATCATCAATATAACCTTGATAGTATACTAACAACGAATTAAAAAAAAAATTATGTAAACATTTATGTAGTTAGATCCTGTGTTTCGCGTTGAACACATCAACAATGAACGACGAAAACAGAAATACCGAGTTAGTGAACTGGTTCAAAAAAGCCTTGGGCACCGAGGAATGCACGGTGGAATTACAAGGAATGAAAGAAAAAGGTGATGGTTACTTAGCGGACATAAATTTCGCCAAAATTACTCTGAATGAAACCAATAAAAACTCCCAGGAACTCTACCTGATTGCCAAAGTGAGTAGAACCGCAGTAGACATGCGCTCATTCTCCGAAGATCTTTGCAAAAGGGAAGTAGCCTTTTACGCGGAGATAGTGCCATTGATGTATCAATTCCAAAAAGAAAAATCCATCGAGCGACCATTCAAGGCGCTCCCCAAGTGCTACAAGGCTTTCGAAACGAAAGAAACGGAAGTTATAGTCCAGGACAACATGGTGCAAAAAGGATACCGGTTGCACAATAAGAGAATACCCATGAACATGAATCACATTAAACTAGCTCTTAGAAATTACGCCAAATTCCACGCTATATCTTTAGCCCTGAACGATCAAAGACCGGAAGAGTTTGAGCGAATCGAACGGAATTATACAAATTTGTTTCTGGAGAAAATCAACTTATTCGAAGGGATGTATAAAAGCACCGTGGAAAAGGTAATTGGGAATTTGATCGAAATAGGAAGAAGCGATCTCGCGAAACGGTACGAAAAACTCATGGAGAGAGGCACATGCAACATTCTGATCGACCTGTTCAACGATTTACCCAAAGAAAGGGTCATTACGCACGCGGACTGTCATAATGGAAACCTCCTCTTCAAATATAGGGTAATTTTTGAAATTCTCAGGCTTCTTAAGGTGCGAACTTGCCAAAATAGCGAACAAGAGCGAGTCGGTTTAGAATGCTTGCTCGCTCTTGCTTGTTCAATTTCGCTGTTTTGGTGAGTATACGCGCCTTATTCAGACTTTCTTAGTACCCTTTAAAGGTCGGAAAGAACGATAATAATTTTATCATTTATTTTCAGGACAACGAGGAAAACAACCCAACAGACATGGTGATGCTAGACTTCCAAATTTCCTGCGTATTTTCACCCATGATAGACTTGGCTCTCTTTTTGTATTGCGGCGGTTCCAAAGTTGAATTGGACCAGTTGGAATACATCCTGGAATACTATCACAAGGAGCTTTCATCGTTCCTTTCGGAATTGGGCAGCGACGTCGAGAAACTGTTTCCAGTTTCGGTCATGTGGGAGCACTGGAGAAAATACGCCTTCCACGGTTTCAACGGCGGTACGTGCATTTTGGAATTGTTCTTCGTCGAAACCGATGATGTTCCCAATTTCGATGATACTAGTACTTGGCAGGATGACGGTTCTGGTTCAGGAGACCAGAAGCTCTTTAATATAAAAGTGAAAAACCGAGAGCCGTATTTGGAGAGGTTGAGGGATATTGTGGAACATTATTTGAATTTTAATAAAATACATTAAGCATTTGATGTTTGTTTGAAATTTATATAATTTAAATGTTACCTAAGGTTACATAAATGTTTTATTTTTTGATGTTTACCAGGCTATTCATTTTCATAATAAATCATTTTACTGTACAGATTGATTTATTTTAGTTTGCAATATAGGCTATATGTTCGATAAAGACAACTTTCATTAGACCCTAAAGGAAAGAGAAAGAGTGATATTGTCTCTTTGCTACTTTTCACTCTGACAACTGTTATTTTTGTAGTCTTTCTTTGTTCAACTAATAGAAATAACCATATTGCAAACTGAAACGAAGTAAGGTGTATAGTTACGCGTTTTGAATGCCTCCTACTATAAGACACAATCAAAAACAAACTATTTCTAAAAATTGAGAAGTTTTATTGTTTGTTATAACAGTTTTATTAATTTTTTTAAAGCAGCTTTTACATATTCAGGAAAATTGGTACACGAGTCAGTACGCCACTGTGTAAAAATATTTTTTCACCAAAAAATTCAAAATATTTGACCACCCAGTTTACAGTAAAGCTTCAACATATCTTGTATGTTAAAAAACGTACGTAATTATTTTAAATCGTTTTTATTTTATTGAATATAAATATTGTGCATTTAAGAAAACCGGCAACGTTGCAACTAATCTGGAATTTGGAATTATTAATTTCATTTTCCACTCTATCTTAAACATGCACTCAAGTGCATTCTGTCCTTGTTAAATAATTGTGAAATTAAGAAAACTGGCAACGTTGGAACTAAATTAATCTGAATTCTCAATCTCTCTCTCTTACATTCTGCATTCGGCCCTTGTTAAATATTTGTGTCAAAAACAAACGAAATATGCATCTAATTAAATTAATAGAACTCTTGATGTGCGATCTAATTTACATACAGATTTGCAAGGCACACGGTAACATAGAGAAAGAAAGATGTCTTTTATTTTGTCTATTGCATGGTAATCTATGAGTTGAACAAAGTTTATTAAAATAACTGTTATTAGAGTGAGAAAACTGCAATCATATGTCTTACAAAAAAACTTATCCCACCATCAAAGACGGCCATTGATTGGACGAAACGTTTAAACAATTCGACGGTTAAGTTTAAATTTTCTTTTTCATAGTTGCCTGTTGCATTTTGCGTTTTACATATCGAAGTAGTGTCGTGTTTAAACCATCAAAAGTTAAAACACTTGTGAGTGAGAAGTAAGTTATTGTGTGTAAAGTCCGGTTTAGATGATCATCTAAACCGGACTTATTTATGTAGCAATAATTCATAATTATTAAAGGGTGCTTTTTAATAACCTCTCTTCTTCTATTAGAATAACGATCGCATTCCTCATAAATTAATTCCTTAGGGGTCGACTATACATCCTGTATAAGGTGATTTTTTTAGTAACAGAATATCTACAGGGTGTTCATTAAAAAGACGGCGACATTTTAAAGGGTGATTCCTTGTTAAAAAATATGAATAAAAGTTTCTATAAACATGGGTCCAGAAATGCAGTTTTCAAGATGCAGGATGAATATATCGCCGTTTATAAAAAAAAATACTTTGATTCAGTTTAAATTAGGTAATGTTATTTATTGTATTAGGCGACGCCAATTTAGCCCTAAATAGATTAAAATTATTAAGTCCAGTGCCGTCGTCACAGGGGCCCCTTAGTAAACTTTTATATTTTTGTTTTATTTATTTATCTAAACAACTTCGTATTTCACTTCCTTTTTGGAGAAAAAAAATAAAAACCCTTTTATTGCATATCACTGGACAAAATTGGTTTATCAAATTTTTGCTAAAAATATCACAAGGATGGGACTTAATAATTTTAAACTATTTAAAGTTAAATTAGCCTCTTAATACAACAAAATAACATTGTCAAATTTCAACAAAATCAAGTAAATATTTTTTAGGATATTAATCATTTTTTTTATTCAACATCCTGTATCTTGAAAACCGTGCATTTCCGGACCCATGTTAATACAAAATTTTTTTCATATTAACAAGAAACCACCCTCTAGAATATCTCCGTCTATTTTATGAACATCCTGTATTTTATCATTATTTCAAAGCAGGCTTAGTACATCTCTTTAAAATGTAATAAATTTCTTTGCATTTGCAGCGCCTAAATCGCCGTCATGTTTTATAACCTGGAATTTTTGTCGAAACAAGCCAATCCGCTGCTCCACAGGGCTTGGATAGTAGGTACACGAGGAATATCGGCGGTGACTTCTAAATCTAAACTAACAACATCCGAATTATCAAAATTATGGTCAGTACGAATTTTTCCAATCAACATTCGATAAATTGTATCTAATAACAATTTATTTCGTTGGATTTTCAGCGATGATATATTGTCCTTCATGTCGTCTCAATCAAACGAAGCGAAAGATCGTCCTTCCATTAGATTGTCTAATACGCTACTGTTAGGCACGTTGGACTTGTTCATAGATATGGTTGATGCCGCAAATCGTAAGTTATATTGAGACTTTTTTATTAATTACATGTTCCATAAATATGCTAATGTCCTGGATAAGGATCAACAGATTGTGGGAATCATGTGAACTAAAATAAATAGTATAGTAACGAATTGCCCTGGATTTTCCAATGTTTTAATGGATGTTTTTAGGAGATATGGATGAAGTTTTGAAACGTAAGAAGTCTGTTGTGAAAATAACAGAAATTGGTGAAGGTAAGATTTTATTGCTTTAATTATTGCTTTACTTTTCACCAAATAAAAATGCTTGATCAATCACAATCATCTTCTCCAATGGAGGGGATCCAATTGGAGGGGATTGAAGGGGATTGGATTGGATGATTTTGGGTCGGTTTCGCTTATTAATGTCCAACAATAGTCCCATAGCACACCATTTAGAACTGTCTAGAACCATTCAGAACGCTTCAGAATCATTTAGAACCTTTAGAACTGTCTTGAACCATTTAGAACGCTCCAGAATCATTTAGAAACTTTAGAACTGTCTAGAACCATTTAGAATGCTCCAGATCCATTTAGAACTGCCTAGAACCATTTAGTACAGTCTTAAATCATTTAGAACGCTCTAGAATCATTTAGAACTGTATAGATCAAATCTTTGATAAAAATGATGGATCAATCGCAATACTCTTTTACTAATGATTTTATTTCTAAGGGGAGGAAGCTTCACCTGAGATTACTGCGGTCACTGCAGTCAAGAGGAAACCGAGAAAGGAAAGACCAGAGAAAAAAGCACCTGAACCAGTTAGACCTGTAGAGGAAAATGTTTTGGTTACCGCTGATATTCGAGACCTAGAGGAGAACACGCGTCAAATTACTTTAATAGATGAATTGCCAATACAAAGAATGGTAAAAACAATACTGTTAATTATTATTAAGGGCGCCACTTCAGGGTATTTTTAAATGGGAAAGCATAGGTTCAGTAATTCCAGTAAGATTCAAATTTGGCTTCACCAATTGATTTTCAATCTTCTATTTTTAATCTCTCCTACTTCATTATATAGAGTGTTAATTAATTGAGTGCCAATACTTCGGGATGTGAACTTTTGGTATTTTTTTGTTCGTTAGGAAATGGATGAACAGCTTGGATTAGAACCCATTCCAGACGTAACAAGAATGGAAGTAGAACCAGACGAAGCATTTCACGTGGCAAGAGACACCACCCAAAGGTTTGTTCATCCAACGTTAATCATTCCTAAATTCCTGTTATCCTCAAAATTGTCATTATTTTTAGTCGAACTGCTCGTTCTTCTCCTGAAGTTTCATCTGCTATTATCCAAGTTCATGCCGATGTTCATGCGACAGAACTCGGTAAGTCAAAACTTCATTCTAATGACGGTTTTCCATTAAACAAACAAAACAGAAACTCATGTCGAAGAAAACGAAACTAAAAATTTTCGCAAACTTTTTAAAGTCTGTTTTTGACAGATGGAGTTTTGTTTTTCGAGTACCGTTCAAAAGCCGTAATACCAAAAGGTTTCGGGAGTTTCAGGAATATCAGTGATATTTTTATGAAATTTTGTACACTTTTTAAATATTAAGGAGGTTTTTTTTGAGGTAAAAGATTTTTTTTAAATTTTTACCAATGACGTCCGTGCGGGTTTGAACTGAATATGTTTGAAGAAAAAATGGTACGCCACTGCTTTTTCTAAAAACCAAAATAGTTTTTAAAATCCTCTCTTATTTTGGAGCAAATTGTGTCCAAAGTTATTAATTAACGCCCTGTAAACAATTAGTGGAAAAAGACCAAAGCAACAAGAAAAGAAGAACAAAACCTAGTCGACTTTGTGGAAACAGCAGTTTTAGGTTTGTTTGGGTATTGTTTTTGTTCTCCAGGTTCTCCAAAACTCCAAATTTTTGTTCTCCAAACCAAAACACAAACTTTACTGTCTGCCTAATGGAATACCGTCTTAAAAGCGTTTCTATTTAGTAGAATTAAATATAGGGCGGCTCATTGAAAAGGAAACAGAAGTTTTTTCGGGTAGAAAAAATTGATTTTTGGAAAATCGCTCAGACACGATGGGTTGTATAATACTTCATTAGAAAGATTATTTTTTCTGAAAATAACAAAAGAAAAATGATTAAAATCCGTCGAATCGCTTTTTTGAAATATGTACTTCCAAAAATCAATTTTTTTACCCGAAAACACCTTTGTTTCTTTTTTAATGGGACACCCTGTATAATAAAATGTATAGAAGAGAGACGAGGTATACAAGATATACCGATGGAAGTAGAGGAAATTCCTCCGGTACCAGAAGTGCCCGCTAGAAAAACCTCGCGTGAACATTCAAAAGAAATTCAACCTCTTCCTATTGAAGTCCATGCAACTGTAGAACCTCAAACTGCGAAACGGCCACAAAACAAAAGGGAGAAGAGGCGTTTGCTTCATAAACAAGTAAATAATTATAATTAACAATTGGAACTAGTTTAAAAGGGTTTGTCCAAAGTGCTTAGGATAATGGGATAATGGGTATTTTTGGGGAACAAGAAAATTTCATATTTAAGCGATGCTTGAAAAAACTACAAATTAAAAATACTGAACATTAAATTTTTATTTTTTATATGATTTTGGGTCGGATTCGTGTATAAATTTTTGACAACAGGCTCATAGCACACCATTTAGAATGCTCCAGAACCAATCGGAACTATCTAGAACCGTTTAGAACCCTCCAGAATCATTTAGAACTGTCTAGAACCATTTAGAACGCTCTAGAATCGTTTAGAACTGTCTGGAACCATTTAGAATGCTCCAGACACATTTAGATCTGTCTAGAAACACATAGAACTGCCCAGAGCCATTTTTAGGCATTTTTAACCAATACATACAGGTTGTTCCATTTTTGATCGCAACATAGGTTATATAGGCCCTGGGTGCGATAAAGACAACTTCCATTAGACACTTACAAAGGAAAAGGAAAGAGTGACATTTGTGTCATTGCAACTTTTCACAACTGTTATTTTATTAATCTTTCTTTGTTCCACTCATAGAAATGACCATGTTGCAATCGGACATGGAGCAAACGATATGTATATGTAGGATAAATACTTATGTTGTATACATTTACAAAATTTGATTTTTTTAGAATTTTTTGAAAATTGTGGATAGTCACCGTAGAAAATTGGCATCTTCTATAAATGCAGCAGTAAGTATAATATGCATCGTGACCTGCCAAAATAACCCAAGACAAAATAGCGCAAACACAAAATATCCCAAAATTATAATAAAAGAGTTATTTTTTATTTTAACACCCTATAGCTCGAAAACTAAGGGGTTTAGGACATATATCGATATAAACTTTTCTTCTTAAAATCCCCCAAATATTTATATCCGGAAGTAACGACACTCAACTGTGACACTCAAAGACACTCTACTGTGCTGTCTTTTCTCCTACATAAGCTATTTTGTTTTTGGTCTATTTTGATGAGGTACCATAAATCATACAGTGTAATTGATAAGGAAACTATTTTTTGTCTAATGAATAATTTGGTGTGGTCAATTTCATGAAACTTTTGATTGTCAGTGAAACGTATCAAAAATACAATGTAAATTTAACAATTATTGATCCATCACTTTCAAATCAAGAGTATAGAAGAACCTCAATGCAAGTAATAATATAATTAAACTTTTTTAATTTAATATTCACAATAAAATTTTCTAATAAGTTTGAGGAGCCGTTAGAAGAGCCTCTGGAGGTCGGCCATATTACTATTAGGTGAGTTCTTATTTAATACAAACTATTCCATAGGTAAAGAGAAATATTTGTTATTTGACAAGAGTGCTAAATTACAAACACTGGATGTGCCTAAAAGGTCCTTTATCAACGTGATAACTATATACAGAATGTACCTTCTGATAAAAAAGTACCCGGAAATTCTTTTTTAAATTACATGTACGTTAACTATTTCAAGTTTCTGTATGTAGGTAACGTTGTTCTTAATTATTCATGTGAAGTACAATCGACCAGCCGCCTAACCCACCAGATATAGCCTCGTGTGACATTTTTTATTTCCCAAACTCAAATTACCACTTCGAGGATGCCGTTTTTACTCCATAAATGCCATCAATTCCAATTTTCCGGATACTTCCTTGTCACTGTGTATAAGCAGTCTAAATCGCTCATAAATGGCGAAGTACTCATATTCTGTTGGTCTAAACAACAATTTAGGAACAAATACAAGGTTTCCCTTAAAAGAAACGACGCAGAGTGTATGAGGGTTTGGGAGCCTAAAATATTTTGTTTAAACTTAAAATAACAAAATTTGGTATACCTACATTATGAGTAGTAAGAGAATTAATCGATAGTTAGGAATGATCAATTGATGTATTTTAAAGAGTTCATCAGGGATTAAAAAATTAGTTCATTTGATATGACAACCTTAAAATGTGACAGAATTTTAGTACATAATTGATGTTTTAAAAAATTATTAATTTTTTATAATTTTTTTCTTTTTGTTTTTCAAAATTCTTTTTCGTTTTGATGAAAAACGCTAATATCGGTATAAAATCATGTACACTATCAATGTTACTTGAAATCGTCGTTAATATTTAAAAGTTGGCTGTGTTAAGTTAAAGTTGGATTAAACAACATATTTATTTTAGGTGTCCCTACATGCCCCTGCTCTGTATCGGTTATTATGCGGGACGCTCTGTATATACATATATATCCTAAATTAAAATATTGCTCTTTACCTATTAAAACGTTCTTTATAATTGTATTACTAATGCCCATTAATACGCTAATACATTAATTTCTTGTAGGGATATACTGATTGAGAAAGGGTTTTTACCACACGTTACCGAGTTGGGTACTGAGGAACCAGGTCCTATAAGGTAATTGATTCAAAGGATTGAAGAGTAATGAAATATTTGACAATAAAAATTGTTTGTTCATTTATAGAAATTAATAAATGTTGTAGCCCATTATAAAGCACACCACTCAAAATTAGTACAATTACCAATTTTTTTAATTTACATATTATTTTTATTTTTATAATTTATTATTCTTTCATTATATCTACCTTTGCTACACTTATTTATTTACTTTTTATTATTTTTAATTTGTTTTATTTTCAGAGCTGGTTCAGTTCGGTCAACCGCGAGTCCGTAAGTTTCCTGAATTTTTACATTATTAGATTTTAATAAATTTGTTAAATAAGTAGTATTTCTGAAAACGTATTTAGATACTACATGAGGCGTTTTAGATGATATAATACATATATAATTTCAGAATTATAAATACAGGGTGGTTTATTGACATTGCAGAAGATATAAAAAAACTTAAGTACGAAAGTTGTAGATCTTTTTAAGCTGCATATTTTAAAATTAGTTACGTTTATACAGAGTGTCCCGTTTTTTCGTGGTAGAACTTTTTTAAAGTTTGGATAGGTATGTGAAAATTCATTTTGTATTGTAATTTTTAAAAATTGTAGGTTTTTACAAATTTACGATTATTAAAAAAAGAAAGCTTAATATTTTTTAGAAGTATTAACTGAAATTGGTGAATATGACGTTAACAGATTGATAAGAACTTACCTCTCTGTTAGCGATTTAACCAGCATTGGTGAATATGGCTGTAAATGGCCTACTTTTAAATGGGATACCCTGTATATTAACAAAGACCAGTGTTTTGTTGACTTTTCATAAGTACCTCTACTTATAGCTTAGGCACATATATCTTATTAGAAGTCAGTAAAACAGTGGCCTTTTACATTACGTACTCTGGTTCCTGTCATTCCAATTTTTCCATATTGAAAACTGAAATCCACCATACGGTATGAATTTCCAATAACTATATTTAATTTATGATTATAGGTCGGCATTAGTTATGCCATTGGGAACTTCTTTCGGAAGAGAGACAACACCGTAAGTTACATATGATTTTTATATAACTTTATTGGTTCCACTTTTTCCATGTTTTCTCACTTTTGTCATGTTTTCACAATTGTTTTTTATTATTTCCATTTTTTCAGTGCTTTTCCACTTTTTTCATGTTTTCTAACTTTTTCCACGTTTTTTTCACTTTTTGCCATGTTCTTCCACTTTTTCCATGTTTTTTCAATTTTTTACGTTTTTCATTTGTTTTGTAATTTTTTGCCATGTTTTTCACTTTTTGCCATATTTATTCATTATACAATTAAATTATCTCAAAAAAATTGCATTTTGTAATGTACCTGCATCTATTTTTTGAGCTTTAACTAACCAAAAATTTTTCAGACGACCTTCTAGTTTGAGGGAAAGCACTATGGTCGAAAGAGGGTAAGTTCGAACTTTATTTCAAGTATTTAACAACACCCTCTATTATCTATTTTTTTAGGCAAATTTCTGGTTTGCATGAAAGCATTCCGCCTGAAATACCGTAAGTTTCTTCTTCGGAAGAATTTATTCTTTTATTGACCATTTTATTTTATTTCAGATCAGAATTGCGAGTTAGTGAAATAGAAGAGCCTTTAATGGAACCGTAAGTATAAACAATTTAATAAAATATTTCTTTCGATTTTAAGTTAGTAACTAATTATAATCTTTACATTACTTTAGTTTAGTTTTAACGCCTCCAGAGGAAGTTCAAAGAAGAGTTGAAGAATCGTAAGTTTAGTAGTTTTTACGTGTTTATAAAATAAACATTTAAAAATTTCGTTTTAGTTGGCTATCTCCACATATGGAACATGCAGAAATACCTGTAACTGAAGCTCCGCAGTAAGATTCTTATAAATAATTAAACAAAAAAATACTTTACGAAATATGACTGTATTATAATATGTCCAGTAATAGTAATAGTAATGTTGCTGTTCTCTACTTCATAATTGGATGGGTGATTGGAAAAAGGATAAAATTCCAGTGAATCTTAATTTTGGGAAATCAAAAAATACTTTTACGGCGAAATCGGATAAGTAGTTTCCAATATACAGATAGCTTTTTTAAAACTTTAGGTTTTTTTAAACAAATAATAACTAATTGTTTTTAAATCATAGGTTAGAACCAGAACATCTACTAAGCGATCGAGAAAGGTACATTTTTTTACTACTTATTGCTTTGAAACCTCTTATGCGATATTCATCGAATATATTTAAAAAAAAATAAAATAAAATATCTACTGATTTTTATTTCAGAATGATCCGTCAACTTCAAGGAAACTCTTCTAAAATTCGGTAAATATTCTCTTTTATAATCTGCTTATCTACATTCATGGTACACACAAAATGTTCCTGGAACGATTGATGGTCGTTTTTAATATTCATAATAAAACCTTTCGATTTGTATAAACGAAACGATTTTGTTTATAATAGGCGATTGCAAAAAATCCTAAGCAAAGTGTCATCGTGGAATTTCGAAAAGAAATTGACCATTGAAGATTTCGTCGATCAGCCTTTAAGTAGATTCGTCATTGCACCAGTATTTTTGGACTTATTAGGTAAGATACCCACTGTTTAGTTTTTTTATGTTCTCCAAGGTTTTCTTATAAATTGATGGTAGGATTATGCATACGGGTAAATGCAAATGTATAGTCAATTAAATGAGATTTATTTTTTAGAGCTGTATGCATTGGGTTACGTCAAATTGCATACCGAGGAAAATTCGAATGAATTAGAACATGTAACCAAAGGGCTTAAATTTGACCAGTCCTTCGAATTGCAATAATTATTTTTAATTTTTAACGGGTCCCTGTTAAAATTTTAATACGTAGTTTTAAGTGTTTGTTCTTTTAATGTTTTCATTTCTGTTTTTTGATGTTCTTAGTGTTTTTCGTGTTCTCTCACTGATATATAATTTGAAAATTATAAAAAAATATTGGTTTTGATAGAAGTCATTTTGTGTGATAATTTCATTGCATTTCTTTGACTCGATTTTCCGATTACTGGAGAAAATAAAAGATACTTTTATTTGTAATTGATTTATTAATGACATGATAAATAAAACCAATTAAAATTAATCAACATAGTATGCACAATCTCAAGTAACAACCGCTTTCTTAAATCATCTCAATGGTGTTAAATTGGTGCATTATGGTAGTGAAAGTATTGACTGAGTAGTGCACATATATGCATCCATTAGGAGAAATGTGATTAGAAAAAAACAGCCCGATCAAGGATCAAGTTGCTTGTTATATTGCAAGTAGTTACATATTAGCACAATATTCCCATTAATTTATCCACGACTTGATGATTTCGATCATTTTTCTCCTAGCATATATAATGTAATTATTGTCAGCAATATCAGGGTTTCTGAAATCAATGCGATGAATACCATCCATTATTTGCATCGATGAAATCGATTCCGATACATTATCAACAATTCCGTAGCATCTGTATGGATCCATTTCGGCTTGACTGAAGACGAGGTTTGTGAAATATTTCAAATTTTTACCACCGTACGCCAACGACGTCCAATCCCTATAGGAGGTAGTAACTCCGAAAATGGCTTTACACTCTCTGCTGTAGTTTTGGAAATTCCACGGTTTGTTGATGAACATGTCTGATTCGATAGAACATTTAGGCATTACGAGTTCTGTGCACAATTGATATTTGTGCACGTAATCGGTCACATCTTCGAATTCGTTACACATTTTGTTCCTCGAATAGTTCGTGTAAATTTCCAAAGCTTGACCGTAGTATTCGATCAAACCTTTGGTATCGTTGATGTAAGAAGTCGTCAGCTTGTCGCAAAATACTTTGATCGGGTAAGCCGGCAACGGTGTAAAAAAATCTGTCGGGTAATGGTAGTTTCTCAACGTTAATTTAACGTAAATATTCGATAACCAGACTAACAATTTATTGACTTCCTCGGCAGTTCTTAAAGGGCGACAGAGTTTCCAAGTGTTCGAAATGAAATCCAGACCTGTAAGTACAATGTGGTTAAGTAATAATGTCAGTATACAGGGGGTCTCCCGCATAAGAACCGAAGCAGAGCGTGGGCGTGTAGGGAAGCCTAAAATACAGGGTGGTCCAGAAATCGCGCCCCACAGAGAAAGGAATTTTGGAAGCGACAATGGAAATGCCAAAACTGCAGCCGAAGATACGAAAAAGTTTTTCCTTTGGTAAATAAAAAGGTTTAAAGTCGACCAATCCCAGTAATAGTTTAAATCCTCGAAAATAACGTGAATGAGCATTACCAATTTGATATTATTGAAAGATTCTGTGTCCTTTTCACTTTCAAGGTTTGTTAGGATTTGTCAAACGAGAAAAACTGCCAGCATGATTGATACAGTCAAAGGTAATTAGGATAAATTCGAGCAGCTTCTCTCGCGTTTCATCCACATTCGCACACGTTCCCGCTCTGTATCTGTTCTTATGCGGACCACTCAGTAAATTTCTAACAGTATACCTAATTTGCTTCGAGTTAAATTGATGATAACGTCCCAACCCAACTTGATGGTTTTCACGCATTGTTCTCCGCCGTATTTCTCAAACGCCCTGGTGACTACTTCGTAGAAGCATTCGCAATTTTCGATATCCGATGAGAAGTGCATCGGAGCCGAAGAGGAAATGGCGCCGAGTACCAAATGCGGGTACTTGATGCGCAACCAAGCGGCCAAGGTTCCGCCGTAACCATCTCCGAAAGCAATGATCGGTGCGGTATCAAAGGCGTAGATACTTTTGAAGAAATCGATTTTCAACATGTTGATAACGTACGCGAAATCAGCCAAAGTTTCTGTTGAAGTTAAATACCTACAACAGATTACAGTAGTTTGCAATGTTGTAGTACTTAAGTACTTAAAAATAATGGGAGTGATGTATTTTTGGTTAATGAACAAAAATTTGTTGTATGTAATTAAAAATATAGCACATCACATAACCGATATACACTCGATAAAATAGTTTGCTTTACAGCAATTTAAGACCTATGCAATGCATGAAAAGAAACTACAAATTAGAAATGATGAGCATTAAATTTTTGTTTTTTGTACGATTTTTGATCGGTTTCGCGTTTGAAAGTCCAACAACAGTCTCCTAGCACACTATTTAGAACTGCCAAGAACCATTTAGAACTATCAAGAACGATTTAGAACGCTCCAGAACTAATTACGATTGTGTAGAACCATATAGAAGGCACCTGAATCAATCAAGAACTCTTTAAAACTAGACCTGCGTTTTTTGACGGCTTATTTGGAATAAGCACGCCAAAATGTGTTAAAAAAAGTTGATTTTATGATTGATTTTTAAAATTTCTAAACTATAAGTGTTATTAATTCTTTTGACATTCTTATTAGGAAGGAGTGAGTGATGAGGTTATTTTTTACATACTGAAAATTTACCTTACCTAATATTATCTGTGGTAATGGATTCGTTGAGAAAGGGAATGGATTTTCCGTAATATCTGTGCTCGACAAAAACCAGCGCAGCTTGGAAGATTTTAGCAATGTCGAACAAAAAACCGCTATTTTGAGCGAATACGTTAATATCGCCCGCACTGCCGAGGTAAATGAAGAGAGGCCCTTCGTTTGTATAGTGCTTGACGTTGATCAAATATCTCAGTTTGAAGGTATTTATGGTCGTGTGCCATTCGTTATGGGTTAATGGTACATCAATATACCTGTAGGGAATTCAATATATATTTATTAACAAATTAAATAAATTAATAATTTACATACCTAGTTTCCACGTCGAAAAATTCTTCGGAAGATACCGACTGTAACACAAAATCTAATGAGCAGTAAACAACAGTTGTGTAGAAAATAAACCGCAACATTATTATAACTTGCGCGATTTTCTCAAAACAACTGTCTTCTAGCTGCATGGGTGTCGGTTCTTTTGTAAGTCCCAGTTTGCGAAAAAAAAAATTGTTTACAATATACTTGGGATTTTTCGAAATCTTTATTCTAAAAAATCGTTCAGTAAGATATCTTAAAATTTCCTGTAATTACGGTTTTTTGTAGTAATCAGAATAGCTCATCGGTTTCTTTTGGTACATTTTGATCATATTACTATTGATTCATGCATTGATAGGGGTATTAATCAGTAAAATTTTAGAATTTTTACAAGTATAACTAACAACTATGCAGATTTGAATGTACGAGAATTAAACGTTAAAATAATGTGAAAAATACATTTTAAATTGCCCGACAATCGTATGATGGTCTTATTTTAGGAATCATAAATGATCTAGATCTAGATCTTAACATCTTAACATCTTAACATTAATTTAAACATTATATTTAAAAATTCGGGGTTTAGTTAATGATTACTCTCCGCGAGCTAGCATGTCGCGATATTCAAATATTTATTTGTTAAAAATTACAAAGTTTTAAAGATAAAAAGAAAGATTTTTTGATATAGGGCCAGAATGGCAACTTTTTTCTTAAGAAGTTGTACAGAATATCTTTGTTTAGTGACAAATTCAGTATTGTGTATTTTTTTTAATTATCAATGCGTCTCAGATGTATCGGGGGCGGTCCAACCTCCTTAAAGTCTCAATTCTGTCGCCCATTTACCTAATTTTTAAATCGAAACTAGATTTTTAGGCTTATTTATAATAATTTTATACTCTATAATTTTCTATAAACCATATCTTTGGCATTTATACAATTTTTAATCTCAAAAGTTTGGAACATTTTTAGCCCATTATCAATAATAAAATTAATTTCATAACACCTTTTTCAGATATTATTTGAACAAAATTCTCTTTATGAGTCATTATACTGGTAGAAAATGTTAAGTAAAAAAATATATTTCAGTATAATTAATTATAATTTTTTATAATTAATACTGTTAAATATGGCATTCCTTATGATTAGTAAAAAGATTTTTAATAAAAGTAACTTAAATCTTTAAAGAAGTATTTTGGACACTCGGAGAGTAAAAATTCGAGTTGTCTTTTGAGAATTGCTCTACGCAAAACTCAAATGGACAGATAGCATAAGAGCTCTTACTGTCCTTCGAATGAGGTTGAAGGTAGGTGCAATTGATAACTCAAATCTGATGCATTTGAGAACTCAATGAGTGCAAGTCAATTATGTTTTAATTATTAAAAAATGGGCCGATCCCGGCGGTACTGCAATGCCAGGCCAACCCGCGACGGGAGTGGAGCAAGCCCCTAACCTCCCATCAATTTCCAAAAATCAGTTTAATATACTGGCTCCGCATGCGGAGCGTATCAGATATTAAGCTGATAAGAACAGATACTACACTTTGATCTTAGCCAGAGGCCGAGAAGCGATACCCTTTCAACATCGCTCACAGTATAAGAGAATTTTAGCTGCGACCCCATCGACGAGCACCAATCGAAACGTTAGTGCGCCATCTGTGGACCGTTTTGCTAAGGTTTCTGGTATATGTGTATAACTGGTTGCCTATCTGTTGAGGAAGAAGGTGCACAATAATAATTACAGGTATTCAATTTATGAATAATAAATAGCTGTTTTAAATGAAACATTTTTCTTAATAAAATTTGAGGCATTGCAAGCATTAAATAAATAGCATGAAAAATCCAAATAAAATTATTCTTTTGAACAATTTATTTTACATTTTATTGTACTTCCCAAATGCGCGGGAATAGGGATTTCACTAACTCTAACTTCGATTTCAATCAATTTAAAATGCAGAACTGGCCGGCCCGAACAAACATATTTCGGCGTTGTATCGAAGGAGGTGCAACGTGTATGAGTACCGCAATCGTACCGGCCGTACTTCTCTTCTGCGGTCGAAGAGTTATTCAACCTTGGCTCGAGTAGAAATCACAAAGAGTCATTTAGAAAGTTGTTGTCTTGCGAACGTGTAACAAATGTTGATCTACATAGCGAACGTTTAGTGCGATCGAAAATAAATCACGAAAATGAAAACATCGGTATTAAGATGAATATTGCGCCGTTCCTAACGTTGTTTATTGTTACTGGTAAGTGCATAAGGCGATTTGTTATTTTGCATGAATAATATCCAAAATCGATCAATGATTCATATGGATTTGAATATTCATTCGGTAGTAAATTAATTTCTTCATCTGTTGGATATATGTTCACAAATTAGAAGCCATTTATTTTGTTGTTAACTAATTCTAAGAGAAATTTAATGTTTTTCACTTATTTTTTTAAATGTTATTTTAATAATAGTTTTGGGCCAAGAAGATGAGGATGGTCCGTACCGTGGAAAATTTCTCGGAAAATTAAACTCCTACCATCATCAGGTCGCTGGGGATGTTTACGCAGTAAACGATTGGACTTTACTGTTGACATCGTTCAGTTACGATGGAAATGGAGCTGATACGTTCTTCTGGGCGGGCGCCGCCAATAGACCAGGACCTCAAGGATTCATAGTACCAGATTCTAACGGGAAGTACGTATGAAAAATCCATATAAATCACAATTTTTGAGGCAAACACAATCTCCCCTTATACCATCCTCTACTGGCAAGTTATCCATACATTCTTTTATTTCAGGACAAACGTACTCGAACGATATTTCAACAAAGACTTCACCCTAGTGTTGCCGGACAAGAAGAAAATAACGGACATCAAATGGTTCGCCATCTACGACATTTGGAGCCAGAACACCTTCGGGGACATTTCCATCCCCGAAGGCTTCGAACCGCCGACGGTTCAGAAAGTCTCCCCGCTGGTGGGAAAAGTGCACGGCATCACGACCGAGTCCGTTGAAATTTTGGACGCCAAACGGATCAGACTGAATCAGTTTTCGTACGATGGAAAAGCCAAGGAAGCTTTCTTTTGGGTGGGAGTGGGCGCTCAGCCCGTTTCCAAAGGATTCGTCGTCCCGGACGAATACGGATAGTAAGGGCCTTTTCACACTACTGCAATATATTTTGTTATTACTTTCTTCGTGCAATTTTGTATTCGTAACTTATGATTTTATATTACAGTTTGGATCCATTGAGGGCTTACAAGAACATGACAATCACATTGGAAATTCCAGGAGATAAGACCGTATTCGATATAGACTGGTTCAGTATATTCGATCACGACACCAAGCAAAGCTTCGCATCCATTATTATACCAGAAGCCCTCAACGTTCCACCATCGCTCATAAAAATAATAGTAATTAAATTTATCTCACTGCTGTAGAACGGTTTTGATGAAAAAAATTACGTTTTTAGCCACACAAAAACGACTTTGCGAATTGCCTGCAGCTCCACAAGAACCTCCAAGTCTCCTGGAACGTCTTCGGGCCTTCTATATTAATCCAATTGGCTGGGCAAGTGGGCGAAGACGAGTACATGTCCTTCGGCATATCAGGCGCGAGCGATAAGAGCCAAATGATAGGGGGAGACGTAGCAGTGGCGTACATGGAGGGATTTAGAGGCATCGCTACAGATTATAATATTACAGCTCTAACACCTGTAAGTTTTATAACCACAGTAGCGCAAAATTCCATCAAATATTAATCATTCATTGAATGGAATGGCTTGATTTTTAAAGTGTTGAGGCTAGCCAAATGATTAGTTAAAGGCTCATCATTTAGAAAGTTAATCTTGAATATTTCCGGTAGTTTACCTAACTACATAATGCTCTTTCTTTGTTACTAATCGCTTAATAATTATTTACTTTTAGTGCGTTAAAGTTTTGGGACAGTACAAAGGGGTGTGTAGAGACGATGTACTGGGAGGTCAGGATAATAACCAAATTAATAATGGCATAAGAGAGAATGGAATAAATATCATTTCGTACAGAAGGGCCCTTATTTCTCGTAAGTTTTCAGTTTGCGCAACTCTAGTAGTACCCTTCTAATATTATAATACGATTTATCAGCTGACGCAGGCGATAAGGAATACCCAACAGATAGTCCCATGTACGCCATTTGGGGAATAGGCAAATTAGACGAAAGGAAAGAGCCCGCTTTCCACGACTTATATACCAAGACTGATATTAAAATTGAACTAACGCCAAAAGAACCTCAGAACAACTGCTTCTCCTTCACCAGAACCAAACCGGAACCTAGGGAAGCGTGGAAGAAGGGGCAAATATTCGATAAGACCATTAGAGTTTTCAATTCTTACATAGGACCTTCGGGCGGTAAAAGAGGATATCAAGCCATTACGGGTAAGTAAAGTACTAAAAATAGTTTCAAAATTAAGTGTATAAAGCAACATTTTCCACTTCATTCAGTTTTTTTATAATCAAATGGTTTTGTAACCAACGATTATATATTTCCAAATTTTGGCCAAAATTTTCTAATCATGGCAACGTTGCTTATTTGAATCTTAAGCAAAATGAAAGTGACGCTATTTTTTTGTCACTCTTCTTCCCAATAAGGCTTCTTCGGCTATAATATTCTAAATAGATTGATCCAATAGATCTAAAACGTTCTAAATGGTTGTAGACAGTTCTAAGTGATTCTGGAGCGTTCTAAAATTGTTCTGGACAGTTCGAAATGGTTCTGGAGCGTTCTAAACAGTTAAGAGTGATTATGGAACGTTCTAAATGAGCCATGATAGTTCTAAATGATGATGATGGAGCGTTCTAAATGAGTCTGATGGAGAGTTCTAAATGGTTCTAGAGCGTTCTAAAATTGTTCTAGACAGTTCGAAATGATTCTGAGGCGTTCTAAACAGTTATTATTGATTATGGAGCATTCTAAATGAGTCTGGATAATTCTAAATGATGATGGAGCGTTCTAAACGAATCTAGAGAGACCTAAATGATCATGGAACATTCTAATAAATTGTTAGGTATAGACTTTTCTAAATGATTCTGAAGCGTTCTAATTGAGTCTGGGCCGTTCGTAATTCTTCTAGTCAGTTCTAAATGATTCTGGAGCGTTCTAAATGGCAGAAGAACGACAAATAGCTAACCTCACTTTCATCTTGTTTACGATTCAAATAAGCAACGTTGCCATGATTATAATTCGGAAATATATAATCGTTTGTTACAAAACCATTTGATTATCATAATCAAATTCTTTTTTTACAGGACGCCCATCCACAGCCCTAGCATGGTACATAAACGGTCTGCTAGCCCCCGAAATATGGCTCAGAAGAGGCCTCTCCTACGCATTTAAAGTGTACGGCGGCAACAACCCTCACAGCGCCGAATATTACCACCCCTTCATTATCACTGACGAACCCCACGGTGGGTTTGACGGCCTTTCGGACGAGGCCCAATCGAAAATAAGGGTCTTGGTGGGTGTGGAGTATTCGAGAAGAGGAAGGCCCAGACCTACAACATGTAAGCAGATTCTTTAACTATCACTTTTTGTTTGGTTTGTTAAGGATTTTTCATGAATCTAATTCGTAGTCTAATTCTAATTCTTCGTTTTTTCGTATCTCGACGTTCCATCATACGATTATTCATCATGGACATTTCATCACGGCGACGATTCATCACAGCGACCACTCATCACACCTATTAAAAAAAATAAGTAAAATAAAACAAGATTTTTGGGGACAAAAATATCTCATTTTTTGGATTCTTTTTCAAACATTTTAATTCAAATAACTATTTCATCACACATTTATTTACACATGGATGACATTGACATAGAGTGAAGAAAAAAGTGAAGAGTCGATTGAAATATGCATTTTCAGGTTTTTAGTATAGCTGTAGCTTTGTTAGATTGCTCAACGCAGCTAAAATATTATCAACATTTTGCCACTTAGGCCTAAAGTTAATATTTACTTCCGGAATATAGCTGGAAATGGCAAAAAAAAGAAAATATTTTATTTACTGCTTTGGGCATCCTGACAAAGCTACAGCTATACTGAAAACATGAAAGTATTTCAAGCGAGAATTCACTTGCTTTTACACTCTATATCAACCATGTAGAAAGAAATGTGTGATGAAATGATTATTAAAATTAAAATGTTTAAAAAAGAATCCAAAAAACGACTAAAAACTAATTTCTAAAGTCTTGTTTAGAATTTTACAATTTAAGTAGGTGTGATGAATAGCCGCCGTGATGAATTGTCGCCGGGATGAATAGTCGTGTGATGCAACGTCGAGGAATCGAGTTTTTCAATTGGTTTTTTCAGCTGGACCTCTGTGCTTGTCCGAGCACAGGCCGACTCAGGACAGACGGCTGGACGATGATTTCGAGACGTTCAAAAAGTTCAACCGTTCGTTGATTTACCACTGCGAAAAAGGCGAGCCCGGAGTCCTGGAATTCACACCGAACACGTCCTGGCCCGATACGGTTTACTACAATTCGTTCACGCAGGCGAACATGGGCTGGAAAATCCATATAGTCGACAGTTTCAATCAGAGAATTAGTTCCGCCGGTGGACATTTGCTTATAAGTGAATTGTTGATAATGTCGTGCGTTTGTTTGTTAATGAGCAATTTGTAAAAGCTTGTTTATTTAAAGAGAAGGAGATGCGAGAAAAGTATTTTGGCGAAAAATATGTAAATTAATTTGCACGATTTATTTTAGGTACCTAGAAAACGCTCCAATAGCGTTAGAATAAATTGCTGCAATATTGCATTGCAGTTTTTATACAAGCGTTAATAAAATTTATCGTATCGCATACTTGTGAAAACTACTCATTTGAACGCTTGTATTTCAACTGCAATATATTGCACCGTGTCAAAACGCTCTAATACTCTCGAACAAATTTGTAATTGTTGATTAAATGAAGCTATTTATTTTATTTCCTGTTTTTATGACTACTTTTACTTATTGGAATGGATAAGACGGTGTAAAAATAAAACATCCCGATCCGTTTCTCGTTTTTGCAATAACATAACTACAATAATACCACAAGAAAAAATAAATTAACACACTTTGGAATTAAGTTTAGTGAGAAATATCAACTTTCTTAGACTCTCAAATAAATAACAAACTCTATGGTTGGTGGAGTTTAACAAACTGCTCAAGCGTCTTCGGTATCTGATTTGCGTAGGGAATTTTGTATTTACAAATCACCGTTGCGCACATGCATTTCAGCGTCAAATAATTTAGAACGAACAAATCCGACTGTTGGTGCTTCATAATCTCGTCGAGCGGTACCAAGCCTGAGGGATTCGGTTGATCTATGTGGGCACCATATTCCAATAGTAATTTCACCAACTGAAATTAAACCTCGATTAAATACAATTCGCTAAATATACAAGGTGTCTCGGAAAGATAGACCAGATAGATCATTGAAATAAGAGAAAAAGTTCATATAAAGTTTTTCCCTACAAGGCCCTCCCTGCGGAGATATGAAACCTTTTTAGAGTCCTTGAAACCTATTTAGCTTTTTTAATTTACCAGGGTCGGGCTTTAGTTTACACCTTAAAGCCTAAATTTTTAACACTATGTATGATAAAGACTTAAAAAACATAAACTTGGATAGCTTGAACCTTAAACTAAAAAAAGGTGCTCTTCTCAATTGTTAAAACAACGATTTTTTTTCTAATTAACTCCATCTCGGGACACACACTGTATGCATAATAGCAATTTTGGGGCAATTTATAAAGGTTTCAATGAGAAAGTTTTAATACTAACAAAACGTGCACTCACCCAATCCGAATAATTATTATAAGGTACCATACTGGTGTGCAAAGGAGTGAAACCTAGTTCATTTTTGACGTTAACTGGTGCTCCACATTCCAGTAGACATTTTATGACGTTTTCCCGTGGAAATATCATCTAAAACATATAAATCATTATATTAATGAAATTTTAAATTACTCGTGTCTCCAGAAGGTAAGTTCAGTTTGGTCATTTAAAAAAAATCATGTACAGATATAGAAAAAAAATTATTGCACAATAATAGACGATTATTAGGCTATATTTCTAAAGAGGTACCAAAAATTTCCGGGCATTATTCGGTGCGTGGTGCCAGTTTTTGTGTGCCCTTATCATGGAAGGTTGCATAAATTGTGAACTTACGCTTTTTTTGGTAGTGAACAACCAGATAATAAATACTTATTTTGGAAAGTTTATTAAAAGAAAGAGATAAGACATATAATGCCTACTATCAGACTATATTACTTATTAGAAACATTAGAAAAATTGGATAGATCCATTTAAAACTGTCTATTATGATTTAGTACCTTCCAGAATCATTTAGAACTGTCTAAATCAATCTAGAACGCTCCAGAATCATTTAGAACTGTCTATAACAATTTGGAACGGTCCAGAACGGTTCAGAACAGTATTTTTAAGAGTTCTCCGAGTGAGCATTGGGTGTTTCTTTTAGTTACACGCACTAAAAAATACCCGGAAAATTTTGGTAAATAAAATCGCAGATTATTGTGCAATAATTTTTTTTCTTCGTCTGTACATGATTTTTTTTATTAACAAAAAAAATTACTTTCTAGACGCGCCTAGTACATATTATCAAAACAGGAACTTACAATCGGTTCTTCGTCCATGAAATAGTTAGATTTAATCGTGTTGAAAATGGAAACGCATAAATGTAATATGGTGTCGTCGACGATAACGCATCTGATATTCTTCTTCAAAAAATCCGTTACCAGTTTTTTTACGAACAATATCTCTTCGTCGGAAGTCATCGTTTCCACCATTAAATAGATTAAATGCGTTATGCATTTCAACATTTTATCGAAGAAGTCCGCTTGTCTTTTGTAAACAGGTCTAATAGTTAAAAGTTTTCGAATTTCTAGAAAAAAATAAATGCAAAGTTAATTTTATGTCTTATTACGGATATATTATAGAGGGTGATTCTTTGTTAAAAAAGTAATAATAAGTAATAAGAGTAATAAGAAAATTATGATACAAGTAATTTTTTCTTAAATTTTAACATCCTGTAGCTCGCAAACTTTTCTTTTTAAAATCATTCAAAAATTCGCATCCTGAAGTATCGGCATTCAAGTAATTAACACTCTATATTTATATGTATAAATATTTATTATACACGGCTCTGAGAGTAGTGGAAATTTTATAAAACTCGCAACTAGCACTTTGGACACTCTCAGAGAGTAAAAATTCACGAGTTTGCTCTCAACTGGACAAATACTTGAGAGTAACTCTCGAGAGTTGCTCTCAGAAAAACTCTCAGATGGACAGGTAGAAAAACTGTGTGAAACTTACCGACAATATTGTCTGTCATGAGATTAAATACGGAAACCACATCGTGAAATCTGCGCTGTATATTTTGCTCGCCGTTCATTAACGATTGCACGTGGTAATCCATCATCAGTCTTAGTAGTGCTTGGGCCGAAAAGCCGGTGTCCGTGTATAAAATTGAGTCTTTTTCGATACGAATTTGCAGGGCCCGTCGCCACAGGTCGATGCAACGCTGATATCGCATCACGTCCGCATAAGCCGCCCCCCGGTACATTAACCTAATGATACGAAAATTAATTTTTCACTTAATTTATAACTTATTGAAACTTTAGGTTTAGTTTCTTCGAAAAAAATTCTGTCACAATGCATAAAAGTATGACCTCGGATAGGAAAATATTGATGAATTACCTCAAATCTGCTATTCATGGCCAGCGCAGTTAACAACCTGGTTAAAATTCCAGGAATATTTTCCTTTTTCCACTCACCAATAAAATTATAAAGTGAAGGAAGTAATTTTATTTCTTCTGCGCTCAGCAGGAATATAAGAGAAATGAGAAGAAAATGGCTAACCCACTTTAATTCGCCATATTTTTGGAATTTTATCTTTTTTCCAATCACTTATTCAATTATTACGAACATAAAAGCCCCACTATAAGAATGAATTTTCTATACAGGGTCTCCCGCATAACAACCGACACAGAGCAGGGACATGCAGAGGAGCCCAAAGTATGTTTTTAACCCAACTTTAAATTAATATAGCCAATTTTTGAATTATCGACGATTTTAAGTAACATTTATAGTGTACATACATGATTTTATTTATTAGCGTTTTACATCAAAACGAGAGAATTTTAAAAACCAAAAAGAATAAAAAAGTTTTAAAATAAAATTACCTATGAAATGATCTAATATTTTTTTTAATCACTGATGAACCCTTTATAATACATCAATTGATCAATAATTTGTAACTCCACTTTGAAGGCCTAGAACTTCTCAGGAATGTAACTTTGTATTAAGTTTTGTTGGGTTAAACAACATATTTTGGTCCCCCTAGACGCCCCTGCTCTGTGTGGTTTTTTATCCGGGGTACCCTGTATACTTTAAGTCTAAATAAAATGTATTATTCTAATCAAGCAAACGTATCAGGCAATGTTTGTACAATGTCTATAAATGGCTTTGGGAATAAATTTTAATAAAATATTATGTGTGTGTAAAGGTTCTTTCACATTTATTATTTAGTCATAATATTTGTAAAAATTAATCAGAAAGTTTTCAGGACAATATTAAACAACAATTAACCTCTGGAACGTCTGTTGATTAATTATTTTGGATTCAATTTAATTCACAGAATTTTATCTCTACATATATTTTACGGAAATTCCACAAATATTTTTATATAAATATGGGTTTTTTGCACAATAAGGAAAAGTCGATTTTATTCCCCAGTTATCTGTAATGTTTATATAGAACTTTAAATTTTAAATGGCAGACATTAGATTAGAATAATCGTACAAATGCAGAGTAAACAAATAATGTAAATATTTATATAATTATCATTATATCTACTATTTGACACCAAGATACAGGGTGTCCCAATAAAAAGCAGCCCCTTTAGTGTGCTAATAATTTTTAAACGGCTTATCATAAAAACATGCGGTTTTCGCAGATATATTTTATTTTGCCATAACTTTTTGTTACAGTGACACAAAAATTTTGTATCGCCTGTACAGGGTGTTTAATAAAAATCCCCTCTTTTAAATTCACATTAACCGAATTTTATGAAATAGGACATCTTCTTTTGTAGAATAACATGTACAAATGAAACATTTTTGAAAAGTAGAAGAGTATATCTTTAAAAATACCACTATATATACTTGGTGTTTCATTTAAAAAAATGGTTACTGCGAATTTAAAAGAAGAGATTTTGATAAAACATCCTGTATTGGTAAAATAAAATAAAGTATATTTAAGAAAACCGCATGTTTTTATTTTAAGCGTTTTAAAATTACAAGCTCATCAAAGAAGCAACTTTTCATTGGGACACCCTGTATAACACTTTACAGCTGATAATTGGGAAAATCTTGCACCAAGATGTTTTTAATATTAATATAAACTTGACCTTATTAAACAGATTAATTACCCAAAATTCTAAGTAAATCGATGAAGCAAATCAATTCATAACGTACCTAAATATCGTGTCTTTGTGATGTGGACCTAAAATCCGTTCAGCAATAAGTAAACTTTGTATTCGAATTAAATCTAAATCTACTGAGATATCTCCTAGTTCCTCCATCGTTTCGAATTCCTTCTGGTACCTATAAGCTTCTTGCGGTGTCATTATTGGCTGCTTCGGGAATAAACCTTAAAACAAACAAATGCATCAAATCTTTCATACATTTTTATTACAATATAGTATGACAATTTGAAAACTTACAATGGCTATAACTCCCAAACAAAATATGACATCAAAAAAATGCCTGAAACGGTTTCTAGAGTATGAAGGGGAAAGTAAAATGATATAAAAAAGAATTCACCCCCATCAAGCCCCTAGAGCCCCACGTGCCCCAACTATAGAAATTTAAATAGTAACCCCCTACTGTTATACATCATTGAAAAGCCTATAAAAATGTTATCCAATGGTATAATTAATAATTGTACAGGGTGAATCAATAATTGTGAAACCTTGCCTTAAAAGCAAAATTTAATGAAGACCATAAAACCGTTAATTGTGCATGAATTAGAGAACCAAGAAGAAACTGTTTTAGGCATTTTTTGATATCATGTTTCGTTTGGGAGATATAGCCATTGTAAGTTTTTAAATTGTCATACTGTATGGAAAATTTATGATGGTCGGCAGACCTATCGCTCGCCCTGGATTTTCCTTCCTTTTTTAGTACACCCCTCCACTTATAACGAGAGTAAAAGAGCGAAAATTCGAGGCGAGCGATAGGTCCGCCGATTATCGTACAAGTAATCTCAATATTGAAGAACATAATACGAATCTGTAGGCATCAACTAACCATGTGTTTGTCTTATTACCAGTGCTTTATTCCAATGAAACAGAGCTATCACTATGTCGTTATATTCGTCTAGGTAAGTGGAGCCCATGAGTTCGTGGGCATTAGCCAATTGTTCCGGTTCGTAATCGATGTTGGCTACAAGGTATTCGAATATTCGAGTGGCGCCTTTCAGGCAAGCCATTTGAAGGGCGTCGTCGCCATATCTTGATTTGGCGTTGTAATTTGCATTGTGTTTTAGAAGTAATTTCGTCGTTTCTAACCTGCAGATATTGAAAAAAATCGATTAATCTGTACAGATTGATTCATTTTAGTTTGCAATATAGGTTACATTACGCTGTGGGTGCGATAAAGACAACTTCCATTAGGCACTTATAAAGGAAGAAGAAAGAGTGATATTGTGTCATTGCAATTTGTCACTCTAACAACTTTAATTTTAATAATTTCTCTTTGTTCAACTCATAGAAATGAAAATTTTGCAAACTGAAATATACCATACGGTATAACAAACGGCATTGGAAATGAAGCTTATCATTGTTAAAAAGACAGTGACGTCATTTTTAGTAATTTCCACGCAGTTCAACATTTCCCTAGTGTCAATGTTAATTCTGTCATTTGACTAGGGAAATTTCGAAATTTCGGAATTTGAAGATGTGTTGTTGAAATGCCGATGCGTTGTTGCCATATCTCTACTCTCAAAATTCCTCTTGATTCTAGTTGATATGTTTCGACTACAATTTGTTGTTTTTCTGCGTTTCCCAGATATTTTCGTTTTTTCCAGTTTTTTGTTTACAATGTTTACGAGTAGATTTTGTGTTTCTCGCTCGTTTTATTTATGACTTTTTTTAATTTATAAGCATTGAAAGTAAACATAAGCTTATAACTTACAACAGCTTCAATTACAACCCGGCAACGTTGCAACAGGCTGGCTCGTGACGACATTGTCTTTTTAGAACGGACGAACTTTATAGCATTTGTGTTTTAATTAAACCTTTTTAATATTAAATAACGTCTTTAGTCTATAGTTTAGCAAAATACTATCTTATTTGCATATCTTTATTATATTGCATTGTGAGGAAATAAATTAGTATTGTGCAAAATTATGAAATACCAACATTTTACTCGAATTGACATTGAACATGAAGCATGCCTATTTTTTAAACATTGCTAATTGAACAATTTCCAATAGTTTGAAATGACACTAGTTTAGAAATTTTACACTTTTTTTAGTGCACGACATAAAATTAACTTTTTTTTAATACATTTCGGCGAACTTATTCCAAAAATGCCGTCTAAAAAATCCAGCACGTCAAGTTTCTCTCAAGTACTACTCAAGTTTCTAAATGGTTCTAGATAATTCTAAATGATTCTGAAGCGTTCTAAATGCTTCAAGGCAGTTTTAAACGTTTCTGGATCGTTTTAAAGAATTCTAAACAATTCTAAATGATTCTGGAGCGTTCTAAATGGTTCTAGACAGTTTTAAATGCTTCTGAAGTGTCTAAATAGTTCTAGACAGTTCTAAATGTTTCTGAAGCGTTCTAAATGGTTCTAGACAGTTCCAACTGGTGTGCTAGGAGAGTATTGTTGTACATTAATAAGCGAAACCTACCCAAAATCATACAAAAACAAAAATTTAATGCTGAACATATCTTATTTCTAGTTTCTTAGCACAAAACCTTGTAAACTAGTGTCCTTAATAATAAGTATATTTTTGTCAAGCTATCCAAGTATGCCATAATTCGTTAAAAAATATTATTTCTCTTATTGTTAGCTTTAAATTCTAGAGTGGCAAATCACGTACATATGTGTAGATTTGCATACATTTATCAATACAAACAAGATGATTAAATATATCTCTCATTTAAATTATTCTGTTATTATCTCGTGTTATATACACATGCAATAGTCTATTTGAGACTTTTCGGGAAAATATTATTCATTCCATTCTAAAATCTATTGACAATAATTTTGAATTTCACAATACAAGAAACGGTCTAAATTAGAGTTTGCCAATGACAAATCGTTTCCAATGGAAACATTCACATGCAATTGATAAGTACAAGCAATGATTTGCAATCATTTCAATGAAAGTCCTTGCGGAACTAATAGTATCACATATCTAGACTCTCACACGCTCCTTGCATGCATGCTATTTCTACATCAATTTTATAATTTTACAACAATTGTCGATGTAAGTTTAACATATATGGAGTTTTCATAAAACTGTATTGCTAATAATGTAACAGATAATCTTGTTATATTTACCTATGTTCTTGTATCGCATAATGAAGAGCACTTTTGTTCTGAATGTCTCTCGCATTAACATCCGCACCGTTTTTCAATAGAAAGTCACACAATGAAGCGCACTGTACAGAGTTAATCAAACAGGTGCCCCCGTTGTAATTGGGTTTGTTTATATCGGCCCCGTGCTCGACTAAATACCTAACAATTTCGAAGTGTGTCATGTAACATGCTGATCTGACGGGAGTAGACCCTGTATCCGATAAGGCGTTAATATCTGCACCGCTTCTGAGTAAAATGTCGACTATGGATAGTTTGCCCGAAACGGAGGCGCACCACAAAGGCGTTACGACGTGAGTAGACCTAAAAATGGCATTGTCAATATCGAATTCGAAGTCAGCGATGGTTTCGGTTTACCTGTCTTCAGGCACTTCGTATATGCCTTTCTGTTCGATGTCAGCTCCGCAAACGTTGATGAGATATTCGACGATTTCCGTTTGTCCCTTTTTGCAAGCGATAAACAACGGACAACAGCCAATTTTTATTCTATTCACAATGTCCCGTCGCACTTCCAGAGGGTATTTTTCCAATTTATTGCGCAAAGTGTTTGATAACCTTGCACTGGGTACAGCGTGCCTGCATTCGTCTATTAATTCATGAAATATTAGATCTCTCTCATTGACCGGGTCTACTCTCTTCCACATTTTTACAGTCTTTAATAACATCTATTATTCTAAAGTTTTGTTTTGATTTTGATCACTAATAAAAATACTGACAACTGACACTGACAACAAGAAATGACAACAATGACAATTGTGACATTTGTGACATATATATTCAAGTGGGGAGATTTCTAGACCTTTCGATTGCTTTAGTTGGTTAAAAACTTACTCTATTACTCTATACCGTAAAATATAAAGCATTCGTAGTTATAAAAAGTATTGTTTCAGACGCATATTCCCGTTTTTGAGTATTTTAAGTACTTTTATTAATAATTTAATAAAAAATAAAAACATTATTGATAATATGAGATTTGTTAATAATAAACAAAAATTTTAAAAAAGGGGCAACGACACGCGGTATTCCCAAGCGGTCACCCATCCAAGTACTAACCGCGCCCAATAATGCTTAGCTGCAGTGATCGGACGAGAACTGGCGTATTCATTGTGGTATGGCCGTTGCCTGTAAATAATGTGGCAATCCTTGAAGATAAAACATTTATTTCAATCATACAATAAATTAGAAAAATCAAAAAAAAGGGGGGCAACGACACGCGGTATTCCCAAGCGGTCACCCATCCAAGTACTAACCGCGCCCAATAATGCTTAGCTGCAGTGATCGGACGAGAACTGGCGTATTCATTGTGGTATGGCCGTTGCCTTCATATAATGTTATATTCATTGAATATAAACGGATAGTAAAGTAAGTGCGCCAAATATAGACCGGTCTTACAATATGAACCACCGCCAATTTAAGAAGAACGTTCTTTATATCGAGTAAATGATCATCACACACTAAGCATTACTCCTCCCTTGAACCACCTGTCCCTTGCAGTGATCCAGGATGCACGCATATACACCTTGTTCCATTTGCGATTGCAACATGCTCATTTCTATGAGTGGAACAAAGAAAGATTATTACAATGACAGTTGTCAGAGTGAAAAGTTGCACAAATGTCACTCTTCAAATTGTCACTCACAAAAATGGAGCAACCTGTATGAATTTACGACAGCCTTTTTTAGTTTTCTGCAACGCGCGATCTAATTTTCTAGCGAACTTTGGAAGTTTATTAATTCAAAAAATATTATTTTATGTGAAAGTGGTTAAGGCCACGAGGAAAGTGAGTCATGTTGCAATTAATTGTATTAAGTTTTAATACTATATATTTACCTGCGACCTCTGGCAGAATCAATGACCTTGGGAAACAGCGGGAAACTACAGAGGATCATTGGATCTAGGTGGTCACGGGGCTGGAAAGACCGCCCGCATAAAAACAACAACAACAACAACAATAATACTATATATTACACTACAATCCAATTTTCTGAAGAAAGAAATAATAATGTGACTAAAAATTAATTTTTATATTTTAGAATGGCTGCTAATACAATAGAGAAGACCAGACAAGCATGGGATAAAAAACGCAAACACGGAGGCAATTAAAAATGCACAAGAAAAGAAAATTGGCTATTTGAATGCTTCCAAAACATACACCCAAAACAAATCACTTAATGATATCACCACCCAAAAACTTGGGAGACAACCAACATTACAGAGCACTGAATTGGCAGATGAATTAGTCAATTATATTCTAGAAATGGAAAAACCTGGATGTGGTCCATATTATGATCACTTTCTGAAAGTTCATAAAAATTATATACTTTAGAAAATGTTATTTATTTCAAAGATTTTGTTTTTTTGGAGAATTTTATTATGAGTTTTTCTTAACTAAATGGTCAAGGAATTGTTTAATATAAATAAAGGTGATTAAAATTTAAAATTCGACTTTTTATTGAGAAAAGTGCTCATGGTGGTCCATATATGGCGCACTTCCTCTATATTTATATTTTGAATTTCTATGTATACTATAGTAACAATATTCGGTACTTGATGAGTATGCACCAATAATACAGATTAAAATTTCATATCAACGACAATACAACATATTGGTTTAGGAAATAAAATAAAATAGCTACATAACTAATAATTAGGGAATCCTCAGAAATCATCTTTTTAGAATACTAAATTGATTTTTTTATCATACCATTCGTCACATCCATAATACATGCTAATACGAAAGATACTGATTTATCTTCGATGTGCATTAACTATAATAAGCAGACGCTTTTTTACTTTTATAAAACTAGTCATAACAGTTACCTCAAGGAAAGAACATAAGATAATTAGAGAAAAAAATAATTTTGTTTTTAAGATGTTGTGCTGCACCATGTTCACCTGTTTCAGCGGCATAAAAAAAGTTTTTATAAATGTTGTTGGAAATAGAAAATTAAAACTAACCAATTCCTGGGACTACGAGGACGAAGACGGTTTGTTTTTATAAACACAAACTATTAATTTATTATCTTCATGAAAATTGCTATTTAAATGTTTTTTGACAGGTGAGAGTTATTATTCTGAATTTGATGCAACAGATATAAACCTATTGTTAGGAAAAACGAGGTGAGTGTAATATTGATTAAAATAGAAATTATTTTATAAAAATTGATATTTAGATAAACTTCCATTGTCAATCAGTTTTATTATTTGCTAGGTTCACAACAAAATGCTATTTGAAACTAATGATAAGGACACAATATTATACAGAAGGTTTACTTCTTTACAAAAATTCGACCAAAAGAGTGTATAAAAATGGAGTTACATTTAAAGTAAGCATTTAATTCATATGGGCATAGTGTACATATACAGGGGCGAATCAAATGAACTGCAATTTTTCTTTTAGATTTACCAATAAATTCTTATGCAAAATTCCGGTTCATATTTGAATCGCCCTCGTACTAAGGCTATATCTAGTTTCAATATTATTTGGAAATTTATATTTGCTCTTTGATGAGGAGGAGTTTCTGAACTGAACTGAACTATTATTTTAGTCGAAATACATCTCAACACAATGGTCAGAGAACGTGAGCACTGAAATAAACTATTCGCCCGATACCTTTTTCTCAGAAGCAAAAATTATCCTGGAATAATAAAGATTCCTTTAGCTATAAAGTAAAATACCTGTTTTAAATATAAGAAAATTGTATGTATGTATGTATAAACATGTTTAGAAACTTTTTTATGCTTTGTTTTTTTAATTTAAATTCTTAAATTTTTAAATAAAATATCTAAAATTTAGCCTTATCAAATATACGTGTTATAAATAAAATAAATGTTTTTTTTTAATTTTTATTAAATATGCTATATCATGAAAATATAAAACCCACGGTACTCTATTAAGTATGCATTATAACAAAGACACAATAGAATTAACCCGAATATCTTCCAGCGAATAAAATAGCTTCAGAATTCTTCTCTCTTATGTAGTACAAGAACGGCCGATCAGCGATGAAGGTAAAGACTGGTAGCACAGCAGATGTTGGGGATATTTGCACTAAAAGTAATTAACGCAAAATGTTAATAGAGTTATAATATTGTAAACCATCGTGTAATACTCACCACCTGTAGCAGCGGCTGCCTCAACTCCATCCTGAGTCACATCAATGATAGTCTTCTGACGTATCGAATCTACTTGCAGTCCGGTAACGGAAGATAAACCGGAAAGATCAGCGTCGTTTCTGAAAACTTGTTCTGCACCCAACTGAAAATTAGAGCAAAAATTACCGTTTAAAACGCGCTAATAAGACTAAAATTTATACCTTTTTGAATAGCGGAACAAAGTCTATGGCGGTCTCGATTTGGAATTTCGGTATCGATATATTCACGTAACCGCTCTTCATGCTGTGCAATTCGGACACGCCGACGAAATCGTTTTCCATTTTACTCAAACCGTCTCGTTCGTCCGGCAAGACGAACATCATGCTGGCTTTTCCATCGGCTATATCCAATTCGAGGAATTTCGTTTTGTAGAAACCGCAATGCCTGAACTTGGCTTGCAAAGTGTCTTGCAACATCGGTATCTGCAATATTAAAAATTACTGAATCAAATGAAACTATACCAAAGCGGCAAATAAAGTCTGCGTTTAATGGCGATTTGGAATGCGTTTTAAGAATATTTGAAGATTCTTTTAAGTTATGAATACAAAAGAATGTTTTTTAAGGATAATTATGATTGGTATTAAAGACTTTTAGGAATGAACTGTTGAGCTTGGCTGCGCGTTTAGTTAGTTAGTAAGGGTCCGTTGTGAGTAAATGAACATTAGGGATGAACATAAGTGAATCTTAAATACTAGGAAACTTCTTTTGACGTTAGCATAGATATTAAGGAACTCATCCTCCTTACCTCTTTAGATTGGCCTTCCTTGGACTGGAACAACCCATTTCCGGTAAAGCGGAAAGGTTCAACCCATTGTCCGCTGAAGTACAAGGTATTCGCCAACACCAATTTGGTGTCCGAGCGAAGTTGGTTCGGGTCGATCAAATTTTGGATTTTACCATTGGTTTTCTGCTCCACCCATTTGTTGATGATCCCGGCAGCTTGAGCCCCATTTTTGAAGTCGACGTTTTCAACTTCCGAATCGTAATCGTCTACGGCGGTTTTTCGGAAATCCTCGGACACGGTAAAACCATCAGCGGGGTATATTTTATTGGCGGAAAGTATTTTCAATTTGTCCGTATCGACGCTCAAGTGGGATGTTAGCTGTTTCACACCGTCGTTTCTCTGTTGGTCGTTTTTCACCAAGTTCAAAGCCAGAAGCAGTTCGCTTTTGGTGCTTCCTTTCGCCCCTGAAGCCAATAAGGACGTTATAATGTCGGCTGATAGTCCACTGAAGACGTAGCTGCTTTCTTCTGAACCAGAAAGTTCCTGGACAATAAAAAATATGTTAAGACAGATATATAAAAAGTAAATTGTATCAATTTGTATCAAACCAAAGTCTAAGACCTTAAGTGTTTGGATTAAATTTATTGTTCACTTTTTGTTATAATTCCATCACTTCGATTCTTTGGTATAAACCAATTTGATACACAACTTACTGTAACAACCCCTTGGTTAACTACTTGAATCCAGGTGGAAACCACCCTGGTATGTAATGTTAACTAACCTTCATTAACTTCGAAGTAAATTTATTGTCAGCATCGATGACTTCTTTCAAAGGCTCCTCTTGCTGTGCTGGTAGGCACAGACATTGCACGATTATTGTTACAAATAGGAAGGTGTACCTCAACATTTTCACGCTTGTGCTCGGCTCGACTCTTTCTAGAGTAAACAGCGGATTGTGCTTTTATATGCGATTATAAAATTCATGAAACCGCATATGCGCAACAAAGGATTTTCGCAAGGAAAAATGGTACTAGTTATTGTGAATGTGAAATTTATGGAAATACCCGCAATTATGTAAAATTTTTATGCACTTAGTCGGTGCAAAAACAAATCCATCTATTAATACCTATACTTATCTTCATCAAAATATGTTCTTAGTATTCCTATTAAGTAATGGTAATTGTAACAAAAACAAGTTGCATAACTTTATAGCTTTTTTCTGTCTGGATGATTATGGTTGGTAACTCCTTACAAATTATTGTTAAAAAATATACATTTGTTTGGGATTCAATTCATGTAAGGAAAGTTCTTGAGGTTGATATTTTTTATTGATAAAAAATAAGTGATGTCTATTGTCTGCGTAATAGAAATGACAAATCCTTTTCAAGGTTGGAAGTTTTTTATGTACTCTCTATAATCCTTTGATTTATTGTGGGTAGGAGGGACAGCTGGCGTGCCGTCTGTGAATAAATTCGTGTAAGGATTATATGATATATGCCGTTTCAATTTTGAGCACTGCAGGAGTTTCGTATGATCCCTATAATTTTCGTCCAAAAATTTTCCCGGTATGCAAGCGAGTTTCCTGTTTTCCAATTTATGTGATGGGCGTTTTTTCACCTGAATAAGAACAAATATGAAAAAGAAAAGTTTAAATTTAAACAGTAGGTATATCTTATGAATGACCAAACATTTTTTGGTAAAAAATTTCAAATAGGCTATAATAGGGTAAATTTAAATTATCAATTTCAAGATTAATTACAAAAGAACACGGTTTTGTTTATTTGCTTTATAATTATTACTTTTTTAACAATTGGGAAAACTTGATAGGTACTTATTAACTTTCGTCTTATGTAAGAGTATTTAAGTAACAAAACAGGTAGATAAAATACATAAATATATATATATATAACGAAATTAGTTACACATTACTTTAATCATTAAAATTCTATTTTAACAATTGTAATGCTAAATTCTAATCTTATTGAAAATAACTCACTGCATAAATAAAAACACCTGATAAATTATACAACCTGCACATAACATCGAAACTTGGTTTTCCCGGGACAGTAATAGAATATCTTTGCAAATAATAAAAGGTGAATTACATGACCATCGTCCAGATTTTATATTGAATCATAATATTATAATATTATTTAGTTTCAGTACACTAATCCCATACATATATTTAATGAATTCTGTTGTAGCGCCACTGCCACTGCAAAGTGCGCATCATAAAGAGATTTTTATGTTAAGTACTTAGATATGAAGGTAGATAATAGTAAGTGCAACTTATTCTCTTGGACAATAATAATGGAACTTCTGGTGTAAAACCGTATATTTGTAAATTAGATGATCTTTTCCAGGTTTTATACAGGGTATAGTGGCATCAAACTATGAACTATTTTACAAGGTTTCAATCTTATGGTTTATTTTTTTCTGATCAAGCAATTACGAGTATATCAAAACTCAGTTTTTATTCCAGAAGCATATCCTGTATATACTTTCAATAACCTGATCAGTTGGTAATTAAAAATACAAAAAATGGCTATAAGAATATAACATCTTCACCCTGCGTATAGGTTTAGTAAAAATGGTATCGCATCTTTCATTTCGTTTATTTTACTCCACATTAACGTAAGTGGACGCATAAGAATGTAAAATTTATACTTCTAATATAATTTTATATAAGAAAAACAGGTTTTTTGTTTGTATCATGTTCATCTTATGTCTATTGCAAGTTTATAGATCGCATAGTTACTAAAAATAGTACACCGTGTATGCTAGTCGCAATCTATTCCATCGATAATTTAAATTTAAATAAGCTTTGAATTTTATGTGACAAAAATTTGAATGAGAAATTAAATGTATTTAGCCGGAAAAAAAGAGAACGTTTTCAATGTGATGTGAAATTATTAAATTTTCGAGCATCTATAGAATATTTAAAATGCTAATATGCTAATTAGCAGGTTATAAAACGAGGGTAAAAGGGTGTAAAAAGGGTTTTTCTCTTACTGGTTCTGTGGATTGTGGAAAGGGCGGTTCGTAGCGATAACGCATTTCAGAAATGTACGGGATACAGTCCGTGGGCAGGTATTCTCTAGGAGGTCCTTCTGGCCTGCATAAGGAAACAGTCAATAAAAAAGTGATTCCAAAAACTCTTCTAAGCTTTCAAAAATTCATCCAAGCCATTATTTTCTTAAATATTTCTTTGAGAAAATAGGAAATACCTAACTCTTTTCATAACTTACGGGATTTTCGTGAAAAAATTGACCAAACTCTTGTCCGGGTTCACCTCCAAATCGGGCCTTTTCTTTTCCAATTGATACTTAAACATGCTTTTAGTGGATGTACTCCAGTCCTCGTCGGTTTCGATGCCGAGCCGGTTGTAATGGGATCTGGAAAGGTTGTAATGCTCGGGACATAGAGGATTGTAGTCAATGGGTCGAGAAAGCGGATAACATTCCCAATTGTCCGCTTTTAGGTAAGGGGTGTCGTAACGCCTTTTCGATGTATGTATCGTTACCATACGACGACATTCGTTAGGATGTGGTACTGGCGTTTTGTACAACTGAAATTATAATTTTTAACGAAAAAATTTTTTAAATTTTTAGATTATTGTAGAAAGTACATCGAAGTATACAAGTGCAAGTGCCGATGGAATATAGGAGAAAAATGAGTAGGTAGGCATTTTACTAAAAGATAATTTTCTTTATCTATGAATAATTCATAATTATTATTTTTGTTACATATTTATTACTTACTACAAAGTCGAGCGGCATTTTTGTGCTATCTTTTCTACTTTGCTATTTCCTGTTATATTATAAATTAAAAAAAAATATTAAACACATGTCAAAGATTTACTTTTGGTAGATGACAAACTGCCATAATTCATTATTCTTCTTATAATTCTATTATGACTGACTTGTGACCTAAATGTTTCAACGTATTTTATAGTACAGTCGGTGCAAAACAAATATCAATGCACGTCACTACTGTCGTCATACTTGCCAAGCATTGTGCCCAACTTTTAAAAATAAATATACAAAATAGATTAAGCTTAATACTCGCTGAATTTAATTAAATATTAACAAGGGATGATAAAAAATGTTACAAAGCAGAATTAAATCATCCAAAAAAATATTGCCAAAATTCAACGTTTGTAATAAAGTTATTATTATTTTCTTATAGTAGGTTGGTAGGCACTGACTGTCTAGTTGCATACTTGCCGTTTTCATTTGATCGGTACTTTTAATTTTCAAATTCTTCTTCTTTTTTCTTGTTTACTAGCTTCAAGTACTAAAGGCTATTCAGCCACAATTTGAGCTTTAAATTTAGATTCAGAAGTTTGCTTAGAAACTTCACTATGTACTCTTTTAAGGGTCAATTGTACACTAAATTTTTTACTCGCACTGTTAAATATATTTCAAATGATAAAGGAATTTGATGATTAATTATTATAGTGAGCCCCTGAATAAGTCCGCCGTTTAGAAACGTGAAACATGTATCCCTAATTTTCAATTTGTTCTTAATTTCGTTTTGTCATTTGACAATTTAAAAAAATTCTTACTTCGTAAACTCTATAGAAGTTCGGCAACACTGCCTACTTGTGACGTATTAAATTATAGAGGTGACGTGCATTGATATTTGTTTTGCACCGACAATAGTAGAATTTTCTGTAAAATAAAATTATGGATTCATTGTAATTTGTATTGCATATCAATATTCGACTAAGCACGAGTAAAAATTTATTCCTTCGCTATTTCTATAACATTGTAAAACAAAAGGCGTCGATTCGCACATAGGAGTATAAGGGAATTCCGAGTGAAAAACGGGATTTGGATGTCCGAAGAATTTAAATTTCAAATTCGAGGAAATTCCGATTTCCTCGCTGACACACATTATCTCTCTCCTACCCTCCGCAACAACACACCGGCTATTTTCCGGGATCCTTACAAAACGCCAGATTTACAGAAAAGAAATTTACCTTTATCAAAACGTACCCTTAAATCAAATTTATTGGGCTCTAGGTGTTGAAGTAACCCCCTGAAATTCGACCTGTAATCAAAACAAAAATCACTGGGTATTTTAAAATTTGAAAACGACCACCTTTTGTTAAAAATTAGTACCGTGACTTGAACGAAGTAAAATTTTTTTGTACCTAAATAATCAGGTAATTAATAAATTTCTAGTAGGTATACATACATATTGCTTTCTACTAAAATTTATTATTTGTTGGGTTATTGTTCGATCGTTATTAATTTTTTCCATGCAACAAAAACATTGAATTCCATTTATTTGAACAAAAAAGCCCCGTGTTTGAGAAAAGCACCCTAACCAGCCTTTGTAGGTCGATTTCTAAAGTTATTTAACCAGGCCCATTCTTCACGTACGAAAGGAGATTTTCTTGAATGGCACGTCGTGGAAGTTTAGAAACTATTTTATAACGATGCGACGAAGTTGCGCTCGCAGAGGGTGCGTGAGAGCTACTTGCGAAACAACTTTCGATTTATGTGCATTAAAAAACAGTTTTAAAGGTGCCGCATTGTTACCAGAAATTAGCTTCTAATTAATCTAATTACAATGATTTGATTCTCTCAAAACTTCACAAAAATAATCAATTATCAATATATTTTGTACCAATTTATATTCACCCAGATTCAATAATATTAGTAAGTCCAGTGCATACAGAGTATGCTATAAATAGGGATTTTTTTTGTTTGTGTCTTTTGTAACTCCAGCTATAATAGCAAAGTTCTCCAGTTAGCAAGTTCCATTCATTTCATGGACGTATATTGCATTTGTAACTGTAACTGTCCGTAAATTCGTGAATCTTCGTGAACAAGCGTGGTGTGGTTGTCTGAGAAACTCTGTATCTTATACACTGCGAATCGGTCCAAAGTGCTTGAGTCAGAACTTCATTTATTAACAAAGTGTGTTAAATAATTAGATAAGTTGCTAAATGTACGGTGTCAAAATTAATAGGATCTTAATATTCGCTAGATAGCACAGCTGAGGCGCCTTATTTGTCTTGCGACGCTATTCCGATGCCGTCAAAAGGAAACACTGCATTAATCGAGAACGACGTAAAATAAATAATGATCGTTTATATCATTCGAATGCAGCTCTAACTCTAACTTAAATTGAGGTGTTACAATTTGACTGATTCCAATAATATAAGCGATTCTTGTATACAAAAGTAACAAATTACAATAGTTTTAGGAATTTTATACTTTAGGCAGTTCCAAATGGTTCTGTGGCGTTCTAAATGGTTCTAGAATGTTCTAAATGTTTCTGGATCAAGCAATCCATGTATATCGTAATTCGTTTAAACAATGTCATTTCTCTAATTGTTAGCTTTAAATTCTAGAGTGGCAAGTTCTAAATGATTCAATGTACTTCCAAATGTTTCCGGATGGTTCTAAATGCTTCTAGACAGTTCTAAATGATGCTGGATCATTATAAATGGTTCTAGACATTTCTAAATGGTTTTAGAGAGTTTCAAATAGTTCTAGACCTAGACAGTTCTAAATGATTGTGTAGCGTTCTAAATGGTTCTTCTAGATGATGAAAGATACTTCCAGATGTTTCTAGAGCGTAATTCTAAATGGTTCTAGTCAGTTCTAAATGATTTTGGAGCTGGTACTGGGAGATTGTTGTTGGATAATAATACGCGAAACCGATCAAAAATCATACAAAAATTGCATGCTCAATATTTCTAATTTGTAGATGCCTTTCATGCATTGCATAGCCAGCATTCATGAAGTTAGATTTTATTTGTTCTTTGTTCTCAATTATTCAATTGTACTTAAATCATAATTAAGAAAAATAATTAGTTACAATGTTCGGTAGGTATTTCCAGAAATGTTTACGAAATTTTGGCTAATTTGTGTATAGTAGTAAAATTTAAAATTGAGGGTTAGTGCGAAGTCTTACTACTAATATTGGTTGATTCAAAAACCAATTACAATTAAAAAGTCACTTAAATTTGAAATCCAACGGAATAATCGGATTATCAAATGTTGAACTAATTCTTCAAAAACAGACCTTATACGTCTCTAGTGCTCATATTACCCAACACTCACATTAGCAAAAGTTAGTCAGGTACTTCAAAGTCGTCTTACTTATTCGACTTGGATATGGGTGCGTGAAATATTTAAAATTCTCCCCTTGTATTGCGAGCATCCGTCAAATTATGTTCCTAAATTGAGATGAAATTATAACGTTACTGCCAGGGTTAGGAGTTTATCCCAAATTGTAGTCACAATTTTTGCTGAAGAGCCTAAAGGGCTCTCGTGTAGATCGAGTTGATTTAAAATATAAACGCATTCCCATTATGGACGAGTAAATTTCAATTTCTGTTAGAATTTAGAAATGCGTTAAATAAGTTCCAACTTGAAAAATGTACATTTTATTGAAGGGGCGATTTCTTCGATCGCTGAATTTGTAAATTTATTTGTCGCCGATTTCTGGAGAGATGTTTGCGATAAAAAGTTGTTCTTTACAATTTCTTTTTTAACATAACAAAGAATACGATAAAAGCTTTACGATAATATGCATCTTCTTAAATTTCTTAGATACTATGAATTAAATTTAGCGAACGCTCTTTTTGATTTCAGTTACCCTTCAGGAAAATCGTCAAAAAATTCGCAGGAAGTCATTGGAAATAAGCCAATCGAGGATTAAAGCCGGATAGAAACAAGATTTCTGATTAATTGATCAATTTAGATCTATCACATTTAATGAAAGGGCGAAAGCGGCGTTAATGCGGCTAAAAAGACCTTTTCGAGTGTTTGGGGAGATCAGCAATTAAACAAAATTTTAAAACTTACTCCATTTTCGAGTACCAATTTTGAACATTTAGAGAGTTACTAGTACAATATTAGATAGCAAAAAGAACTGATAATTTAACATCGTTTTTATCCAATACTTTTAATTTTCAATTCCTTCTTCTATTTTCTAGTTTACTAGCCTCAACTACTATAAACGATATTCGGCTGAATCCACACATTTTTTCACTCGCACTGTTAAATATATTTTAGATGATAAAGGAATTTAATGATTAATTATAGTAAGCGCCTAAAAACGTTCGCCGTTTAGGAACGTGAAACAGGAACCCCTAAGTTTCAATTTGTATTTGTCATATTGCCATTTGACAATTTTAGAAAATTCTTAGATTTTGTAAACTTTATAAGACATTCATTGCCTACTTGTGCCTACTTGTAGTATATTTTTGATGACGTGCATCGAACTTTGTTTTGCATAAACTGTATATGATCTAAAATTCCTCTCTTCACTTCTAAAGTCCTTATAATTATATTTACCTAATATTAGATAAAACAATTCCATTATGACCTTTATAAAGATCCCATGTTCCCATGTGGATGAAATGAAATCCAATAAAGCTTTTTCACCTTTGACCACACTTTTCTCCTAACAATGTAGGCTATTTATATAGACAATTTCTAATTACAAGGCATAAATAAAAATCAAAATCTATTGTTAGTGTGGCCATGGTTAGTATTTTCTCTTTTCACAAAAGGCGGGCTGTGCTTATTCAAAACAAACAATGGTCTGTAAAAAATATACTTGAAATGGAGTTAATCTCGCAACATTTTTCTCCTGTTGGCTTATTCTCTATAGCTGCTTTTTTTCCCGGAATTAGTTTAGATAATCCAAGAGGGTTTATTCAGAAAGGTATACATTTTTGAAGTTTTATGTATTTAAGTAATTACACCCTAGCTTCGCAAACTGTATTTATAAAAAATAGATTTTTAGCTCAAATTAAAAAATCCGACATTTCAGAATTTTTCTTACTTTAAGAAGTTTGTTTAAAAATATCATCAAGAGAACATAATAAAAAATAATGCAAAGAGAAAATCACGAAAACCAATTATAACCTCCCTAATAAAAGTCCGGTATTAATGACAGAAAATCCATTTTAATTAAAGTTAATTTTATTGACTATCTGTCGCAAAATGTAGCGAAAAGCCGCAAGTGCGGTTGACTGTTGAACTGTACTTGGTGGGAAACGCCGAATCACCGAAACTTATTTTTGGTTTACCGGAATCCTCGCGTATCCGAATAGTTCAAAGGAATGTATATAATTCAAAATTCTTTTAGGGTACCTATCGAATACAAAAAAAAGGAATTTAATATACTCTTACGCTTTAATATTACTCTGGCGCTTATTCGCGTTTTTGTTGTTCTGCGTTGCAAAACCAATAGGTCTCGTAAACTTCTTGTTATCCTTTGCACTTTATTAATTCATAATGAAATCGCAAAAAGGTAAAATTCTGCAAATAATATTAAGAGATAAAAAACGATGAGAAAAAATTGTTACACATGTTTAAAATTAGGAGAATGTTAACAATGATAAATAAATATATTGAAGTTTTTTATTTTTTGTTTATTTGATTGTGAATAGCTGATAAGTGCTGGTATTAAGTTGCTTTAACTCACACATTCGTTAATTATTTCGAACATTTTCATTTATAATTAAAACATGTATTATTTTCTTTATTCGGGATGCTATTCGTAATATTTCTTAGGCGTAATCATAAATTTTAAACATCGTTTCTCAAAAAAAACATTAATTAACAAAAAGGCTAAATTTTGTAAGTTAAATTAACTTACAGGCTAAATTTTGCTCTTCGGTGCAAAAATGCCAAATACACAACCGAATCTGTCTGTCTCGAATTGAAATTTATGATCGCACATTCTTAATTAAACGTTACAAGAATGTAAAGCGATCAATTTCAAAAAGCATTTATTATAAAGCTTTAATGCTTTCCTATACAATACTTAGTACTATAATACTAATTACAACACTTGGACGTTATTAAACATATGCAAATTACTTGCACAAAATTTAGTTCGACGGATTTCCAATGGAATGATGTTTCTTAACGCAACATCACACATTTTTCTGAATGGAAATTGCATTCTCCGAAGACATTTCCGCGGAAAATGTCCATTGTGATTCTCGGCATTTTAATATTGCAATGCAAGTATAATAAATGCATATAAAAATACAGGCTGGAGATATTTACAAATTATAAAGTGTGCCTCCAAAGGAAGTTTTAGAATTCTGAACACTAGACCATACTATATAAAATTAATCTAATTTTGTCTATGCCTATATGTGCGTTTTGACATTTTTGAATCAGACGTGCTCTGGATGTTTTCCAGTACATATTTGGATATTTTACAATGATCGAAAAAGGTGAGGGTGATATAATTTTTTGTACGCAAGCCTCGGAGCTCTTTTATTAACGAATTGTGAATTTTGACGTGATTTTTGCGGAACCGAGGAATTTTAATTATTGGAAAACGAAGATAAATTAATGAAACGAGGTTGATTTCCATCTGCCTCCGAAAACTGCTTCGTTTAGAATATGTGCTTTATGGATATTTTCACAATTAATTGTGTCAATATCAAAATCAATTACTGAAAGATATAATGGAAATTTTAGAAGCCTACCATATTGACATTATCCTTCGTTCTCTCGTTTACAGGGAATTGCGGAAAGTTCTGTCGGATAATTAGAATAAGTTCGTGATTTTATATTTTGAGTCGCTTCATGAAGCTCAAAAATTTATTTACGAATAAAATTCTTCGGAATTTTAAAATTCTTACGAAGAAAATATGCCTGCTCCATTTGTTCCTCTTTGTTTTATTCGAGACGATTCAAAGGAAGATTTCCATTCAGCGAAAAACTCCGCATTTTTCTATGGAATGTTATTCAAAATTACACGAACATAATCTAATTTAAAACGAAATAAAAGTGTTCGTAAATTCGATTACGCACATCCAATGGCTGAGGAGAAAACGGAACTTTTGCCAGAAAAAATTACATTATAAATCCGATCATTCACCATGTGCAAAAATTGTACTCTTTACATCCACCGGGAATAAATGCTTTTCACTGGTTTGATTAAAATTTAATAACAAATTTTAAAATGTATACCTCTAATCAAACCTTAAAAATAATGACTTTATGATGAATTAATCAATCTATTGTTATTATTAATCAAATTTTTATTAAACAAATTTCGTACACGCATTCATCCATTTCATTTGATTTTATTACTAAAGTTTTAAATTGATTTAGCGATACTCTCTATATTCGCTGCTGCAGCTATCAAATATTCTAAATACCGCACCAATCAAACGCCACGAAGAAATATTGCTTTAAATTAACCGAGTTAACAGGAATATTATTCTTTTACACTGTATGTGAATATCACCGAAGTCTTTAATAGAATCTAAAATAAAAAAATGTAATACCTAGATACTTAAAATCATTATTCATTAAAAAGCACAATTGATAATTATAATTGCTTTAATTGATAACAAACATTTAGTACGAATAATAATTAAAAACTAATAATTTTGCATCAGGAATTGTTATTAGATTTTTAAAATAATCGTACCAAACCTAACTGCTCCTAAACCGCAAGCATTAATTCAATGTTCCCTCAGCTTTTCAATATAGGTGATATTTTCGCCCATTAAAACGGATTCGAAGTATAAAAACGATGTGATTCATTCAACATTTCGAAAATAATAAACCTTTTTGTATTCTTCGCGCGATTCACCCGGAAACCGATGCCACCAAAGGGGAATATTTCGACTGCGCCATGTGAAAACTTCTCTTGACTCGGGACCGCGTGACGTTCCTACTTTAAAATTAATTAATTCAATAAAAATGTCCCGGTAGTGAAATGTTCAAAGCTCGAACGTGGAGATACCGTCCATTTGAACAAACTTTAAAGTGTGTTAGGTCCACAGTAAATTTTTAATACGAGCTAAAAATGCTAAAGTAATATACGTGCAGGATGAAACAGAAAATTGAATTTTACGGAAAAATGTATTTTTTTATTTAATTCGATTTTATTAACTTTTGTATTTTTTTTATACAATGCTATGCTTGAAATAATAGTCATTATGTTCAGGATAAAAATTAATGAAATTTCAGGGGAAAAAATCCCTCAAATCCCTCTGAAAGGGAAAATTTTTAATTACCTACATACATAAAAATATTTTATCTTTGATAAACATGTACAGGGTGGCCAAATAAGGATGGCACTCGGCCATATCTCGCTATCTCGCAAACTAATTGTCATAAAGACTTGCGGTAAAAACTCTTGACTAAATTGGCAAAAAGGAAATGCTGGAAATAATTTTAAGTCTTTAAAATATCCATAAATTTAAAAGTAATTTTTTTCGACATTTTCCTGAATGAAGGATCAAAAATGATTTTGAGAGTTGAAATGATTGCGATGTTTTTTTGTTATATATTATTGATTCTATCTTTTAAAATAGAGTGGCGAGGGTTGTCTGAATATTGTGACAAATAAATGTTAATAACTTTTAAACGGTTGAACGGATTTTCATAAAAATAAAATCGTTGAAAAGGGCTTTCTTCGGTCGGTTCGTTTTCCGAAATCACCTCAAAAAACACCGATTTTCTTAAAAAAATTAAATGCAACGATATAACTTTTTCTTTGGAGAAAAATAGCCAAACAATTCCCAAACAAGCCTGTGAAAACTTTATCTTGATATTCCCTTCCTAACCTAATTTGTCACCCTTATTTGTACATAGCTGCAAATGGCAATTACTTAGGTAATAATAAAATATTTTTTAAATAATTACTAAGGACATAAACATCTACAGTAATCATTAATAATTACCTATAATTTAATAATAATATTCTGCGATATTTGAATGTTTAGATTATTTAATTATTGTAAATTATTATTCGGCTACCGGAAGTTCAACTCAAATAACACCTACAGAAGTAAGTGATCAAAATAAGTATATTTAATTTTTTTATTTTTATACCATATCAATTTTTAAGAAAATTTATCGCGTTTGCGGTGGAACTTAATCATTTCATCTGACTCCAATTAATTAGTTTGACTTAAATATTTGACGAGATCAAACACAAACGTAAGTACTGGTGATACTGCTAAGTTAAAATCTTATTTTTGTAAATTGTTCAAGACTCAGCTCAACTCAAAACTAGAATATTTGTTATATTTTTAGAGAAAAACCCTTTCTTATTCTATGTTTAGAGGATCTATTTAAATATTTGGAAATAAATTTTACTCCTTATATTGGAGCTTTAATTAGTTTAATTTATGGACAATGCAAATTGTCTGACCATCTGTTTGATACAAAAGTAAATAGGAATAATTAGAGAGTTTGTTGTGAAGTTGAAAATATTTAATGAGTTTTAACTGGAGATATAGAGCTGAGGTTTGATACAAAACTTTAATGTCGGGTTTAATTACAAAGAGGATGAATCTTAGGTATTTGGAAATGTCTACGATTTCTATTCCTGACACTGTTATTTTTCTTGTAGTATTTTTATGATGAAAAAGCAACTGTTCTTAGTTTTATCTTTTACTTACCTTGCTTCTTCTGCTTCGTTGGGCAATATAACATTAGATGACACCTTCCCGCCGGCTCAGCCTATGAGTTTAACTAACATTGGACAGGGAATTATAGGCTCCATTCCAGAATTAGTTAGCGATGTTTTCGGAAATGTTATAGACATTAATAATATGCCCGGTAAGTTTTTGTCCCTATTCATACTTTTATCAAAATTTGCAAAATTCTCTATTGAATTTAGATGTTGAGTGGGTACCTGTGCCTAAATTAATACAAGAAGAAGGCTATCCGGTAGAAAACCATTACATAACAACAGAAGATGGGTATATTTTAAACATGCATAGAATACCACATAGTAAAAATAGTCTTCAGAATAACGGTGAAGTTGTTTATTTGCAACACGGTCTATTAGCAGCTTCATCCGATTGGGTTCTTTTGGGACCTGAAAGGGGTAAGTTACACTTAAATGCACCTACTTAACATGTTTAAACTAGTAAAAATCAGTAGACTCAGGAGGCTCAGGTGTATTTAAAAACGAACGTAGCAAACAGAAACAAATTCTGCAATTTTGCTATTTTAATTCTATTTTTCAACAGGTTTGGGCTATTTACTTGCCGATGCTGGTTACGATGTGTGGCTAGGCAACGTAAGAGGCAACAGGTATTCGAAAAACCACACTACATACTCCGTAGCGTCAGAAGAATTCTGGAATTTCAGTTGGCACGAGATAGGAATGATTGATATCCCAACTATGATCGATTATGTTTTAAAAATGACTGGCAAATCGCAACTTTATCACGTAGGACATTCTCAAGGTATGCTTAAAGTTATTAACATCCCGGGTTTTTGTATAGTTGTTTATTTCATTATAGGTACAACCACATTTTACGTAATGGCGTCTCAAAGACCAGACTACAATAAAAAAGTGAAATTGCACATCAGCTTGGCACCCATTGCTTATATGAACCACTTATTTAGTCCCTTATTGAGAGTTCTAGCCATTGGCACAATGCCTTTAAGTAGCACGTTGAAATTGATTGGTCAATACGAATTTTTACCAAGCTCCGGTTTTTTCAGTAAGCTTATGGATAATATTTGCGACCAAGGTCTTGAAAAAGTAAGAGTAGTATAAATAATGTAATACTTTAAACAAGTTATTTTTCTAAAATCCGTAGGTCCTTTGTAAAAATTCTTTTTTCGCAATGGCAGGCTTTAGTCCCAATCAAATGAACGCTTCCACCATACCGGTAATAACGACACACTATCCAGCAGGAGCGGCGACCAAGCAGATAGTTCACTACGGACAGGAGATAAACAGCGGCAGGTTCTGCCAATTCGACCACCACTTCTCTAATTTTAGAGTCTACGGCCAGTTGTTGCCACCTCAATATGATTTGTCGAAAATTTCGTGTCCCACTTATCTCATATACGGTTCCAACGATTGGCTTGCAGCAGATGTAGATGTTCAAAAATTGTTCAAACAGTTACCCAACGGGCAAGAGCTTTACGAGGTACCGATTGGCACTTGGAACCATGTGGATTTCCTTTTTGGCAATGATGCACCTGAGGTGGTGTATCAGAAGGTTTTGCAAATTATTGCTAATAATTAGGTAATTATTGATTTCCTTTTTTTTGGATGTTTGGCTTATTATAACACGTACACATAACTTTGTTGATGTTTGCGTTTATTGTACCTAACATATTTCTCCATATTTCCTTGAAATCCACCAAGTTTGCTCATTTTGCGCTTAAAGTGCGTAATATGATAGTGATAGTAGTGATAACAAGATCGTAATACTACAGAAAAGAGTTATAAGCTATTCGAATTTAGCTACATGGATGATTTTGTAAAAAATGAAGTAATAACGAAATTATTACGTCGAATTTGGGTTTAATTGGCGCATACAGAGGCGCATATCGAACAAATTAAATTTATTACTGAATACTGCTTAATTAAAAGCTATTCATTTATTTTAAAAGGCAATTTATAGGCGAACTAAATGCATAAACCTAATGTAATTTTTATATAGGTAAGCCATTTAACATAAATGGTCCATTTTTACGATCATATACTTAAGTGAATTATTTTTTTTAACCACTATAAGAATCGAAACTGTTATGATCTAATACAATTTACTTCTATACCAAGTTGAATCTACAGAGAAATTGTAAGTCTCTTAAGGGTTGTTTCAAATTTTAAAGGAATAATTAAATAATTAATTTATATTAACTTGTATAAGTTAATATTTATATTTACCTTCTCTAAAACCCTAAATTACCGATGAAGAAAACGGGAGAGAGCAAGAGATATATTTAAACCATTAAATGTGTTTCCTGCAAGTGAAGTTTCAAACGGGAAAATATATTTAGGTTTTCTATATGGCTCCTTATGTCTACTTTCTCTATTACATTTTCATTTTACTTAGTCCAAATAATATATTACCTACGTAAGATACCATTGTGGTCATATAAATTATCTGTATCTTTTAATAAAGAACGAAATTTGAAAAGATTCTTTCATGTTACATTCCTATTTACTATGGAAACTGGGAACAAAACGACGACACGATGAGTCAAAAGAAAAAGGTCCATAATAGAACCTAAAAAATGAAATTGATGACAAACTAATTTATATTTAGTAATATTATCTTTAATATAAATAAGCATTAGAATCATAAACATGCTTTATTAAACGGCGCAGGAGAAAATTTTATGCAAACTGTGATATATCCACAGGGGAAACATTGTTGCGTACATAGAAACAGGCATCTAGAGCGTACCTAAACCTATTAAACGATGCAATTAACATAGAATCATATTTCGGGAAAACTGTAACGCAACATGGGGCCTCTGCGTAGATGTGACAGGTCATGACACGACATCTGAAAATTTGCCTAATGAATCCATCTGTCGCTTATATTACCGCCTCGCAAATGAAACTATATATTTCTCCTGCCACTCGCTCATGCCGCTTACAACGAAATGGAAATGGACTTATGCCAATGATTGACGAAATAATCACGCTCTCCTCATTTCATCTCGAATATACCTACTCAAAGGTTTGATAACTAAGCAAACGTTTTTTATTACTTTCTTAGTAAATAGTCTAGTGAATTGTAGCTGTAAATTCGATTGGAATCATCGAAGAAAAATTAAATCCATTTAATGCGAAACCCACATAACTGAAATTGATAATAATTCAATCAGTGTTCTAAACCCTTCGTGATGTTACCCATAAATTAGCGGAATGTCGGTCAAACGCCTTCCAATTATAGACCCTATGCCACTCTTGATCTCGAACTTGATAGGAGTTTAACAACAGAATATTAAATTATGTTGGTGCACAGTTATACTTTATGGACCAAGATCGAGACTATGTTTATAAGCGTTTGATACATTTTATAGAGGCAAAAAAAATATTGAAAAATATCATAACTACCCTATGGTGGACAAATATGAATTTTTATAAAATACTAGCTAATAATAGTTGATTGTTTGTATGGTATGTTTTATAGAAAATGTCAAAAATTTAGCATTTTTTGTGAGTAATTTGTAGGAAAATTAGAGAAATTTACCCACGTATTAGAAGCATTTATCATTTTGTAAACAGACACATCGGCATTATTACGTATCACGCGAAACGCTAGTTTATTTTTAAATAGATACGAAAACATGTGAAATCACTAAAAAAAGTTCTTTACGACCTATAATGATTGTACAGAAAAAATATCAATATAGTATATCAATCACGACGTGTCAAATTCAATCAGAGCTCTGCATTTAATTCCGTTCCCTATATTCTCTTTCCGGGATTGATGAGTTTCCTCCTGGTGTCCAAATCACTAGGTATTGTAACCCTCCAATTTTAGAATCCTTAAATAGAAACCACTTGAAGCACAGAAATTTATACGCCTATCTGTTTTCATCAACTGTCGTGTGAATATCCGGAGAAGCCAGTGAATCTCAGCAAATATCTATATTTTTCTTATTTTCTTCACTTCGTAGGTAAGTGTGTTTTTCAATATTTTTCAGGTTTTTACAATGAGTGTATATTATTTAGGTATTAAGTAACTGTTACGTCAGTCATTAAAAATATTTAATATTAAGGATTTTCTTTTACTCATACGTAAAAAATCTATTCGTATATGAATATTATTTTGTAACAGTTTCTTCTAAAAGAAATTTAAACTTTTGGTGGATAAACTAGGTAATAGTGTAAGCGTGTTGAATGAGTTCAGTAAATTTAGATACATTTTCCTGTTAATTAGCATTACAAAATTTTTTCTGCTAAAAGACATAAATACTGGAACTAGATAAACCGCGTTCTCCCGAGAATCGTCCTACCTGGTGTTTTTGTGTACCCTAATAAATCCTGTCTCTACAAATATATTTTGTAACTCTAACCGCCCTAATTCAATGTGTATGTACGCTGGTAAGTATATCAAACAAGCAAGATATTCCTAAACTTACATAATGCGCTCTATTTATAGAGTTTCTGTAGGTACAACTACCTCAAAATTATGTTTAGCGTAAACACTTTATAAAGCAAGACACGTAAAGCTCTAGCATTCATTAAGTATTATGTAAATATGTTAGTTTTATGGGATATAAAAATCAAAAGTTCATTGATGATTACACTAGTTTACATAAGTTGTTGTGCAAAGAATTTAGGAAAATGGGAGTGATGTATTTTTGGTTTAATGAACTAAGTAGTAGGTATCTATTAAAAATATAGCACATCAGATAACTGAAATATACATATACTAATAAAATCATTTTGTTTTACTGGATTTTAAAATCTATACAATGCCTGAAAAGTAACTACAAAATAGAAATGCTGAGCATAAAATTTTTGTTTTTTTGTAATATTTTGGTTCGGTTACTCGTAAATGTCCAACAATAGTCTCCTGGCACACCATTTGGAACTGTCTAGAACGCCACAGAACCATCTATCTATTCATAATATAATACTAGTAAAATCTTTTCATTTCTCGGTATAATTGAATTACCCACATGCTGTTCTAGCAATGATATAAAACCAGTAATTTTTTTATTTGTTTAATGAAGGGTAAATTTTCCAAACCTTACTGTTATACTTTGTTATAAATCCCTTGTATAAAAAAATTGGGTAGACCGCATATTAAACCAGATGCGGTAGAGTAGACTCGTAGGGTAGACCCGGCACCGAAAAATCTACTACTTTCGAACGATGTTATTAACGCCAAAATCCCGACGCCAAAATTCGACCACTGTACGGATTCAAGAACAAATCATCGAAAAAAATCAAATTCTATATCGCATTTCAACAGGTGCCAACTTATCGCGGAGCGGCAATCCCAAGTTGCTGGCTGATTGGACGGGCCGGGAGGGAGAGGGGCCGAGCGAACTTCTCCGGAGCGATTGTTGTAGCGCGCGAACAGACTCCGGTTCGACCGGAGCGCGGAAACCGAAAAAATGAAAATGTCGCCACAGTTTGAATAAAATCCTCGTCGACGAAAGTTCACTCTGTAATAATTACCGAAAAGCGAAAATTCGAAAGTTTATACGAACTTTGATAATCCCGACTGTTTGTGATTTGAAATCTATTTTCAACTCATGTAAGTGTTTTTTTGAAGAAACTTATTATATCATGCATGTTATGTAATGTAAAAGTTTTTTAAACTACTAAAACACATTTTTGGTTTCTAAAAATATTTTCATTATCAAGAAAATTTAAATTTTTAATCAAAAATATAGGAAAAAATAATAACTTCATGTGATGATTTATATTTCTAAATGCTATGTGAAGTTGAGTTAAACAAGTTTAAAAAAGTTTAGTGAAATGTAAACAAGACATCCCAAACAAAAAAAATAGTTAACTCTATTAATTAACGAAACAAAAGTAGGCAAACAATCTGAAAAGTTTAATGAATAATGAAAATAACTTATTCCAGATTAAACCAGTTCTAATCCTTTTAAAGTCTTTAAAGTTTCAACTCGCTATAATTGGGGACAATATTATTGATAATACTGATAACACTAAATGCATGCATTGGATTAATTGCTGCATTTATTCATAAAAATAAGATAAATATAATCAAACACAAGGATTATTAGAATTACGGAATTTCATGCACGCTTAGCTAGAATGATTTATTCATACAACTTATTGATGCCAATCTTAATTTTTGTCGCTCTCATTTTAAAAAGCAGACTGCTTATCCCGAAATTACAGATAAATATTAATAAACATCAATGCATATCTACTAACAAATTGCACCAAAGTTTTTTTACGTGGAAGAACACTTTCGTGTGTATAAACTATAAAATATATGTAAGAGAAAATTTAAAAGAAAAATGATAGAACAAGAAAAAAAATTATCGATGAGGTGAAAACGTATTTGCACTTCTCTCAATATTTATGCTTAAGGAAACCACTTGCATGCATGAATCGATATGACATCGCTTTAAAAGATTTATGTCTTTAATCTTTCCTGGGACCGAACATAATTTTTATACTGTTCGTTTGGTGTACGTAATAAATTCTCAAATTTCCCTTTAAACAAGAAAAAGATTACGAAAAGCGTCGGAATTTCGCGAGTTCAATTTGACTTTATACTTTACTTTTCATTCCCTCGGACGAGATGAAGTGAAAATTATTTTCCAAACAATTAATTTTGGAGAAAATTCGCTCGGACAATGGATTAAAGTTTTTATATTCTTTCTCGCGTTATTTGAAGTATCTCCAACCATTTTAAGGTTTATTAACTTTTTTCCCGATGTCTAATTATTTAGTAATTTATTTTTTCTGTGATTTTGGATTTTTATAAATTATTTACAAATTTTTTAACAATCGGTTTAACAACTTTTTATTTTGTTATTTTTTAGATTTGATATGTTTTTAAGTGTTGAAATATTTACATTTTTTGAAGTTTATGTAATTAATGTTGTAATTAATTTTTTTAATAATGTACTATACTTACATAAAAACCAAATCTAAACGAGTTTAATTCGATAGTAGAATTATTTATAGTGCATTATCGTTATAAGAACGATAAGAATAAATATTTGTATAGGAAGTATTAATAATTCCAATCGATTAAACCAATTTTTTCTTCCTATAAAAAATAAATTAATTAAGTAATTAATTACTAAAGTACACTTTTTAAGGCAATTGCAACAGCAAAATCTGAAAAAAAGGCTTGTGTGGGTGGTTTTTTTTATCACATTACTGTATTAATAAAGTACCTACTTACCTATAGGATAAAAAATGGAACAAAATACATTAATGTGGCGATGAGGCCAAGATATCACATTACGTATTTCTTGAATTACGAGCAAAAAAATTCAAGAGTGCTGAATGGCAACCTCTCAACATTTTAATAAGTAGAGTGTTTTCGTATACCTATAACACATTTTCAGGAAAGTTCGTATTAACATAAGAAAATCGAATGTCTATTCTGTAAAGATTAAAACACAGAATCAATTCTCTCTATTTAAAATAACAAGTTATCCAAACAGAGCAAAGAAAATTGAATCAAAAAACCTATTAAGACTAAACGGATTCTACTGATTATTTTTAAATAATTCTATCTAAAATTTGGACCCATCAAAATTCATTAAATCCTTTTAAATATGCAGAATCAGGACCGTCTAACCGCCCCTCCGAATTTCTTTACCGAACTACTTAACTTCCTTGTACATTCTATTGAAGTTTTTCCGCGCAACGGAGTCGCTCGGCATTTTGAACTTCTATCTATAAACTTTAGAATAAGTTTATCACTTCATTCTCTCGCTTTCGTCCACCGTCGACGCTTAATAATCTAAATATCACACCTATAAATCGCCCGAAAAGGCTTTATTCGAGCAAGTTTTTTCCTCCTGCCACCTCGAATACCAATGTTATGAAGTTTTTATGTTAACCTACAAGAGAACAGACAAGACGTTTTAGTTTATGGTTTCAATATAGCACGAGCTTAGATTGCTCATTTCAATAGATTTGGCTTATAAAATGATTATGCTCACTTCGCTCCGGCATTTCTCGTTTGAAACCTCCGTTAATATCACGCCGACGGAGCGGAAGTAGCGCACGATTGAGCATGCTACATTCAACTCCATTAGACAATCTATTGGTTGGCTCGGCTCGTCACATTGCGGCGCATAGTATGGAAACTTCTCAAGTTTAATGCTACGGAAAGTGGTCACTCGGGATTAGCTAATTCCCCAATTTGTTGGTTTGCATTTTGATGAATAAGAAGGGCTTTACCTTCTTATATCATCATTTCTGTTTGGGTTCAATCTTGGTGAGAACCTTTGTCTTCCTTACAAGCCTCGTTCTTAGAGCGTTCTCACACGGTGCTTTAGTGGTTTTCTCACAATTTATTGCCGCAATATTGCACGGCAGTTAAATTAAATTAGAAATTAAACATTCAAATGCGTATAGTTTTCACACGTATGCGATGCAATAATTTTTATTCTAACGATATTTATTGCAAGGACGTGCAATATATGCACTGAAAAAAAGGATCTTTTGATTTAAGGTAATATGCATTTCATTTAACGAAACGATGCTCTTGGTATAGTCCAACCCCCATGGGTTCTTAATGTAACCTAATTATTCTCTTGATCCAATACTCTTAAATCAAGAACCCCACATTTTAATACAAGAAACTCAGATTTCTTCATTTTTGGGAAGAAAACTTGAACCAAGAGCATATTTACTTACAGTAAGCACCTATTATGTAGTATTAAACCCAGGTATTCGTCAATTAAGTACATTTTTCTTGTATCAAAGGAATCGTTTGCTTCATGGGACTTCATTAACTCTTGTATTATTGCCAATATTACTTTGGATCAAGAGATTTATTAACTTAAGCCAAGAGCCAATGTTCTTAACAGAGGCTCTCCCTTGTGAGGATTTTTACAGGGTGGGGGTAACGTATGTTTTCAAAAAAAGTTCCTATTAGAAGGAAAAAACAATATATATATTAAACAAAAAAAAAACAGAACACATGACTAACCAACTAAAACTAGCTTAATAGAAAATCACAAAATATGAACTTATAAATCAACTTATATAAAGCCTAAAATACTGCGAAAATCACAAAAATAGGAAAGTACATTTTGGTTTGGAACAATTTTATTTAAAACTGGCTATTAATAATAATACATGTAATGAATTTGGGTGTAATAACTCCAATGATTAATACTATTTAAACGAAGTATAAGTTTCTTTAATCAAGTAACAAAATCTCTGTCGTAAGAGAAAAGATTTTTGTCAATTCAATAATGTTTTAATAACAAGGAATCATTTTTTTTCTCAAGTGCAAATCTCTTAACAGAAGAATATAACCTATTTTCATTTACTTGGAATAAGGAAATAACATTAAGAAGAGACGCCATTTTTAAGATGCGAAAAATTAATTTGCAATGAAAACATTTGACTATATTCTAATAAAAATATCTTAAATTGAAAATACCTGAACAAATGCAATCAAAAACCAAACCCTCCATTAAAATGATAATGATAACAGTGTCTAAATACAACAAAATGTCGAAAAATGTTTACTAACCATCTAATAATGAAGACAAATATACTTATTATAGATATTCTACCAGCGGCAACCTTGGAACCCTGATGCATTTATCCTCAGTTCGACTGATTTTCTGTTCCTTACTTCGAGTCTCTTTGCTGCAACGATTGCAGCGCTCGAAATTGGGTCCTCTGTATAAATCCATTATTCTAAAACAAACAAAAAATGCATATTTACTATCTACCTAAATACTAGTAGGTACTAATCAATCCTTATTAATCTTAAATTCCTAGATTAATTTGTAAAATATAAAAACAATTTACATAAAAGTATAGGTATATATACTTACATTTTGCAATTTGTTGAATTTGGTAGATAGTGTAGACACTTAACCCTCAAAAACCAAAACGATGTCGGCCTGTCAAACGAAGAAACACAACGCTCTACAGCTTAACTCAACGACTCAAGCTCAACGCTAGCAAACTATTTTCCACTACCATATACGACCCGATTTCACACGGCGCACTCCGATATTAATTACCAATTTCCAATATTTTATGATGAGAGCGAGAAATCTCAAATCAAACCCAAAGATTCTTAGTTGTAGTTCCGCACTTTATATAAGAGTTCCTACTGTTGTTGTAAGAAAAAATCTCTTATTTCAAATAATTTGTAATCAAGAGAATAATTTTCTTAATTTAAGAAACGAAAAAATCGGACATTTTCTTTGTACAAGAACACTTTATTTAATTTAAGACTATTTTACTTATAGGAAATAAATATATTTTAAGAGATTTTTTTTTCTTCATACAAGAGATCGTTTTTTTCAGTGTGTTCTACAGATATCGTAGGTACGATAAAATATTGCAGAGATAGTAGAAAACTATGTAAGTTTATTGAGGTTTTCTCACGATTATTATGCTCTAATTAATGCTCTAATTTGGTCAGTAATATCTAAACAGTGTATGCCATACTTATAAGATTAGATGGTGGATTCTTATAAAATCCATTAAACTCTTCACTATAAAATCTAAATCTGTTAATCACTCTAATGTAATTAAAATATGTCTCGCCATGTTCCTGCA